TCATTTCCGCACGTGCGCGCTCACTCGCTGTTCCGTACGGCAAGGAAGGATCTGCGGTAGTAATCATCTGAATCCAACTGACGTACAGTGTTGATGCAGGGCTGATTACGGTGCATGTGGCTGGAGCTGCGAGGCCGATGGGCAGCTTGAGGTAGGTCGCGGCATCGTAGCAGCTGGCAGCTGGGGTACCGACGTCGGTTGAATGGATGTAGCGTGTGCCATTGTTGGCTGACAGAATGCTTGAAGGCAGAAGACGAAGCGTCGTTGTGTCATAAACTAGATCTTGCGGTACGGAGATTAACCAGCCAGCCCAGTTCTGTGGTAAGGCCAAATGGGATGGATGGGTAGGCATTGTATTGAGCGATTGGGACTATGTATGGTTAACCGATAACGGTTGGGCAATGAGTGGTTGGACAATGACTTGAAACGTTGCACCCGCCCCAGACGACATGCCTATCGGGGCCCAAAGGCTGAAATTATGAGTCGTATAAGCTATAAGGGGGCTTGACCATTGGGATCATAAGTATCGCAGGGCGGACAGCTATATGACCTAAGCCATGTACCCTAAAAACGGTCGACCCACAAACCCAAGCAGGACACCCCAGCAGCAGCAATGTACGCGCCACATATCGGACTTACCGAGGCAAGGTTAACCGTACGGCCACTGGCTTCGTACCCATCCAGTTGCATGTTGTCATTCAAGTCGAGGTATACGGTGCATCCGTCAAGATAACTGTCGTACGCCTGGCCGGTAAGCGTAACAAACGGACTGGGAGCTGGGCTGGGCGGCGGTGTGAATGGAATGGGTGCAGGCGAAGGTGCCGGACTTGGAGGATAGGGAGGGGCAGCGGCCGGCGGGTACGGCGGCGCAGGGGGCGGCGCAGCTGGCACGATGGGGAACGGGGTTGGAGATGGGGGTGCAATTGGCAGGGGACTTGGAGGGCCGGGATTGGCAGGGGATGGGTTGTACGGCGGGCTTGGGGACGGTGGATAGGGTGGTGCGGGCGATGGAGCAGCAGGTGGAGATGAAGGGCTGGGTGGGGCAGGGGATGGAGGATAGGGTGGGGCGGGCGATGGAGCAGCAGGTGGAGATGAAGGGCTGGGTGGGGCAGGGGATGGAGGATAGGGTGGGGCGGGCGATGGAGCAGTAGGTGGGGATGGAGGCCTGGGCGGGGCGGGGTATGGAGGAGAGGGCGGATGGGGAGGCGGAGCTGTTGGTACGATGGGTGTCGGGCTTGGTGGGGGAGTTAGCGGCATGCTGGTTGGAGCTGGGGACGGAGGGCTGGCTGGGGGATAGGATGGCGGGCTGGAAAGCGGTGCGGGGGGAATAGTGGCAGGAGAAGGGGCCGGATTGGGAGGATAGGTCGGGCTGGGTGATGGGCTAGGAGGAACGGGACCTTGCGGGCTGGGCGGGTTGGGCAGCGGAGGGCTGGGGGACGGAGGGTAAGGTGGAGCGGGTGATGGCGCCGCTGGGAATGGGCTGGGTGGTTGGGGGCTTGTTGGGGCTGGGGAGGGGGGATACAGCGGGGCGGGAGAGGGAGGATAAAGCGGTGCGGAGCTGGGAGAGGGTGGACTTGTTGGGCTGGGCGACGGAGGGTAAGGAGGCGCAGGCGGCGGGGCCACTGGTACGATTGGAGTTGGGCTGGGTGGCTGGGGATTCGGATGGGCCGGGGAGGGGGGATAGGGTGGGGCGGGATGTGGCGTGCTGGGTGGTGTCAGATCGAAGGGCGGGTACTCAAAGGGTGGAGGAGCTCCCATGGGGTGATCGTCCACACCCGGAGGTGGCAGGAAGTCCAGGGGTGGCGGTCCACCAAAGGGGGGGAATGAAAGGTGCTCAGACGGCGGCACCCACTCATTAGGTGGCGGTGCGCCATCCACCATACCCGCAGGACCGGGGTATTCCCAATCATACGGCGGTGGTGCGCCATCCACCATACCCGCAGGACCGGGGTATTCCCAACCATACGGCGGTGGTGCGCCATCCACCATACCCGCAGGACCGGGGTAATCGAATCCGTACGGCGGCGGTGCGCCAACCATCATATCCGTCGGGTGGTACACCGCCGGCTGCACCGCACCAGGCGGCGGGTCGCCGTTACCCCCTTCAAACAGGGGCGGAGGCGCACCGTCCGATGGCGGGGGGCCTTCAAAGCCAGGGGGGTGCAGGTCCCAAGTCGGGAAGCCCCAGGGTGGCGGCGCGTCGGCCTCTGTGTCCATTGAGGGTTGGACTGGAGGGGAGCTGTTGCTGTCGCTGCCGCTGCTCAGGCTGATGAGCCGGCGGGAGGTGAGCGTTTGGGAGGGAAGGACCTGCGTGGGTAGGAAAGGGTGAGAGGGAGGGGGGCGTGTTGCATGAGCAAGGAAGCGTGTTGCTGAACGAGATGAGTGCGTGCAGGTGAAGCGCAACGTTGTGCGATGTGTTCGGTGGATGGAAAGTACGGAACAAGCAGGTTAAAGGAACCGGGGCCATGGCAACGGATGTATGGGCGTATGCATTGTCTGGGCCGTTCTGACTGGGGTCAATCACGGCGACATAAGCAATTGAATCGTCCATGGCACCCTGCTCGTATAATTTATATACAAAAAAGTGACCCGCGACAGTGTGGCACGCCACTGATCGAAGAGGAGCAAGACCCGCGGGTCGCAACATACCCCCAATTCCTGGTCCACAGCAATCCCCCACCCTAATCCTCGCTGAAAACTTACATCAGCAACCCCTCCTGGTCTATAGCATCATGGCTCAAAGCACCCCCAAACCTTCCTTGTGGCTTACCACAACGGCTCGACGGGCACTTCGAGTATCTGCCAAGACGCCGTCCGGTCCCACCACTTTGAGCGAGATGACGTGCATTCCTCCCGACCCAACCGGGTAGCTGTAGCTGCTGACCACAGTGTAATCCATGCAGGGACAGGAAATCGAGCCGCGCGTCTTGCCGCGTTCATCGCCGAAATTGACCTCGTATTGAGCCATGCCGTAGGCTGGATGCGTCGGCAAGAAGGTGGAGATGTATCAGTACGGTCAGCAGTGAAGGGCAAGGGAGGGGTAAGGCGGGGTTTGGTGTGAAGCTAAAATGACTGGAGTATGCAAGGGTCGCATAGCCGTGCGTTATGTCCCGTGCATGACTCTTGCCAAAGGGGTTAAGGCGGGATGTCCCATGTTGTTATGAACCACCGGTGGCATACAGGCAGGATAGAGGACTGAGCTATGACTCAGGGGCACATTCACCAACTACGCCATGGATAGCTCGTGTGGGTATCCCAGCTTCTATATGAGGTGAGTTGTGAAGTATTGTTGAAGCCTTCCTCCCTTGAAGGGTGTTTCACATGGCCAGTGCTCGCAACTAGAGGCGCAATATCCTTTACTAACATGCCCAAGCCCGAGCGCTCTTTGGCCTGTTTAGGGTTTATGCGTCACAGCCATTATATTCACAAACGCACCTGCACACGTTACGTGGAAAACGTAATCCAAGAGCTCTGTTGTGCCTACGACGGCGCCTCTCGTGCTAGCGCCGGTGACCACGACGGCCGTTGCTCCGCATTCGGCCACGGATCCGCTTAAGACAGCTAATGCCAACAACAATACTCCTAAAGTAGAGAGTATGGGTGCCGCACCACACTGCCGCGGTTTGCGTGCTGTTCGCCATTGGCTCCCTCCCATCAGCCGTTGCCAGAACGGTACTCGTGGGACCGTAAATGACGCTGCGCTGTATATTTTATGCAGATCCCGAATTGAAAGATAAGCAGAAAGCTTGCAGGAAGGCTTCCTTGCGATGGACGCCTGCCTCCACTGGCCGCTGTGTCCTCGTTTGGAAGTCGGGCAGTCCTTTGCCTTTATGGCACAACACCGAGAATCTCAGGCTGAAAAACTATGTTCAAACACCTTTATGGCATTTAGCAAGGCAACTTAACAAGCTATGGAGGCAATTGTCCGAAAACGGATAGGCAAGCAGCTATACTTGCTGGAAGTTGTTCCATAAGTTGTTCCAGACTTAATACCGAAGGGAAAACAGCTAACAAAAGTTAATGCTCCAGGTGCTCGCTGCAAGGGAAATTGTCACGGAAGCGGAAGAGGCGTGAACCAAAGTGTACGACTTCCCAGTCTGATGCCAATCGTCTGACATTCTCCAGAGCGACGCTTGGGATCCGTCCTAATGGAGGTCACTGAGTACCTTCCCTCTTATTTCCCAAGACTTAATCCTACACGGACAATCAAAGATGTGACCTCCCTCGCTCGCTCGCCACTCATCGGTCAGCGCTTGGCATTTTCCTCATGCTTGATTAGCACATCCAAGTCAAAAACATGCGCTGGCCAACATTTTGTTCACCCTATGCTGTGAAAAATGTGCGGTCGCCGAAGGTGCAGATACCGGTTGGGCTACTTCACACTTTCGCAAGTTGTCGGGCGGCGGCGGTTTCCACCCGGTTGAACGCATAATGAGTGAATCTTGCATTCGTTTTAGTCTGGTACTGCTTGCGAAACGCGCAAAGGTCGGCGGCCTTACGAAGGATGGGCAGGAGCCTACCGCTGATACGGACGACGTTTGCTATGCTGAAGTCCCGACCATACCGCGCTCCAGAGCCCGACAAGGAGGAGGTAAAGGTGCAACGTAACTGTTAAGCGGCGGCCCGTGGCCGCCGTAGGGGATCCCGGCCCTGCCAAGCTCGCCTCTCATACGGTAGAGCCATAGTGTCCTTGGCCCCCTTGGTTCGTACGGACACACCGTAAAGTAACTGTAATCGGTGCGACACGCAAGTCCGTCAAGTTTCCCAATCCCCTGCTGGGAGCTGCTGGGTAGTTGGGCCGTGTGGGACACTTATCCGCTTGAATCCTTTCTGATTCCAAGAGAGGTCCCAAGACGCATGGAGCGATTACTAACACCAAAAGTCCTCGACCCGGCATGAAACAAGAGATCCCCGGCACTCCTGATCCTGCAACGCATCACCTTCCACGGTGGTTGTGCACAGCCCAGTGGATGTACGGCAGCACTGTTGCAACTGTTGTAGGGAGTCCTTTACCGGCCTTACACATGTGCAGCGCACGAATAGGGTTGGAGGGCTTCTGTACGCGTATACAATGCGCTTAAGCCCTCACTTATTATCGCACGATCCCTTTACTGCCGTACACAAATACCGTTAGCGCACAACTAGCACATGTTACGGTGTAAGTGCACTATTAGCGTTATCTACATGAGCCCAGCACGGTGTGCCATGAGGCGACGCCTACCCTTCACCACCACCTTAAAGAGCGGCACCTTTCTCTCCTGCTACCCATCACTTGGGGGCCCGATTGTTAGCTGTACGATGCAGTTACCTATGTGTGAAAGCAAACAACCCTTCCACTGCATCCCTCCCACTAACGACTAACCCTTTCCCCGCATACGCGTAATTCGAGTTCCCAACCCCCACCCCATCCTGCGCCATGCAGCCTCCTTTCCTTTTCCCGCCTCAGTGCCCTCCCACTGCTGCACCTTGCTACAATACAGACAATTCTAAACCAAATGCTGCGACGGTTGCTGCAAAGACAAACCAGCCAAGCCGGTCACCATCCAATCTTAACCAGCAAGCCACGCAACCTTGCGCATCTTCCCCACGTTACCAAGTGGTCGTGCTGTCCCTCCACCCTCCACCTCCAATCCAACCTCCAATCGTACATCCAATCCTGCCAAGCTGCCATCCACCTCCACATGTGAAGTAGAGATATACGACAGGTACGTAGCGGACTTATGGCCGTTGCGTACGACATCATGCATGTCGCCGACCTGCTGCAGCAAAACCCTGCTACTTCTACCCCTTCTTTGAAGACACCGCGTCCATAGCAGCAGTACGGCAACGCCGCACAAAGTCCTCATGCAACCCCACCGCCGCCACCGCCGCCGGCTGCCACGTCAGCACCCGACCCACCAACGCACACAGCGCTAGCATGTCGCGAACCCCTGGCGCCAACGCTGTCGTACCGCCAGCGCTAGGCTTACTAGCTTTGCCGTACAATTCGTCGTGCAGCTGCTGCGCGCGTGCAAGCACTGACGGCGGCGCTGCCGTACCGGCCGCCGCTAGCGCCGTTAGCGCTTGCGTGAGGGCGCGCGTGCGCATTAGCGGCGCCGCCGCATCGACGAGTTGTACGGCAGTTGCTAGCGCCGTCGGCATGCGCTGCCCGATGGCGGCAGTTGGTACGGCAGCGGCGGTTGGTTGTGCAGCAGTGGTGTCGGTTCGTACGGCAGAAGAAGCTACGTTGTCGTGTAGTCGTGCCAGAGCTAGGAGGACCGTTAAGAGCTCCTGTGTGTGCATGGGTGTTAGGGAAGGAGGTAAATAGCGGGTGTTACGGGTCGGAACTTTGGGGATGCGCGGTTCGTTGGCTCCCTTCCTCTTTACTCCCTCCCTTCCTCCCTCCATGCACTCACCCCAACCGTAAGCTCGGGCCGCCCCAGGAAGCCCAGCACCTCCTCCTCCGTCACCACCGCCGCCGCGGTCGCCTGCAGCTGCTGCAGGCCCTGCTCACCCCCTTGCTGCTGCAGTTGCTGCTGCTGCTGAGGGCCGGCTGGGGCGCCCAGCAGGTCCACTCCCAGGGACAGCAGGTATTGAGCGGCCTGTGGGGGGAGAAGGTGCAGCGAGGAGCGCAGGAAGAGGGTTGCGACAGGGATTCGTTAGCAGGCAAGGTATTGTCATCAGGGGTCGGGAGAGCGGATAGATAGTTCTATGACAGATGGCGTTTTGTAACATGGCAAGAGCTACACTTAGGGAAGATGAGATGTGGCAAGCAGAGGGCACTAGGTAGGAAGCACAGGCAGGGCACCTAGGCTTCGTATAGGAAGATCACGGTGCCGTACAGTTCAGTTTGCAGCTCCCAACGGCCTTGCAACGGCCACCTCCCAACCGCCCTACCTGCAGCCTCCAGGGAAGCGGCCAGGAGGAACGGCACCGCTGAATCTGAAGGGAGGAGGGCAGGTGAGCAGGGGTGCAGCTGGGTTGCGGGAGAGCGCGGTTGGACACGCAGTATACATGGAAGGGATCCAATTAGGAGTGTGGGAATACCCACCGCATACCAACTTCTCAGTAGGGCCTTTCCTGGCCCTAAGCTCCGTGACTCCTTAGTGCCTTTCTTCACCCTCCCGTCACACTTCACCCTCTCTCTCTCGCTCTCACCTCCGCCGAAAGTGCGCCCAGCAGGGCTGCATGGCTGTTGAACCCCACCGCAGCACACGCCTGCAGCAGGAACGCCACCTCCCGCGGCCTCAACGTCGCCTGTGCCTCCTCCGCGGCAACGCCCGTCTCCTCCCCCTCATCTCCATCACCCGCCTCCTCCCTGTCGCTGCTGCTGCCCCTGCTCTCCTCCTTCTCCTCACGGTGCTGCTGCTGCCTATCACCGCCGCTGCCGCCGCCGCTGCTGCTGCTGGCGGCGGACTCCATGAGGGCTACCAGGCGATCCGCCAGCGGGTTCAGGATCTGGGGACAAACAGGCAGGGAGACGGATGCAGCAAAGGCACACATGTTTCCAAGCGGCTTCGGCTGGTTGCTGATACGATAGTCACGTCACGCATGCATGCACACACGATACCGGTACACCATGCCACCATGCATGGTGGGGCCATACCCGCCATGCAAAACGGAACCATGAGAACCACGGCGGGCCCGGCCGCCTCGCTTCCCCAGCGAACCGCACCCACCCACCCGCCCCTAGCACTACTGCTCCCCACCACCTCCGTGTCCCACCCACCTCCGGGTCCGTCAGCCCCGCCCTGCAGGCGCAGTTCAGCAGGGATGCCGCGTAGTAGGGCGTGCGGAGGCGAGTCAGGCTGCCGGGGCGGGTTGCGGTGCTCAGAGCGAGTCGCATGAACCGTGGTTCCGGGTTGTCGGCCTAGGAGGACAGGGAAGAATGGGGGCGCATCAAGCGTGGGTCAGGGCTGTGAGCATGGAAAGTAGGGGGGGTGATATCGCAGGCACGTAGGGGACGGGGAATGAGAGCGCATGGTGCATGGGTCTAGCGAACCGCCAGTCGAGCAGACAGAGGAGGAAGACTGCCTTCTTGCTAACTCACTTTCCAACCCTACACCCCCCTCGTGACAAGCCCCTTGCCGCCACGCTATCGCCCCCGTTAAACCCCGCGGCGCTACTGTAAACCCCTAAATCGCAACTCAATCACGCAAAGCACTCACCACGCTGAACGCTAGGATGATTCCCGCCAATGGCTCTCCCCTCAGGTAGGCGGCGGCGGAGCTCTCCAGTAACGGCGTCGCACGGGCCGCAATGGCGCGATACACGAGTGGGTCGGCCACGTGCAACCGTCGCAGGGCAACACATGACATGCTGAGCTGTCGTACGACCATCTGGATCTGCCAGGGCGCGTCCCAATCGCGCTCACGTTCAAATGAGGAGGGCGAGGAAGAGGAGGAGGAGGAGTAATAGGGGCTCTTGCCACCCATGGGTCCTTCTGCTGTGGCGTGGGGCCCGTCGCTTGGCTGGAGCAGCAACTGCAGCCGTTGTAGGAGCATATGTAGGACACTTTGTTGGTTAAGGCGGTTGTGACCGTTGTCGTCGCGGCTGTTAGAGCCCTGACTGGAATCTGGTGTATGTACGGCAGGCGCCGTGCCCTGGCAGCTGCTAAGCGGGCTGTGCGGCACACGTGAAAGATTCATGAGCATGAGGGCTAGATGGCGCATGGTTGTGAAGGGAACCGTGTCGGCAACCAGGGTATGCAGGCGCTCCGTGACTTCTTCCGGGGGCGTAGCGTAGGTGACGAACGGCAAGTACGACGACGGTGACTGTACGGCAGGGCTGACACTGCTGTTACTGCCGTACATGTTGACGGCCGTATGAAATTGCTGCTGCTCGGGCGAGACGTAGGTGGTAGTGCCGCTGCTGCTGCTGCTGCTGCGCCCTTGTTGTGATTGCTGCTGCGGTCGTTGCTGGGTGTCCTTCAGGATCAGATCGGCGTACTTGCTAAGGGCCCAAGACACCTGTTCAAAGTGCCAGGAAAGGACGTGGGCGAGGGTGAGGAAGTAGAGGCGAGGATTCAGGACTTGGAGGGGAGGATAAGGAGTTGCGCGGGAAAGGGCTTGCAAGGAAGCGGGGAGATGGATGTGAAAGGGTAGTGACAGGGTAAGAGACAGGGTAGCATTCTACCAGCGTTTCTTAGAACAGCACTTTCCGTACACCGTACACAACCAATTACCAACCCAACTGTCCATGCTGACCTGTTCTGGACCCATGTGGTTGTACGGCGTATCCGTTAGGATGCGGTTCAACTCCGACCAGCTGCCGGCCTTCTTCAGCTGCGCTGTTACCTCCTTAGCCGCGCGTAGCTGCTCCTCGCGACGCTCCCAAGTGGTGGACTCCTGGTACGCCCGCTGTTTCCTTTCATACTCGTAGCTGTTGGTCCGAGGCCTGGTTGCGTCCGCTTCCGGCTGTTGTTTGCTTGCTGCTGCTGAGCCACCCACGATGCGCTCGCCCCAACCGTCGCCGATGCCGAAATCTCCTTGCATGCCGCTTTCTCGGTCACGTCGGGGGCTTTCCCGATTGCTGTTGTAAGGGCGATCTTTCTGTCGTCGATATTTGGAATAGTTGTTGTTTTCAACATCGGCGTTGCTCCTGCGGTAAGACCCGCGGTCATGGTCGCGGCGGCGAGAACCCCTGGGGTGTTCGTTATCGTCCAAGCCGTCATCCTGGTACGAACGCGCCCTGTAAAGCGAACAACTAGAGGTTACAATCCAGCGCGACGCGGCCGGGTTCGTCAGCGGCTGGAGACCGCGTGAAGAACTGATCGAAGACCAAGACTGTGGACCGCGAGACGCCACTAGCCCGAGCGTAAGATGCCGCAGATTGGAAGCATCCTGTGCATGCTCCGTTGCCAACTTCGCTAGATGCCCGCCGAGAACAATCTGCGTCTCATCTATCGCCTCCTCCTCTTCCGCTGAAGGTCCATTAGAGCATCCTGACCCTACAATGCATGCTGCCCTGGGCAGCGCCTCTGTTGAGCATAGCGCTCCGCGAACGTGGGCGACTATGTACCCCGGCGCCGCAACACTTTGACCTATTGAACGCAACTGGCCTAGCATGTTCCTAAGAGCTATTTAGTTAAAAATAAATACCATAGTTTGTAGCAATCTGTATTACTTGATGGTCCCTAGCGAGCCACCAAGCCAACGGAGCAATCACGCCAAGGCGGAGCTGGTTAAAGATAGTCAGAAGGCGTTCCGTTGTGTCGTTCAGTGTGTTCAATTGCCCTCAGCCGGTGCAGTACGCTCCGAAACAGCCCGAAGAGACAACCACCTAACCCCCATCAGGATTGTGCAGAACTTTAGGTCGCATAACCTGCGTCTGCTTAGTAAATGCAGCTAGTCCGCCTTTCATGAGTTTGGCAACACTTTGAACATGGTGTTTCTTTCGTCAGAACGGAATGCTACAAATCAAGTACGTCGCAATTGCTGAAGCTTATGGTGAAAAGATGCGAACACGGTTCACTACTAATCGCGCGACAACTTCATTCTCGTCCACTGCTTCTGTAGGGTTCTCTGGACTTCAGGTTACATATGCATAGACGCTACGCCAACACCGTTGCAGTACTACTACTACTAGGATTCTGCAGGCGTGCGCTATCGAGGATGCCCGCGCCGCTGGAGGCTTACTGCCCCGACGGTGGGCCACTTGGGACGTGTGCGTATATCGGAAGCAAACGCCCTAGGCCAATTCCACTACGCCGCTGCACGTCACTTTAGGTTCTAGAATTAGTATAATGCTTTGCGCCTCCCATCTTGTCGAGTGGTCATGTGGACGGTTGGCGCCTCCCGGCCATCCCCGGCACTTTGCCTGGCAACAGTCAAGTCGTCACTGCTCACACAACTCTCAAGCCGTTTCAACTCCACACATATGCCTCAACAGACCCCTCGTACGGGCGGCTTAATCTGAAGTCCGTGGACAGTGACATCACTACATGTACGCCAAGCCCACATGATTATGTGGGCCAGGCTGTGTACGAGTGCTGGTGGCAGTTCAACATCGCTGTCAACAGCTGTCTGGTACGAACGTACGACGCTAACATGCAACTCCGTATCTACACCTGCCTCTGCGCAAACCACGTGCACTGGTTTCGATCACAGGCTGCTGCTTGTGCCTCTTCTACCACTCCACGCCACTGCCGCAACCCCCTGCCCGCACATTGGGTCCTCAGCTACCCCCCCCTAGTTTGTGCACACCACACGTTGGAATTCCTTTTATTCCCCAGTGTATGCTTGCTTTCGCGATACCCTGCTGGCTTCGCGGATCCATGCTAACTGCTCTTCTTGCTCCCCCTCTTGATCCGCTCCTCCCAGGTCTCCATGCGCCCTGACGCCAGCCGGCATGCGGGTGCTGGCCGGTTGCCGTGCCGCCCGTTTGGACTGAGCGGCAACCTGACGAGTGAGTTTGCAATGGTGGGGCGGTGACCAGCAGGGCCCATGTGGGGGAGAGTTGGTGGGATGAGAGCTGGGTTAGAGGGTGTGTCAGCTGGGGTGTGCTGGACATTAGTACGGAAAGTCCATGTGAAAGCACACCTCACTTGACCTTGCAAGTGGCCCATCAGGACCCATGGGTCTTGTACCCCGCATCTCTCTTCCTTCCCTCCCTCCTGATCTCGCTCCGCCACGTGCCACAGCCGATGGATTGGAAGGTCGCGTATGGGCTGACGTTGACGGTCCCGCTCTGCTGTCGTACTTTGAAGAGCATCCGGAGGTAAGTTGGATCTTGGAACAAAAGTGCTTTAAGGACAAAATTGTGTCGTACCCATTCCCAGCAGGTTGGTATGGTAGAACGCTCCCTGCGCATGGTCTTCACGATTACTTTGGATAGCAGCACTAGTCTAGAGCCTACAACCGTCAATCCACTGTTACCACCTGTGCTGACCCTATTCCGCTGCCGTACTGCCCCGGATCTGCACGGACATGTACGAATCCCCGCGGAGTAATCACCAGGTGGTTGCAAGTCTAGGGTACGACAACGCACGAGCAGTTGTACGACACATCTGGACTATCCTGCGCGAATTTACCTCGGACTTGCGGTTCGACGATGACTCATGTGAGTACCAGATGCGTACGGCTTTTAGCCGCTCCGCTTACCCGTGTCGCTTCCTCTCGTAGGGATGCGTACTAAGAATCGCGCATCACTCCTCTCCCAGAAGTGCGTCTTGCTGCATCTAGAGCCACTTCCTGGGCCCTTAACTCACTTCCTCTCCTGCGTCCTACCCACGTCTTCTTTCCCTTCTCCTTTCATCTTCCCGTTTGCAGGGATCGACGACAACGACCTCAACGCTCTACAGGAAGAAGATCATCGTGTACGGCGCCTCGCTACAGCTGCAGTCGTTGGTACTGCTACTACTACCTTACAACGCGACCGTCACGGACCCATGCATGTGTACCGTCCCTCCGCGGGTCGAATGATGCTTAAGATGTCAAACGGCTGCAAGTACCGCTATACGGTGAGGGAGTCATATTCGAGATGGTGGTGGGCGGGGGGCTATCAGTACGAACCTACGAAGTCTCTGTCGTTCATGCTTTTTTTCCAATGCGCATGATCGCCCTGCCACCCTGCCGTACACCTCATGCTGATGTCTGCCGTACAACGCTTCGTTTACCCCGTACTTGTCTCTACTACTGCCGTACTACCCTGCCCTCGCTCTCTCTTTCTATCATGCGCAAACCCACCCGCCCCGCGCCACCCCAGATCAACCCCGACTCGCACGTCTTCGAGCCCCCCGCTCGGCACCGGGCCCACGTGGCCTGGCGCACCTTGGTTGCGGTGGTGGCTTGCCTTGCAGTGAGCCTCTCAGCGGTCGGGCTGGGCGTCTGCATCCACATGTCCCGGCGTCATGCCCAGTTTGTGGCGCAGTATTGGGAATATCAGGCGGTTCAGGTGAGAACGGCGAGCTGGGGCAAGGGTTTCCAAGGTCCATGCATGATGCCCAACATTCCTGCAACAACCGAGTTCTTAATTTTATTAATATTATTATGTCCAAATCGCCGCTCACAGGATCATTCCGGCTCAGACATGCAGCCTTCCACTTTCCTGCGTGTGCGTCTGGAGCCGCCTCCAAAGCCGCCGGCAGCACCAGGAGCCCAAGCAGGGACCCCCCAAGCCTAAGCAGCAGCGGCGGTGGCAGCAGCAGCAGCAAGGCAGCAGCAGCGGCGGCGGGTTGTAGCAGCCGTAGGTTTGGGGCCGCGACTGCTGCTGCTGCTGCTCTAACCATTTGCTCCTCTTGCTGCAAGAGTGACGGGTGCCTGAGGGGACATGGTGTTATGATCCCCACCAGTGTTGAAACTGCTGAAGTGGGCTTCCCTGGAATGAAGAGTTGATTGTTTGTGTGGCGGACTACACGGGCATGCAATGGCCTATCCTATATGTTCTCGAGTGTGATTGAGCGTACAGAAGGGTTCCAAACTGAGCGTAAACTGACTGCATCATCTACTGCCTCTTGTGCATGCCCTTGCGGCCGTTGCAGCCGCACTTGCAGCTGTTTGGATGAATTTAACTGAGCCGCAGACGTGCACCTGTGTGCCTATCAGCCCTGCTCACAATTCCCATGTGCAATCGCTGAATGCGTTTTGCTGAATGTAATGGTGACTGCATATTGAGTGCAACATTTGAGGATGTTGTTTCTCGGCGTGGGTGTTAGGGTAACGTTGTTTACAATGTACGGCGCACGTCGAGAGGGAATACGACGGTTGTGAGGGGGTCTTAATATGCGCGGGCGGGATCTTACCCTTCAGTATGACCACTGTACGAGGCCCTCCGGGTGTTTGTTGACGCATGGTTCTCGTCTTGGAATTTGCATTTGCAGCCAGGAAACATGGTCTAGGCAAAAAATGTCGCAATTGCGTTGGGAGCCTCGAGAGGAAAGCGGTAATGGCAGAGGACTATGGGGCAAGGAGCAAGGGATTCCAGTGCCCATGCTCTGCCTGCGATGCCCTGCAGCATTCGTTAGCTATGCACTGCAAGACGGGGCTGAGTGAGGGGTCTCTTGAGAACCGTGTGTGCTTGAGACGACAACGGCTATCAGTGCAGGTGTTGTGTAGTTGCGCATGAAAGGGCTGAAAGAGGGGAAGGTGTCTGTAATCCTTGAGCCAATTGAGCTGGAGAGGATCATACAGGCCAATCCAGACGTCCCGATTCAGGATTTCGCGCGGCTCGAGTTGGCATGTGAGCTGACCCATCCGCAGGACTCCTGGTCCCCCGGCCGAACGAGACGTTCACATTTGATGTGGCATTGTTTCGCCCCATCCTTGTTGAGATGCGTAATTAAGCGCAGGCGCTACTGACACTGCGTGTTAGTACGCCCTATGTCACCATGTCGCATCATGCTGCCAGGTACATTTGTAACATAACCTCTTAACCTAGCTGCGGCTTGCGTAGGCATGCTTGGCATTCCGCCTTGCAACGACGAGGGCGAGGTTAGGGCGATAGGGTATGGCCGAGTTAAGCTTCGGGATTGAGTTGACGAAGGACAGCAAGCACTCTCTGCAGCCAAGTAGTTTCCTATACCGTCGTTACCCCGGGGTAACCAGAGTGGCCAGCTGAGGGGCGACGCGGCAATCGGGCTTAGTCATTTGGTGGAAAGGAGCCGGGTATGGCATCCCCCTGATTGCCAGGTTCGTAATGCTATATGCGTGTTGGACCTGCTGTTGACTCATCAGACCGGCCCATGCGCACTTCAGTCAACGTACACGCTCTTCATGGCGCCTACGCATTTTTAGCTATAAGAGCACACTCAACGTTGTACACGTGTACAGGTACATATCGGTACCGTGGTTCAAAGAGCGTGTCCTATGTCCATGACGCATACGTCCATGACCTTGCCAGCTACGAGGCTATGTACCGGTACACATAGAACAGAGCTACAACATGATGTTGCTCATACAACGGTTATTAGGAGTCCATCCCAAGCCCTCAGTAGCCATTATTAGCCTTATTGCTGTAGTCCAGCTAGTCCTACCCCCTCTGCTTTACGGTGTCATACTGTCATTCCTTGTCTATGAAGTGCAAATAATACTCTAAAGCTGCCTTACCGTCCATCGCCAATGCACTACAGACCCGGAGTGGCAATCAGCAGGTGATCGCTTCACGCGGGCTTTCCGTACGTTTTTGGCGCGCTACGCTGTTGGCTTCACCGCCTCACAGCTAGTGACTGCCAAACGCTGGGTTAACTTGTGCCTAATTTTCTGCTATATCCATGAACGTCTAGTCGTTGCTATGGGGCGGCCTGGAAAACATTACCCTTTAGAGGCGGCAGCTTGGCATGCTTAGCATCAGTATAGGTAACTCTGCTGCAATTCTGATACACTGCATGCGGGGGAAGTATTAGGGCCAGCAGCCAGCAGTCCGAACTATGCGACGCGCGTCGCCTTCGCGGGAGCCTGGGGACGGCCTGGAGTGCCCAGCATCCACCAAGGTGTGCAGCACAGACCTATGAAGTACTATCCTGGTGATTATGCTTCAAGATTTGGCGTTTTTATGATTCCGTGCTTCGGCCTTGTTGCCATCCAGGCTCCCCCGAGGATACCAGTGGGACCCCTCAGAACAGCACAGGCGCCATCCAACAAGCGACAGGCCACATCGATAGCAGATAATGATCACCACGGTGGAAGTCCTTTATTTTCTCGTGATATCGACCAGCTCCGGGGTTTCCTGGGGTCGCCTCTACCGCCGTTGCACAGCCCTCCGCTGTTCCATAACTCTCCTCGCCGCACAGCGGTCACTTCTCCTGCAAAGCTTACACATCAGCGATCTACCGGCGCTGACGGGTTCGATCCGCTTATCCAGTCATCGTCACCGGCATTGTCGAAAATGTTGCTAAGCCCCAACGCGTTGGGCTCCAATAACCTTCTCGATACGCCAACTAATAGGGGTGTACATATGCGATCAGACATGTTTACACCTACAGCTCGAAGATCGCTTCCGCTAGAACAGCTGTTGACGTTTACATTTCTATCAGACGAAGGACGGCACCACGGGGAGCTACCAACGCGCCAGCAGCAACCGGACCAAAACTCCCCACGAAATGCAAGAAATGGGGCAGACGGCAGCGCCAACGGCAGCATTGGTGCCGGAGGCGTGGCCAGGGCCGGAGACAAGGCAGACGACATCACCACCAACACAGCCGGCGGCTCACAGCAGCCCAGCGCTGTTGTTGCCGATTCCCACGCCCGTGGCCCCGCGGCCGCTGCGCGTAGGTTGAAGTTAGAGGTAAGAGGGAGAGCTTCCTTAAGGGTTTACGTGTGAAGGGCTTATGACGGCCAGAACCTTGTGGCTTCTAACATAGAAGGGCGTGGTTCGTAAGTAAAGGTGCACGCGAACAGAGTGGACACCGCAAGAGGAAAGCCCTCTCGTATCTGTCGTAATGATTTCCCAGCTAAGCACGTGAAGCAGGCTCCTTCGGCAACAACTAACAGGATACCTTTCTCTGCTGAAACGCACCCCAGTCACTTCAGGGGAGCGGTAACCTAAACGGCGGTGTTCTCGGCCCATCCCAGGGCTTCGGGCAAGGACTAACGTCAACGGCAGCAGCAGGCGGGGGCCTTGTGGGGGCCCTTGCAACAACCGCTGGGCCCTCGCAATTCCTCATCAAAGACATGCTACTTCCGCTGGGCGACGGCAGTACGGAAGCGTCAGCTGGATCGGCGGCGACGGGACGCCCTGGCTCGCATTGGCCGCCGCCGTCGCTTTCCCTTGAACCACCCCTGCCTCTGCGAGGCCTTGACCCCGCCTGGGACAGAGGATCGCTTTGGCGGCAAACCGGCGGCGGCAGCAGCGGGAGCCTACCTGCAACATTGCAGACGCGACAGCAGCAGCAACCCCACTGCCATCAGATGGTGCCGACACCGACGCCGCTTGGCAGTAGCAGCCCAGGAGGGCAACCGCCTCTCCAGCAGCAGCGTTGGACACAAGAGCAACAGCCACCACAACAGCAGCAGCGGCTGCTAGCAGGAGGAGGAGACGTGTGCGGTGTCAGCATCAAGACCGAGCATGTTGACGCTAACAGCGGACCGACCCAGGGGTCCTCAAACCCTTCCTCGCCACCTAACCCCACGGAGGAGCAGCAGATGCTGCCATCGGCGTTTGCTACTATGAGTACGCTAGTGGTGAGTGGTCTGCGTTGCATGGGGCGAATGACGTATTACTCGCATTTACAATGAAGGATGATGCGCCCAAGATGGCAGCTTCCCGCATTACATGTTGTGCTGTACCGTTACTGCGTATTGAATGGTGTTGCGTACAAAAGAAGAGGAATTCCTTGGTGCTGACATTCGACCCCCTTCACTTCTCATTCTTGCTTGTAGCCTTCGCCTGAGGATACGACGGCTGCAGTAGTGTCTTCAGCTCACAAGCAGACGGCAACAAATCACTCGAAAGACGCCAACGCCTCCTCCGCCGGATCTACTGCCGCCGCTACCGCCAACGCCCCTGCTCCTCCCGCCACTACTACGGCTGGCGCTACCACAGCTACCGAGACTGCTGCAGCTAACGACGCGGCTCAACCTCAGCACCGCAACCAGAGCAACACCAACAACAGCGGTAACGCCATTCCCGAGCTTCCCTTCACCGACTCGATCAACGGCATGTTGCTTCAAGACCTGATGCCGCTGCTGCCTCGTGGCTTTAGCAGCCTGGGCGGCGGCAGCAGTCTGGGAGGTGCAGACCTTTTGGATGGGGCGCTGCTGCTAGGAGGTGGCGGCTTGAGCTGCGGCATGGCGAGTGTCTTGGACTGCGAGGACGTCAGTGCACACGAGCGCGGACAGGAGCATACGAAGGGCTGCGACGACGGCAGCGGCAAGAGCAGGAACATGGGCGTGGACCAAGGAGGAGCGCCCCAGGTCCGGCAGCAGCAGCACGACCGCTCTTTGTTGTTGTCTTCGTTGTCGCAGCAGGGCAACCAGGAGGCCCAGGATGACCGGATCAACCCTCATGTACATAACGGTAGCGAGGGGCTGATCCTGCCGCCGCCGCTACCGCTTGAGCTCATTCCGTCTGTCGGCGGCGGAGGCCTGGATGGTGGCAACGGCGGTAACGGCCGGTCGTTAAGGTCGTTTCCGAGCATGGCGGCCATGCCAGGCGGAGGCTCGACCGGAATGCTGTTGGGGGATTTGCTGATGATACCGACGACTGACCAACAGACAGCCATACATTCACAACAGCAGCAAGTGAGATTGCCTGCCGCGGCTGGTCGGGGTGGAACCGCGGGCCTTAACAACGGGGGCAATGACAACAACGCCATCGGCGTCGGAGATGGTCACCAAAGGAACCAGATGATGTTGTTTGGTGCCGGCGGCGCGGGCGGGCAGAAAGATCTCGCCATGGGGGCCCTTATACCCGATCCCAGGTTTGTAAGCGGCAGCGGCTGTACGGCACCCACGACAGCGGATCGCTCGCTGCCCCCGGGGCTGCCGCCACGTAGCGGCGGCGGCCCTGGCGGCAGCGGCGGCGGGCCGCAACAGCCTGTTGTCGTACATACCACTGCTACGACGACGGCTGGCGGTGGCGGCCCTCCTAGCTCGACTCCGTCGACGTTGCAACGGCCGCAACGAACTCGTACGGCGAACTCGTTGTACGGCAGTTGCGTTGTTGGGTACGACATGGGGGCTTCTGGTCGACGAGCCTCTTCAGAATTTGGTGAGTGTGGCTACTGGGCCATGTTGGCAGATCTGTTTTCCTGGCCCACTGGTACCGTCTTGCTTGGGGATAAGTCGCTACGCACTCCCTTTGCGCTTCGATACGCTTCTTATTGCCATCCTTTGTTTCCTTGTGTCATCCCCTTCCAGATGCGGCCTTGCTAGCTCCCTCCTTGTCGACGGAAACCGAGCCGCCTCCTCACCTCCAACAGCAACACGAGGAACATATCCAGCTGCAGCGCCAACAACAACTGCAACAACAACAATACCAGCAGCAGCTGCCACCGTCCCGAGCCGCGCCTGGGGGGCCTGGAGGCAGGGGTCGCCGTGCTTCGGAAACGTAAGAAGGCGGGTTGCCTTGAAACGACTGCGATGATTGGGTCTTTTGGCGGTTCATGTATGGGGCAGCTAACGATGCCTCGTCATCGCTACCGCATACCCACCGCTAACGCCATCTCTACCCCCCACCATCTCCACAGAAATTCCAAGTCCTGCCGCTGCAAGAAGAGCCAGTGTCTGAAGCTCTACTGCGACTGCTTCGCGGCCGGGCAGTACTGCGGCGCCTGCTCCTGCGTGGCCTGCCACAACCGCCCGGAGCACGCGGACAGGGTGCAGCAGCGCCGGGAGGACATCTCGGCGCGAGATCCGCAGGTGAGGGAGGAGGAGGCGGAGCGACGTCTGGGGTCTGCTTCCTATTGTCGATTGGAGTTCAACCCGGCCGTTGTTCGGGTTATTAGGTGTTAAGATCTCCAGGATAATTGACGGGGATGCTGATAGCATGTAGGCCGTTCCTGCCTTTCCTTAACGCTTTCCTGACGCTGATGCTGCTGCCTCCGGTTCCAGGCGTTCACTCGCAAGATCCAACACAACGGCAAGCACAAGCGAGGCTGCAACTGCAGGCGCAGTCACTGCCTGAAGAAGTACTGCGAGTGCTACCAGGTGGGAGTGCTACCGGGGTTGTGTCCGGGTGTTCCTTTTGGAATGCCTAGTATACTTTTGTTGTCTCCTGCTCATGGCCTGCTCTCCCGGTTTACTTGCCCCGGCTTCATGGCCTGCAGGGCGGTGTGCGGTGCGGCATCCAGTGCACCTGCCTGGAGTGCGAGAACATGGACACGGCGGTGCTGGAGGCGCCCACGGGGTGAGCACGTGGGCGAAGAAAACCAGATCAGTTGTTAGTCCCGATCTGCAGAAGAAATCGCAGTGCATCGTGGGCTCTATACTATAAGCTCCTTGTAGGGTGCTTTGTAGCTTACAATGCTCGCCTTATGCCATAAAGTTTCCTGTCTCAGCTCGTGTTCCCGCCGTATATGTCCTACTGCGCCCATGCAGGAACACTCGGGCCGCCACCAAGCGTGGTGCCACGGGCAAGGCAACCAAGGGCGGCGGCGCCGGCAGCCGTGGCGGCGCTGTTCGCCGTACCTCCGCCAATGGCGGCGGCACTGCCTCCGCCGCTGACACCTCAATGGCGTCGTCGCCGCAACTGCCGACGGCATCTGGCTGCTCCGAGGGAGCTGGTCCCTCGCCTGCGCCTTCGTACGATGCAACAGCAATGATGCCGTGCGGCATGGGTGGGCTGATGCTGCCTCCCAGTGGTGCCAACCAGACCAACCGTAACAACGGTAACGGCAACAACTACCCCCAACCGATGGCGGTCGACAGCAGCGCTGAGGGTGGCATGAGTGGCGGCATGGAGGGGCTGGTGATGTCCGGCGGTGCTGCTGGTATGCGGATGCTTGGAGGCCATGCGTCTGGTCCCTTGGGCATGGGTGGAAGTGGTGGTGGCATCATGCCGTTTGGCACGCAGCCTTTGCCCGTGGGTATTCTGCAGTTGTCTAGTCTGTCGCAGCAGCAGCACCTAGATGACATGCAGCTGCCGTCGTCTCTGGCCCTGTCGCCATCCCGGCCTTACGGACAGCAGCCGCTAACACGTGCGCAGTCACAGCAGCAGCCGTCGCGGCTGCAGTCCTCTCAGCAGCATCAGCAGGAGGGGCAGCTAGGGTCTCAGCAGCAGGAAGGAAACGCTGCCTGCGGAGGACGGGTGGAAGATGGCGGCAGCAGAGGACATGACGACGACAGCGCTGAGGAGGAGGAGGAAGATGAGGCGGAGGAGAAGGGAGGGCAGCAGTCGCGAAATCAGCGGCGACGTCGGGAGGGGATGGGCCCAGCCACAGCCGTAACACAGGGCCAGGGGGCAGCCCCCAACATCACTGCTGCTGCTGCTGCTGCTGAGGCGCCTGGCGGTAGCTTAGCATCCCAGCATCAGCAGCAACAGCACCGCCGAGACACGCCACGACACATGTTTCTTTCTGATGGTGGCTGCAGTGCCGACCTGGTTGTTTCACCTCCCGCATTGGCGATCCTGGCACAAAGCAACCTCTTCACATTTGACAGTGACGACGATGAGGACGACGGCAAATATGGCCACGGCGCTTTAACGGTGCATAACGGTGGCGGGGATCCCATGGACGTAGACCGACGTGGCAACAACGTAAGGGACCGGCCCATGGGTCGTCAGCCTCATGGCCGAGCCACAGCAGGCGAGCCGCTCTCCGCCACAGCCGCCGCTGTCGCGGGTATGGACTTGTTCAATGCGGATAGCGCCCTGGCGGATGCGATGATCGCTGCCATTGCAGGAGAGGCCGCGGCTGCTGCTGGCGGTGGGGGCAACGGTGGTGCCCCTCCTTGCATTGGCGGGACTGCAGACAGACCCAGCTGGCTGCAGCAACGCAGGGACGAGACTGGTGACCTCTCTCAAGGCGGTGATGGCGGTGGCGGTGGCGGGCATCAAGGTCTGGCTCGTCGCAGCGGTGGCACCGGCGATGGTTCCGCTACTACCACTACCGATGGCGACGCTACGGCTGCTGCGGCGGGAGCCTCCTCGCCCTCTAGGGCAAGCACTCAGGCAGGGGCAGGTGGCAACGGCGGTGGGGGCCTCGGCGTCGGCAGCCTGTTGTGTGGGGAGATGCTGAGCGCCGGCTTGCTGGGCGACGAAGACGAGGATGACGGGACAGTGGAGGGACACCAGCGCTCGCGGCATCAGCAGGAGGCGTTCTTCATGCCCTCTTTGGCGTCACCGCGGGCAGGGCAGCAGCAGGGCTACCTGACGAGTCATGGTGGACTGCTGCATGGCGTTGTTGGGCTGCATGGTGGATTCCATCAGCAAGCAGGGCACTCCTTGCTGTCTCTATCGCCCATGCAGCAGGGCCCGGCGGGTCGCAACTGGCAGCAGCATCAGCCATCTCTACTGACCCATGGGCCATCACGCTTTGCGCCACGATCCAGCGACATGCTACCTGCTGCATGTGATGCTGGGTTGCCGTTGTCACTGTCATCGCCTACGTCGCTTGTGGAACTAGGAGCGGATTGCTGGGGAGCGGGAGCTGCAGCTGCCAGTGTGCATACTCTGGTCTCGCCTGTGCGGACGTCTGCCACCATGCGGCGTGCCTCTTCAGCATCGCCTGTCAAGGGGAAGACGGGGGCATGTGTCGCGACAGGAGTAGAGGCGGCAGGCAACGGGGAGATTGCGGACGCAAGCCGACAGGTAGGGGGCAGCAGCCGGGACGGCGTACCCCAGGGGTGACGGGAAGCTAAGATTTAAACTAGCGGTGCGTGGCTGTAGCCCTAAGCTCGGAATGGCTGTTACGTAGGCTGCCGTGTATCTGCTTGGGAAGAACCCTGACGTCACCCTTGGTTGCTGCTGCTTTTCCTTGGTGCTGGCATGCGTTTATGTGGTCTTGCTAATGCTACTGTATCCTAAGTTGCAGCCAAGCCTGACTTTTGCATGTTCCCAACTCCCTCCACAGCCCGGCTTGGGACCCGCCGATCACGGCGCTACAGCAGTCACCACCGTTATCAAGGAGGAAGAAGAAACTGACGGCGGCGACGCCAACCCCCTCATGCAAGACAACTGGCTTTCTTTCGGCACCACGTCCGCTTCCCTGGACCCTACAACATGCATGCGGCAACAGCCACTACCACCAGCGCTGCCATCCTCGGGGCTCTGCACGGGCTTAACAAGCACCGGGGCCGCATCGACCGCACCGTTAGGGCCACGTGGGGCGGCTGCGGCTGTGGGTGCGGCAGCCACAGCTGGAGCACAACCAGGCACGACGACTACAACTACAGCACGCGGAGGCGGTGCTGGGACACGGGGAGGTCGTGGCAGCTTACGTGGACGTAACTCGGCGGCTGAGCGGGAGCTTTTGAAGGCCAGTGCGTTGCAATATATGACACAGCGGCTTGGGGGAGGGGGTGGAGGTGGAGCAACGGCGAGTGCAGGAGGAGGAGTGGCCAGGGTAAGGATATCGGGCAGCTGAAGGGATGCCTCTTAACACTCGATCTTACCCATGCAACCCTTCTTGCGGAACTGCTCCCCGTGCTGTCTCATTAGGCATCTTTATACTTGCATGTGTCTCTGCTGTTACCGGTAATCTCTCTGACTTCCCTGACCTAATGGTTTTCACTCTTCTCCTTCTTCCCCCACGCCCTGCGCCGCAGCTTCAGTCGCAGCTGGAGGCTGAGGGAGGCAGCTGCCTCATGAGCAGCAGCGGCAGCGGTGCCTTTGGCATCGCTCTCGCCAGCGGCGGCGGCAGCAACAATTTCACGTCCGCTGTCATCGCCACCACCACCAACACGCTTGACCGGCATTCCTCGCTTCCGCTTCCTCATCTGCCTCTTCAGCAGCAACAGCAACAGGCGTTGCATGCCCCACTTCCCTCCTCTTCATCCGCGCCCCTCCGTCGGGTGCCCTCGGCACCTGCACCAGCAGGCGCTACAATCATGCTCGGAGGCACAGGAGGGGCCAACCAGCAGGCACCGGTATCATCGATTCCTCAGGATCCTCAGCATCCTCACCAGGACGTTGCCGGTGATAGCAGCATGTCCAGTGGTCATGGCCGGACAAATAAGGCTGCGGGAGCGACAGGAAATGGCGATGGGAGCGCAGCCTCAGACCCTGTAGCTGGAGCACCGCCCTCAGGAGGTGACGGCGGCGGCACCAGCGATGTTGGATCCGGCGGGGCTGCTGCTGCTGCTGTCGGTAGCGGTGGTGGTGGTGGTGCTGGAGGCGGCATGAGTCGCCTGGGGTCGGCCAGTCTCGTGCGCACAGCGTCAGGCCCAACGGTACCAGCGACGACGACAGGGGCGGTGCATGAACAACCCAGCGGTACCCAGCAGCAGCAGCAGCCCCCATGCACCCAGGCACTCAGGCCTCAGCTGCACACGGGTGCAGTTCGCATCGGCTCCATGACGAAGCTGGGGTCGGGAAGCACGATGTTCTTTGGACCCCAGCAACCAAAGGTGGTGGGATTGTAAGGTATAGGCGGCATGGTGGATGGCGTATGTACCCGGGAGAGGGCAGAGGGGTCCCGGGGCACACATAGATACCGTACGTGTTTGGCATGTGTGAGGCCGCGTTTTTTTGGCGGCGGCCGCAACAATCAACGCTGGGGCTCTTATGGGGTTGGTTCTTGGTGTTGGTATTGTTGAGGTGATCCTGTTGGCAAGTTGGGAAGGTACATGTACTTACTACACGTGCGCGGTAACAGCGGGCGTTGGTCGGTGTTTGAACCTATATAAACACGAACCCTTTCGTGTGTGACGTGCTGGCAGCTAGGGTTGCGCACATCTGGATTCTGGGTTCTGGGTTATGCAGAGGATCAGGCGGGCAGACAGGCATGCAGGCAGGAGGGAGAGGCTTGGCACCATGCAGCGATGGAGAGAGGGGCTGCGGGGGGTGTCAAGGATGCGTCCGTAGTTCTTTGATGCATCGCAGCTCGTGCGTTGTGGGGGCTTTCAATAGAGTGAGGCAGCCATGCAAACAGTGGAAAGCCTGACGTGGGCTTAGCTGACGCGACGCTTTCCAATCCCAGCGCGTGACAAACGGGTGACAATAAGGGGGTATTGTGGTGACGGCGGCAGGGACATGGCTACGTGGCTGTGCGTGTTTGCCATACCGGTATCCGCCCCGTGCCTTCGGCGCGCGGAAGGTTAGTAGCAATCGGTTTCGCCGCTGGTTTGCTAGTGCGAAATAGGAATACCCCGAGGTGGATAGGGCGTAACGAGACGCTGATGTTATAGGACAAGTAGGCGTGGGCTGGGGCCAGCTTTTCTCGTTAACCTACACGAAAGGACGATCTTCATGATAGGGTTTCCGCATCCCTCTTTTCTCTGTTGTTTCTTCTTACAAACAGGCAATGCTTGGATGGGCACGTGCTTCTCCACAGCACATGGCTTGGGTTGCTGCAGCTGTTGCTTTGCATGTGCGAATTAGGTTTCATTCAGCAGCAGGCGCGTTCACTTTTAGGACGGTTTTATTGTTTCTCATCTTCCTGTTGGTTTCTGTCTCGTAGTAAGACGACGACGGGGGCTTCGGGTTTCCGTACATCTAGTGCGGGTGGTGACGGTGATGGTTGTGAACTAGAGGCCATGCTGTTTTGCGCTTTGGATGCTGCTAAGACCGTTAGATTCATTCGTGATCACCTCGTCCGTTTGCACGTTTGACTCGGTGGCATTTCTGCAATTGCTGCTAGCTGTTTCATTTGTATGTGGTGCTGATGACCAGTAGGGCCTAGTTGTGTACGCAAGGTGCTGGTTGGGGGCAGCGCTAGAGGCAAAGGGGTCGTCACAGTGGTGTAGCTGTGCTGTGTGGAAGCGACGACGCGAAACCCTTGTTGCTTCATCTGCTGGTGTTGGCGGTAAGAGAGGTGCTAGCTCTTGCTTTTGCATGTGTAGGATTCGCTTTGCAGTTGGTACGAATGCGGTGTACGAGCGAGGTACGACAGCCGGGCAGGGGGCGTGCGCAATTTCAATCAGGCAGGCAGGCACGCAGGTATGCCGCAGGTAGTTGTTGCGGTTTGAAGGCTGGTATGCTTAACATGTTAGACAAGGTAGTGATTGCTACGTGAATCTACAGCTGGTCTGGATGGGGGCACTGGGTGTGTTGGCGTGGTGGGGCGAGGGTTAGCTAACCTTGATGCTATCGGCGCTGTCAAAAATCAGGGCTGTACTTGACCGTTGCTTTGTCTTTCGTAACGGGGAGGAGCAAACGGGTAGTATTTGCGATGCCTAGGTAATATGGATTGGGTACTGCCCTGAGGAGAGTCATGACGGGACTCCAGCCCCATACGGGGTCGGACTATTACCAGTTTCTGTTCCATGTGCCAAACACCAGAGTGAGGGGTGAGGCAGCTGTGCCAGACATGCACCCTTACTACGCGACTACACGTTTATGTAGGCTAGTATTGTCCGTTAAGGACTCCTTCACCTCATCCACGCCCTCCACGTCTTCCGGCCTCCACAGGCCCCACGCGTTCCTCAGCATCGTAAGGCCTCAAACCCAACCGACCAATGAGCTCTATCGAAACAGTTACACCGAACGCTACATAGCAAACACATCATGGTAGCACCGCCGACCCCCAACTACCGCGGCCCTCCTCCCTTGCTCTTGCCGTTGCCGCCTCCGCTCTTGTCCGAAACAAACCTCCTCTTCCGTGCCTCCGCCTCCATCTCCTCCGGGCTCCAAAGAGGCTTGCTGGGCGCACGCCCGAACTGCTTCACAAATTGCCCTCGCCGGATGCGAGCAGCGTCCCGTGCGCGCGCCTCCTCCTCCTCTTCTAACACCAGGGTACTGTCGCGAGGCGGGGTTGGAAGGGCAATGAGTGAGAGCGGTTCCATGACAACCAGGGGCAGAGTGGGGGTAGTAGACAGGAGGGAATGAGGAGGGCGGGCGTACATGACAGGCCGTGAGGTCATGATCTCATGAACCGCAGCAAAAGGCGTCGGCCCAACGAGGAGCATGGTAAATGGCCGTACACCAGGAAGCAAGGCAGGCATGGGCTCAGCCTCCTTTTAGCTCCTCCACGCTGCGATCAGCAGGTCCCCGTCCACCTCCACAAACCTTTTGCCCACCTTTCCCAACATCCCCACCCATCCCCTGCCCCCGCCCCCACACGCTGCCCTCCTTCCCCGCTCACCCCGCGCCCACTCTCGCCAGCATGCGCCGCTTGAGCGCCTCCGTGGCCTCGATGCTTGCCAGCTTGTCGCGCGCACTCAGCGGTACCTCCGCCAGCGTGCTCACCAGGCCCGGCAGCACCACCTCCTGCTCCAGCTGGCTCTGGAAGTCGGCGGGCACGGCGTAGAGCTCCGCCTCGATCTGGGCAGGGGGGGAGGAGAGGGAGATGGACATGGAGATAAGGGGGGACCGAAGCAGAACCAGAACAGTTGAAGGCGTGCCCAGAGAAAGAGAGAGAGAGACAGAGAATGTGTTAAAATAACTGGCCGCGCGTGTGTGTGTGTACAAAATCAGGGACCGCAGTACGGCACTACTGCACCGAGCTGCAGCGAGGATACGGAAGTTTTCAAGTGGGAAGCGGGGGAGAAGAGGCAAGGCAGGACCGAGCACGCCGTACATACCTTCCTTCGCTTGGCCTCCGGATCTAGCTCGTCCTCCGCCGCCTGTTGCGCCGCCGACTTGCCCAGTCGTAACGCCAGCTGCTCCTCTATATACTTCTGCCTGTTAACGGGGAGTGCAAGAGCGGGGTAAGTGGAGAAGCGCCAGACTGGGCATGGTGGGCTACGAAGTGCAAGCACCCACGTCGCAAAACATGCAGCGTGAGGCAAGTCAACGCACCCAAACCTTGCCCCACGGCTCCTCCGTTCTCAGACAGGGTTTAAACCCACACGCGCAGGCAAACCCACACACGCCCGCAAGCCACTCCTCACATGTGTTCATCCTCGTTGTGCTGCGTCTCTATGGACTTGGCCTTCACATACGCGTCCATCACCACCGTCCCGGCTCCTCCGCCACCCCCATCAGCTGCCGAGGGGGCCTCCCCCGGTTCCGCCGACCCCGCCCGGCCGGCCCCGCCGCCTGCAGCCGCGGCCCCACTGGCGGGCCCTATGCCGGGCCCCGCTAGACCCATGGCGAGGGAGGAGGCGCCGGTGCCTGCGGTGCGCTTCCGAAGCTGCTGCATCAGCCGGGTCTCGGCCAGCTTGTCCCTGTGCGGGTAGAGGTGTTGGTGTCGTGTTGGGGGGGTTGCATTAAAAAAACTGGCCGCGAACCGGAACATACTGTTGGTGTGTGTGTGTGGGGGGGGGAGGAAGTGTCAAAACACATGCATGTGAAAATGTGTATACCATGAGGGTTTCTGGTAGGATGGGTTACCCTATTGCATGGAAGGCAGGACGGCATGTACAATGCTGTTGACGAGCGTGTGGTAATGCAAGCTCAGGATATGTATTTGATACGCAAGGTGCAAAGGGAACAAGGAAAGGGGCCTAGAGGGGAGGACGGGCCCCAGGGTAACATGCGGGAGGGCTGTTGTGCGTGGAGTTGGAGAATAGCCTCCACCGGGCATCCCGTGTGTCATTTCTGGCACATTACGTCAACCAGAGTCATATCAGGGCTACCTCCCTGCTGGAAGGGAAGTAGCTACACAGTTTGCTGGCTCACCTGTTGCACTCCGGCTCAAAGTCTGCCTTCGGTGCATCCTCAGGCTCCTCCGAGGCCGCTTTCTTGCGAATGTTCCGCTGCTTGGACATGTTTACCCTTCAAGGGGGGCGGTGGAGATGCTACCTACGCGAAGTTCTAGTCCGTTTGCCTCGCGACGGATGGGCTAGCGCTGACTATGCGTAGGCTAAGATCCTGTGCCTTATCAACAGCGCTCGATTGTAAAAGTACGATGTCTCTTGCTTGTGCTACTGGGGTGCCTGTAATTTGCCAGACTGTCACTGTCGACTCTTCATTCATATATGTTCCAGACCCAACTGCTTTTTAGCAACGCATGAGTGATACTATCGGTCTGACAAAAGCTAAAAGCGGCAATGTGAGAATGCTCGGAACAAAAACGTTTACAATTGCCGTATAGAAGGACGAGCAACCGAAGCGGTAAGAAGAGTAGAGGACGACGTGAGCTAGAAGGTGCGGCGTTGTTGTCTTATTAAGATGCGTGCTTACTACATTGGTCACAGAACCTCATTACGCCAGCCACCGCCGCCGCATGGTCGGGTGATTCCTACCCGATCGGGCCGTAGAGCATGTAGGATCCGGCTTTCTGTCTCTTTAACTGATTTGCATGGTGATGATGGGGGCTTGCAACCATCGACGTCGGGACAGGAAGGCTTTGACTATGAGGCGCCGGCATGGATTCGTGAACGAAATGCAGCGTTCGCAGAGCGCATCCGAGGCAAGCTGGTCCTTGCGCCGCTTACAAAGGTATGTGCCGCATGTTGCCTTGTTTGCCTCAATCGCACAGATCTCATGGTTGCCTTCTTCCGGGGTTGCAGGGTGGCAATGTGCCATTTCGGCGCTTGTGCACGCACTTCGGGTGCGAGGTCACGATGTCCGAGATGGCCTTCACAAAGCCCTTGTTGAAAGGTAGATGCATGTTTGCTGCTATCCTTGTAGCAAGATGCCTGCCGCTTGCGATGCTGTTTGCCCCTCGGCTGACGCTTCTTTTGTAGTGTCCTTACATGCATGAGGCGACCGAGTCGAGCGTGCTCGTCTATACAAGGCACCTGGCGAACAGATGTTCGGCTTCCAAGTCGCCTGCAAGACCATCTCTGATGGCATTGCGGCATCGAAGCTCGCCAAGGAGGGAGGAGCGCAGTTCCTAGACATCAACTGCGGCTGCCCCATCCACGGTAAGCCACAAAACCACCGCACAACGCCCTATGGATTTGCTGTTATCTTAGCCACACCTTACATGACGTTTGCTCTTACACGAGCTTTGCATCTCGTCCGTTCTTAAGTCATCCCAACCTTCAAATGCTTCTGCAGAGGCCACAAGGCGAGGCATGGGCTCAGCCATGTTGCGTAAACCTCGTTCCCTGGCGAAGATGGTTGCCGGCATCGCAGCAGAGTCGGAGCTGCCGGTTACCGTTAAGGTACGACACTCGTACACCCACGTGCACGGTGGCAGATGGAAATGATGTGTTGTGCAGCGTCGGATTAAACGCAATATGTTGCCCACCATTTACCCAGCTTCCACTGATGATCCAGTCCTGACCCTTCACCATGTCGCTGTCGCCTTGCATCCTACCCGTCCATGCCTTACCAACTGCCTTCTCACATGCGCCTTCCCTACTGCCTTCCTTGTCACGTGTACAGGTTCGTCTGGGAGAGAACGACAAACGGATTAACGTGGACACCGTCGTACAGTTTCTTGAACGAGCCGGCGCCGCAGCGGTTACCATACACGGCAGGACGGCGGAGCAGAGGTGAGGTGGCGGCGCGTCATGGGGTTATACCGGTAGCTTTCTGGCGGTATTTTGGTGCTGTCCGGAGCAGAGCCGAGGGATGAGATTATGTGGATTCCCCTTCGGCAAGTGGTTGCAACCACCATTACCGAAAACTCCACCTCTGACGGCTCTCTTGCATGGAAGTTACGGGTTGTTTGGGTTGCCTAGGTGGCATGTGGCGATGTGGGTTGGGTAAACTAAGCCGTCAGAAACTCTGACTGTAAGTATGACACAGCATGATTGTGATACAGGGTTTGTTGGCTATGTGGGCTTACACATAGCCAACAAACCCTGTGTCACGGTCATGCTGTGTCATACTTACAGTCAGAGTTTAACGAGATTAACGTGGATTCCTCTTCGGCAAATCAATTTGCCGAAGGGGAATCCACGTTAATGTCATCACACGGTTCCCTATCGCGCGCCCAACATGAGACGGGTTGGTTACATTGCTGGATTGGGGCTTTGGAAAGGTGGGGATCTGGGGAACAACCAAGCATAGGGAAAGGCGGGCAAGGGCCATGTGGGATCACAAAGCAGGGAGCCGCGGGATGAGGCTATGTGGATTCCCCTTCGGCAACAACATATTACCGAAACTCCACTCTCTGACGGCTTTCTGGATCCACTCGGGCACTTGGATCCACTCTGGCATGTTGGGGTCGGCAGGGAACAATGCGAGGGTCAGGGCAAGGCCGCGACCACGAACCGATCAGCCGAGGGATGAGACTCTTTGGATTCCCCTTCGGCAGTCTTCCCGTACAAGGGCGGGCAGGGACCGAACATATCCGCAGTCTCTGACGGTCGACGGTCGTACCCGGGCGGTTTCACCTTACAGACACAGCACAGCGGGGCATAGTCAAACATCAGGAGTTGGATAGTCGGTTATCTGTTGGTAAACCGAAGGGGAATCCAATTAATCTCATCGTTTGCCATTGCTTGCTCGGCGCGTTTTCACTCCCGGGTACGCCATCTTAGTTTGTGACTAAGGTGGCGTACCCGGGAGTGAAAACGCGCCGAGCAAGCAATGGCAAACGATGAGATTAATTGGATTCCTCTTCGGTTTACCAACAGATAACCGACTATCCAACTCCTGATGCCTCGTTCATGCTGCTGCCACTACCCGGCCTTCTAAAGTACATCTGCCTTCATTCTTTACTTCTTCATCCTTGACCGGTATCTCATCTCCTGCACACTCGCTCTCTCCACTTACCCAGGTACAAGAAGCCAGCCGACTGGGGCCGTGTGGCCTCCGTGGCCGCCTCCACGTCCCTGCCCGTCATCGGCAACGGCGACATCCTCACGCACTACGAGGCCAGCAGCCGGCTAGCGGAGTCGGGCTGTACGGCAGTCATGGCGGGGCGCGGAGCGCTCATCAAGCCTTGGCTCTTCCTGGAATTTAAGGAGGTAAGGAGAACGGGAGGAGGAGGATGTGTTGGATGGTGGGTGGCCGAGTGTGGGTGCCGGTGCTGCGCGGCTGGAGGGAGGGGAAGCACGGTTTCGCAAGTGGTTGAGGCACAGCAGCGTTTTGCTAGGCAGTGGTCCGTTATAAATAAGGAACTCGTTTGTTGGTTACGTGTATCATTGAGCGCCAACCCTTCATCTCCACCTTTCCCCAACCCCAGGGTCGCGAGCTGCTGCTAACCACCACCGAGCGAGTGGGCGTCTATCGCCTGCTTGTGTCGTACATGAAAGAGCACTTTGGCGACGACGAGTGGGGCCGGCGCAAGGCCTGGTACTTCTTCCCCTGGCACTTTGACTTCCTCACACGCTACCGCCCGCTTCCGGAAGCCGTGTACGGCGACCTCAGTCGGCAGCACCCGCTCATCCTCACTCGGATGGACCCTGCTGACCCACGGGTCGGCGAGGAGCTCGGGTCGCTGCCCTGGGCGGAGCGGCTGCTGCGGTGCACGCATCCCGAGGCGCATGAAGCCATAGCGGAGGCGTTGTGGGAGGCGGGGTCGGATGAGGAGGCGGTGGCGGCGCTTGGGCGAATTGGGTCGGAGAGGGTGGTGGCGTGGGAGGAGGCGGAGAGGGCAGGCGGGCGGGCGGGTGGGGAGGATGGGGATGCGAGCCGTGGGGGTGGGTTGGGTGTGGTGGGAAGGCGGAAGGGAGGTGGTGGGGAGGTTGAGCGGGGGTGATGGTGACACTGGTGAGGGGACTTGGATGAGTGTTTTGGATGTACACTGTGCGGGAGGTAGAGGCCGTGAACGCATTAGTGCTGCTGCTACTACGAGAGGGCGTGTGGCTTGTCTAGAAAGCCAGAGTAAGTACTGGTGTGGGATCCCGATTGGCGAGAGCTGTGTTGGGTTTTTTCGCGGTTGCAATTGTAACCTCGTTCACTTTTACAAATGACTTCCACGAATAGCCGCTAAACCCCCGGGCACGCAAGACGATGCCTGCCAAGAGTATTTTTTAGACTCCTTCCATCATCCCTCCTTTGAAATTACTTGCTACAAATACCCACCATGCCGAGTAGGCAAGGGGCCCTCTATAGATACCCTTTCTTTATTTGTAACTGTGCAAGGCAACCAACATGCACAAAACAATTCAGTACAATCCAAATCCAGCAGCAAGGACAACAACACTATATGACTGTGACACTATATGACGTACAAGTGTACGATTAACATGCGGTGCCTGAATACATGAACCTTAGCCCCACCATCACCATCGTCTCATTTGTTACCCTTACTTGCCAACCACTACTCCTCTCTAGTATATATACTACTATACATACTGCACCTCGGCCTGACTGCCATTACGGTATTCGACATGCAGAAGCAACCTTCAGTTAAACGCTAAAACAGCAAAGGACAGCACGCGAGCGCATAAGAGAGACCCTTCACACCGTGAACGTCTTGTTGGGGTTGATGAGGCGGTTCTCGCCCGGGTACCCAATTGGGTTGACATGGAACTTCTCCAGCTCAACGCCCGTGTGGGTGTGACCTGCCACCCACGCCACAATCTCAGGGCTGCTTGCAAGCGGGATGTCCGAAGCAAACGCGCTGTTTATGCGAGGCACGCTGTGTCGGTACTTGGGGTCGATGAGGGCGGTCGATGGGAGATGGTGTGAAATCACCACTAAGCGACGACCGCGTTCTTTTGCCGATTTGACAGCCACCTCCAACGCCGTGCAGGCCTTCTCGTGCAAACCACGTGTAACCGGAATTGTTGCCCCGGGGATGCAATGGTAGTCGCTTAAGCACTCTTGGACGTCTGCTTCCTCTAGCTGTGAGACTTGGGACCAGAACGTACCGCCAAATACTGTGACATCGGTAGACGGCATGTCAAAGCTGGTATTTTGAAGGAAAGTCACGTTGGGAAAGACGCTGCAGACCTCCATTATTTTGGCGTCCACTTTGTCGAACCAGCTTCCTTCGAATCCGTCGAGGAGCTCTTCGCTCCTCCGATTTTGATAATACTCGTGATTTCCAGATAATACGAATACGTGGTCGAATTTATCTGACATGTTTTCCAGAAAGCGTCGGTAAACGTCTGAAGTGGGGTCGCCCATGTCCCCAGCCAGGATTAAGTAAGGTGCGGCCCTTCGCACCATTTTCTCAGCGAAGGCCTCCATCATATCAGGCTCAGACGCATAATGCTCGGTGTGGAGATCTGAAAAATACTGAAAATGTAAGGCATCGCCCGATGTTGCTTTTGGCATCCTGCTGAGCCAGCAGCTCCTTATTACAGATTGTGCAAACCTTTTCAACATTAAGATACACTAAACGACACCTAGTTAGCATTCGAGCCATCTGGGCTTCTAGTATACACAAAGCTGTCGTGTCGCCTGTACGGCGGATCCAATCCTCGGAGGATGTGCAAGCCGGGGTTTCTGCATCACATCTGGGCTTCTTCTTAGGATTGCTTGTTACCAAACGAGTTGTTCTACTGCTTGCCTGCAATGCACACCCAGCTCTTGATGTGTATTGCGTGCTTCTGACATTACGTTGTCTGCCATCCACAGGAAGAAATCATTAAGGGCCCCTTGTTGTTAGCATATACTCAACAACGGAGTAAGCATAGATGTAAGTTCCAGTTAGGATCAAGGTATAGCAACATACAACCGGTGCATCTGCACATAGCATGTCCTTTCAGCCCTACAGGTGAGTTTGTGCTGCGTCTACGAGAAGTGCGACCATACCTGCACCTCACACGCGCAAACTGGCACGCTGCATGAGCCAAGCTAACATATTACCCCTACCATAACCGGCGTGTACCTTTTCTGCCGCAATGTCGGCATGAATGCCTACCTCGCCTACGACTGCCCTTTCGGCTTGTTGCACCCGCGGTAGCTACGACCCTTTTCATTGCGTTATGCTAATGCAACTGATGCACTTCCCCCGATGTCGTAAGTAGCATCCTGCGGCAAGCAGCAGCGGCAGAGCTACTGCATACTGCAGCCATCACCACCGCTCTTGCGGCCGCTACTCCTGCTGCTGCAGCTGCGACAACAGCGGCAGTAGCGATCGCCGGCAAGCTGCCGCGATGTCCTCGGGCGATGCCATGGCTCCAGTTCCCTCATCCCCACATGCCAGCCGCTTGCTAACCGGCGGCACTACCACCACTGTACTGCTGCTGCTACCGCCACCGCTATCGCTGCTGGTAGTGTGAAGTCCACCAACGCCACTCTGTAATGTTGGAATGCCGGTGCTTGCGGCACCAGCCGCTGCCGCTGTTGCTGCCGCGGCAGCTGTCCCCAGCTCCAGCAGTGTGTCCAGGTGGCGCGAGGTGAAGGGGGAGTTCCACATGGCCGTGTTCATGGCAGGGGCAACCTGGGAGGCGGGATGAAGGTGGCAGGGGGTAGGCGGGGATAACGGGGTGCGTCGTGTTTAGCGCGTGTGTGTTTCGGGGTGGAGGTAGACATACCTACCCGCATCCGTATACCGTAGCCGGCTTACCGTACTTCAACCTCCCTCTACTTACCAGCATCGGCTTGCTGAAGTCCCATGCTCGTACGACACACGTCAGCAGGTTATCCGCCATGCCCGCAGCCATCTTGGCGAGGGTGTTTGCGGACAGCGGTGCAAGCAGCAGGCAATCGGCCCAGCGGCGCAACTCGATGTGCAGCACGGGGTCGCCCACGACACGCCACTGCCGCCACTCGGTCTCATCCTAGGAATGGGAGGAGGTGGAGCGGGAAGGAGAGGTTTGGGTGGGAGGAGGAGCGGGTGGGAGATAAGGACCAACAAGAAGCCGGAGCTTCTAGTAGAAAAATTCGGAAACCCTTCTCGAGACGTTGCCCTAAGAAATGTTAAAGAGTATGTAACAATATGCTTAAGCTTACTCCAAGAACTGGTTTGACGGCATCCGGCAAGTCATCCTCGTTTATGAAGTGCTTGGCCGAGCTTGTTACAATTAACTTTACGTCCGCAAATTCTAGTAGCAGTCGACAGAGGGCCGCGACTTTGATGCTTGCCACGCTGCCTGTGGTGTTGCAATTGGCACATGGTCACCGACGCGCGCTGTGCCCCGCTCCGTTTTACAAGGGCAGCTTCCGAAGCAGCATGTTACAATATTGCTATGCCCAGACCTGTGCTTCCCAGCAGCACCCTAGGTCGTCTGCCATCCGAACTCATCTTTGTGAGGCTAGCGCTATCGCTATCGCGCATAACATATTAATCCACCTGCAAGATTGTATTGAATTAATAGTACATCGGTTAATAGTCAGGAGTAACTGACTGCGTCTTCAGTACACGTGCCCTGATCTCACCCGCGACGCACTCTAGCCCATCCTACGCCCCCAAGAGCTTTTTGTACGCCGCGCGGCGCCACACACCACATTCCGCACATCCGCTCACGTTCCTCTGCATAAGATTGCGATTCTAGCACCACACGCTCTCATCCCTATCTTCTCTGTCGTACACACACTGCTTTCAGCTGTTGGCCTGTTAACGAATAGCATACAAGACGCAGAGTACACGGACCCATTACCTGTTACTGCACAAGCCCTACAGCCTTACATCTGAACATGGAACAGGTCCAAGCAAAGCCTGTAAGGGCCCCTACTGCTGACATCCGCCTCTCCTCCTCTCCTCCATCCCTCCTCTCCTCCAGCCTCCCTCTCCCTCACTCCGCTGCCGTAATGCACTTGAGCAGCCCTCCCGACCACTCAAATGTCGCCTCCGTCTCCACCAAGCAGCGCTCCCGCTGTTCTTCGCTCCAGCCCTCCGCCAGGATGTTGATGCTTCGCCGTACCGCCTCCAGCGCTGCGTTCACGTCCATGCCAGGCCATTTGTAGAACTCCAGGGTGGCGCCGTCCAGCACCATGCCGGCGACCTATTAAGGTGAGGGGGTGAGGGGTAAAGTTCCTGCTTTCCCCTAATCCTGCGTGCCCAGCATCCTGTCCGTCTGCCCTGCTAAGCACTGCTCACATGCCCTTCACGCTTTCCCTTGTACATGCTTAGGGTTGGTCCCTCTTTACTCCCTACACTCCCTTACCTGCTTGCCAATCATCCTGCCGCCCGCCGTGTGTGCGAAGTAGAAGTTGTAATAGTGGCAGATGAAGGCTGGCGGGTCCTCCTTCGCTAGCCGCTCCAGCAGCCGGCAGTACGACAGGCCTACGTGTCAGAAGGCAATATGCGTGTGTAAGGTACATGACAATGCATCTCGTCCCCAGAGGATTGCAAAGGACGAGCCAGCTTAAAAAGCACTCTGACCTGGCCCATCCTCTTTGAGCTCGGGTGCGCTGAGCTGGTAGGTGCGATGGAACCATGCTAGGTCCTCAGCCAGGCTTTGGCCGCGCTCCAGTCCCGTGTTACGCAGCACGGCGTCTGCAAGATAGGTAGGGCGCGAAAAGGGCGTTCAGAAGGCGCTGATCCTGGCCTGGGTGGTTGGGGCAAGCTGCGTCCTTACATGCGTCATTCTCATGCACTAGCCTCTCGAAGGCATCGTAGACCGCCTTCGACTCAGCAAGGAATCTCAAGTAGCCCTTGCGTGTGGGAACCCACTGCAATTGGAAGACAAACGGTTGATGCAAATAAAACAACGTTAATAAAGGCAACACCTCAGCTCGGCACCAACCTACCGGACCCTGGTTCTTTGGTGTCTCCTTGCCGCCCTCCTTGGGCGCCTGCTCCTTTGTGTGCAACTTCATCGCAACTTTCCGCATTTCAGCGATAAATCCTGGGCGGAGCGAAATGAAAGTCGTGCCCACGCCAATAGTGTTGTCCGCAAATTAACCAACGTATAACCGCGCCTACCCCGATCCTTCTCCGTGACCACAGTTGTTCCCGATTGTCCATGTCCATGTCCGTGTCCATGTCCGTGGCAAACAACGCGTACTATGCGTCGCGGCGCTCTGGCCCGGGGCGCAACACGAGACCCTGAAGAACTGTGAGGAATGCGTCTAGATAGAAGCATTGTGGCAATTGTTAACTATTAGAGGTAGTGTTTGCAGTGGCAGAATCTTCTGGTATTACTATTCGTCGTAAGTGGTCATGGCTTGCACGGCGTCAGAATGATCGCATCGTTAGATTTTGCCTGTCTGCTCCTCAATAGAGTACCCTAATAAATAAGTTCAGATTATACAAGCAGCTTGACTTGAATTTAATAGAGGACCCGTTGGCACCGTTCATTGCACCTGTCTACCTCCCACCTTGGATCACCCAAGAAAATATCGCTCGCATCGCCTATACATGGCACGTCTCAGCATGCTCCATCTTCCATGTCATGTTTTTATTAACGCATGGTTTAGTCCAGGGTATGCAGCTGTGCCCCATTGGGGTGTCATTGAGGTTTGCATCGACCCGCACCTGCCACACCTTCAGGCATCAGGCGCCGCCAAGCATACGTAAGGACGCACCTACCTTGCATCTCCCAACGGTTCTCTGCCACACTTTCTGCCTTTTTGTCGACATAGCACAATTTGGCAACGGCCATGCACAACTGCCAGCATGTCAGCAGTCATGGGCAGTCCAGGGTCACTTTCTGCGAACAGGGCAACAGAAACGGTACTTGTGCAGGGCCCTTGGCATGCATAACGCCAGCAAGAGTACGTACATGTTGCCTTGCGTGGCACAGTTTCGAGGCTCGTGCTGTCGTAAGCCCAAAACTGTCACGACGAAAACGCCCGAATGTAACCAGAACGCTGTGATCTGTGCAGCGAGCTGTACCAAGCTGCCCCAAATCCCCGCGGAGGGAAAGATCTTCGGAGCTGGGACTGATCTGCCGTAATCCCACGCCGCTGAGAAAGCACACCAAACTGTTGCCCCCTTCATGTGGCCAGCGTGGAAGTGTAGAGGAGTTTACATCAAGCAGCAGTGATACAAGAGTTTATTGTACGGGTTGTAAAGGAATATCGGTATGTACGGTGGATACCACTGCTAGCTGCCACACACATACACTTGGATATATACATGAAACACATTGTGTTTTGCATGAGCGAGTACAGAACCACCTTACCCTTCATTCGACCGCAGCTAACAGCCTTCCCAGTTTACTGCTGCCAATACCCTAAAAACACACCAACCTGTATACATTCCTCTTCTCCACAACCATCAATAAATGGCTACATAAACCTAAAAGAAGACACCCGGCTCACAGAACTAAACATCTCAACTCCAGCCCCCCACCACGGGTACGTAACGTTACAGGTACGTACCGCCTACTCCTCAGCTATCACATCCTCCGTCCCCTGCGACCCCGCGTCTCCACTACCCACACCAGCCTTCCGCGTCCCACCCGCCCCAGCCTCCACCTCCTCCTTGCCAGCCCGCTCCTGCGCCTGCTGCCGCACCACCCCCTCAACCGCCCCTCCATTCACAATCCCAGCAACCGTCGTACCGCCACCACCCCCGCCGTACCCCCCGCCGTATCCCCCGCCATACCCACCACCGCCATACCCCTGCTGCACGGCTGCCCCTGCTGCCCCGGCCTGCACCGAGTGACCCACGGGTCCCTCCTCCGCAACCTTCCTCAGTGCCGTACACACCGCCTCCACGGCTTCATCGTCCACGTGCAGGTGAGTCACCAGCCGCAGCACTCCGGGTCCCATGGAGGAGATCCGCACGCCGTGGTGCCGGTGCAGCCGCTCCTGGAGCTCCTGGGAGGGGAATAAACAGGGATACATATTCCGCATTAGGCTGGATTTTAGGAGTGCGCATAGTCGAACTGGATGGGGAAACGGAGGAGGAGAAAATGGGGAGGCAACAAAGTGACCCATGGGCCGCAAGCTCGGAACCAAAATCACCTCGGGACTTTCATCTTAGCAGCCGCTGTGCTTAGCAACGCTCAACGCATTATTGCTTTAACTAAGTTATTACTCAGTTAAAACCGTCTAAAACGTAACCCAACCCCCGCGCACCTTGGCATCCCACCCAGGCGCCACTGTGAAGATGACGATGTTGGTGTCCACGGGTGCAAGGCTGCCCACGTACGGCAGATCCTGCAGTACGGATCCTAACCGCCGGGCTCGTACGTGATCCTCTTGCAGCCTGCATGGGCGGGCGGGCGGGCCCTGTTTATGCATCCATTTATCCATTTCGTCTTAGCCCTCATGTGTCCTCTCAGCATCACCTCATTCCGCACCCTCCCCACCAACACCCCCCCCACCACCCACCGTTCCACGTTGTTCCTCAGCGCGTACAGCCCCGCTCCCGCCAGGAAACCCGCCTGCCGCATGCCGCCACCCAGGATCTTACGAATCCTGAGGGAGAGGGGAATAAATGAGCGCAGAAGTGAAGCGACCCGAGTAAGAATCCTACGGCCCGCATGTCACTGCATGAGTCGGGATGAATGGATTCAAAGTGCTTCACATTTAGTGCAACCATGTATAGCCCCCCGCACCCAGCTGCCGTACTCACTCCTGTGCACTCCGCTTTATCCCCCCTCGCAACCACCCACCTGTGAGCCCGGCTTTATCCACTGCGCCATAATCAACCATCTAGCCCCCCCGCCCCACCCCCCCACATTGGATAGTGTCTCCGAATGCGCTCACTGCATGAGTCGGGATATGGGATTGGGACTCGTTGTTTCACTTATTTAATTTTTCCCCCACATTGGAATTTCTTACCACCCAACCCCCCACCCACCTGTGTGCCCGGCGGATGAAGTCCCTGCTCCCCAGCAGCAGCGACCCCACCGGACAGCCCAGCCCCTTGGACAGGCACACCGACACCGAGTCGAACAGGGGTCCCAGCTGGGAGGGCGAGTAGCTGCATGCGTCGGGGGGGGGGCAGGGGGAGGGGGTGCGTGAGGTGCGGGTACCTGTGTGGATGTACGATGTACACGAATGTACGACAAACGGGTACGTACGACATTCCCTGACAGCCGCGTGACACCGTGTTTTTCCTCTAGTCCCCGGCCGCCCGTGCGGCACCTCGCGTTCTCATCACCCCGCCCTTTCCGTACATGGCCGCAACCCCCCTGTACCCCCTCCTAACCGCAGCCTGGCCCCCAAACCCTCGCGAATCCCCGTTGCCTTGCATGCGTGCCTTCCTCACCCCCCTCCCCCTGCATGTGTGCCCGACTTACCCCCCGGCAATGCAGGCGTTGAAAACCCGCGCCCCATCCAGATGCAGCCGCAACCCACGGGCCTTGCACAGATCGGAGATCTCCTGCGTGCGCAAATGGGAGCGACGTAGTCAATACTACAAATGACATCGTATGCACGAGTAAGCAGGTGTGCTCTGGTCATTCTCTGTACGACAAGCTAAAAGCCCCAAGGCATCAGCCCCACCGACCCACTCCTAATGAGCTACCGACCCACGGCCCCCTCCCAGAACAACTCCCCTCCTCTTAACAACTCCTCGTAACAACCTCTGTCCTAATTGACCCATGGGTCGCACCTTGACCTGCTCCAAGCTGTAGTACGACCCCCCGCCCTTGTTGGCGGTGTTCTCCAGACACACCAGCCGGGTGGGCGGGTGGTGCGAGTCCTCCTGAACAGCAGCAACAACAGGAGTGATGGGGAAGAAGCACCAGCGACAGGGGCACAAGGACATCGCAAGAGGCCAGGGTTCCGTTGCATGGAGGCTGGAGAAAGGGCCAGCCTTGGGGCTACCCCGCCCCTAACCCCCATCCAACACATTGGGTCTTCGTCCTTTCCCTTCCAAGTGAGGGAGGAAGGTAGTAGGACTGTATGGCAGAGGCGGTAGGGCGCCAGGGAAGAGCAGGGCCCGGCAAGCACTCCTCTTAAGCTAGCTGCCGCACTCTCCCACGCCCAACCAACGCCCTAACAACCTAACCAAACGTGCAGCCACCACCAAGCCCTACCCTACCACGTTAATGGCTTGTGCGATCTGCGCAGCGCTGATGCGTCCTCGGTCGCTGGGAAGCAGCTTGGGCTGGACGGCTGTCGTACGGGCGATTGACACGGGCGGGAGGTGCGAAGTGTGTGAGGCAGTGAGGTGTACATATCGTCAGATGCACTTCAAACCGCGCCCATCTAGCTTCAGCAACGTTGTATGACTGAACATAACCCTCATAGCCCCAGCACCGTTGTATAACTGAACATAACCTCCTAACCCCTCCTCCCTGCCCTCGCCCCTGGTCCTCTTTCCTGACCCCCCTACCCGAGTTGAAGGCGATGCCTCCCCCCTCGAACAGGTAGATGTGGGAGTTGTCCGCACACACCAGCTCGTCGCCGGGTTGCGTGTGAACCTGCGGTAGGGTATGAACGAGGAGGTCGTGCGGCGGAGGGGATTACCGGTAGGCAACTGAGCCGCCAATAGGCCAAGGCAAGGAGGTCTTCAAGAGGTCTTGACAGGGAGGGTAACACCATTATTGGTCTAGGCCTCTGAAACGGCATTTCCCTTCCCTCCTGTTACCCTTCTCCCTCTCGCGTTCTTCCTCGGAGACAACTTGTACTCTGTCCCCACGAGCCTTTCGCTGCCATCTATACTCGCCTTGATCGCGATCTGGTTGGTCATGGTGCCTGAGGGACAGAACAGCCCCGCCTCGAATCCAAACATCTGCGCCGCACAGTCCTGTATCCGTACAAGGGTTTTTAACCGGAACGGAATTAGTGGTAAAACTGGTATTAGCCAGTCGAGTAATGTTTGACCGGGCAAGTCAAACGATGACAGCCATGCCTCCAGGCTTGAGTTACATGAGCCGCAGCCTCCTGCGGTGCGGTCAGACGCTAGCATGAAGAAATAACTGCCAGAAACAAATCCCGAATTCGCGAACGCTCGATATCGGCTGTTCTCATGTAAGGGATGTTGCAAAGAGTTGCGGTGAGAGCAGATGCGCGAGAAGGGGCCATGTGTGACGCGCGCGTTTGGTGTTGAGCCCATCCAGAGGCGAAACTAGGAGGGCTTTGCTTGCTGAAACGTTCCCCAATGGACCAGACGCACCTGCAGTGCGTTAACCGTTGGGTCGTCGCCCCAGACGTCATCGCCCACTTCTGCGGTCATCATGGCTTGTAACATTTTGGGGGTCGGCTTGGTGACGGTATCGCTGCGCAGGTCCAAAACTGCCGCATGCCGATGCTGCGGAGAAGCCTCTTCCGAGACTTCTGACGGTAATTTCATGGCGACGGAGCAAGTTCGGTAGTTAGCTCCTAATGTAACTACTGCGTACACGTCCCGAATCTGTCGGTGCCAGCGCAAACGTAAGGAGGTTAACATATGAGACCTGAGCCCCTTCGTTCCGTCCGCGGGCTCGATGCGTCCTATAATGAGGTTGTCGTAGCGTGAGCTGTTAAGTAGTCATAACTTCGTCACACGCGTTGCTCGTCCAGTCCTCCGTGGCCTGGCGACTGAACACGCTGGCAAGTGCGAAATCATGCAGGTACGAGTTTACTTCATCCTTAAGCAAGCCGATGGTCATCATCTTCAGCATAGGTGTCCTGTGCATGAATTATATACACGTACGAAACGAACTTGCAACGAGGAACTGACAACGCGCCAGAACGGTCTTACAAGTATTCAGCTACCTGCTTTCCTTGAGCGCCGGCTACTAGATGCTGTAGCACTGAGCTTGTCCTCACAGGCTTAAGATGCGCAGACATTCACCAGTGCGTTAAAGCGCCTGGCCTGCTTGCAGGCATGCAAGTCGTGAAGTCGATGTGTACAAGTGTGAAGATAACTGTGGTGTTTAACTACGCTCAGTATGGCACCTATTACAATCATCCGCGCATGCAGACACGCCTTCCAGCGCCAAGACCATCCACAGACACCGACACATCCATCCATTCCCAGGACCTCTCCGACCATCTTCGCGCAGAACACTAGCACCCGTCTTCCATCCAGCCAATTAAGCGTCCGCAAAACGCCACCTTCTTCCTCTATTACATCATCCCCTCTCGCATCAGCCTCCGCAACCCCTCCGAGGGCGGGAACACATGCATAGCCATGTCATTGAAAGCGGAGGGAGCGGGGAAGCGAAGGTCGGGTGTGGGCAGCTCAACCACCGCACCTGCGTGCGGTAGCAAGGGGGGTATCGTACATTCAAGTCTCACATCCTGAGAGGGAGCTTGCGTGAGGGGCGCGGTTTGCTAGCAACAAGCTGTGTCTGGCTGTACATACCGGTATGAGAAGGCGAGAGGGTTGGGCGTTGGACGAGGGCAAGCATGGGATGTACGGCAAGCATGGGATGTACGGCAAGCATGGGATGTACGGCAAGCATGGGATGTACGGCAAGCATGGGATGTACGGCAAGCATGGGATGTACGGCAAGCATGGGATGTACGGCAAGCATGGGATGTACGGCAAGCATGGGATGTACGGCAAGCAAAGGGAGCATGAGTAATGGCAGGCAGGTATGTAGCAGTCACCCAACCTCACCCTCCTCGCAGCATGCAATCACTCGGTTAGGTCGCACGGGGCGCTTGCTGCCGCCGCTCTCCCCAGCCTGCGGGCCGCCACCAGCTCCTGCTGCTCCTCCACCCCTGCCGCCCGCGTCTCCGCCTCCGCGCATCTCCCACCTGCACTCCCACGTGGGATTAGATAAACTGAGCCGCGGAAACACGTTGTGACAGTTGTGTTTTGTGTTGTCATTGAATGAACTGCCACGTGCCGCATGGACGGCGACACGTGTGTTGTTGTTGTGCTGGGTTGTTGGGCATGAAGGGCTGACCTAGCGGACAGAGACCGTAGTACTCTTTACCCTCTCCCCCTTTCTCCCCCCCCGTCGTTAATCGAATCACGTGGGCGATGTCCCCGGTTCAGGCTCAAGGCCCTGGGGACTTCGGTAGGCTTCTTTTAGCCTCCTCCTTAACGCGCTTAACCTTTCCCTCTCACCTCTCCTGGCCTCCTTCTCCCCCTCCCCCTCTCACCTCTCCTAGCCTCCTTCTCCCCCTCCCCCTCTCACCTCTCCTGATACGTCCGAAAGCTGTTGCCCAGGATCATCAGCAGCGGTAGTCCGCTCCTGCCGCCCTCGCCTCCGCTGCCCCCATCCTCCACCGCCTCCTCTCCCATCCCTTCACTCCTGCTGCCGTCCCCGCTTCCTCCACTGCTCCCGGCTCCTGGCCCCTCCCTGCTCCCTCTCGCCCCCTCAGCTAACCGCCCCCCGTTCCCCTGGCTGCTGCTCCCGCTGCCCCCAATGCTCCCGTCTATTCCAGCAGCAGCAGCAGCAGCAGCAGCAGCCGCTCCCTCAGTCAGCGGCCCCCAGTTCGCCCCCAGCAGCGCGTCACACAGGGCCCCCTCGCAGTGCGGCAGGTAGAACAGCGTGGGGCGGGTCACGCGCCGCGCACCGCCCTCGTTGACATCCAAGGCCTGCAGGGGACGGGTGGTGTGGGGTTGCAGGAGCAGGGAAAGGCGGGTGGGTTGGGGGGGAAAAGAAGAAATGCCTATGTGTGGTGAGCGTTCTCGGGGTTTGTTCTTGGGGTCGAGGGTTTACAGTTTGTCTCTGGGGTTCCGATCCCTTCGCCGTCGTCACAGTAGGTGAGGGCCCGGCGAGCCCCCGCAGCTGGACACCCCACCTGCAGCCCCAGCCGCTGCAACGCCAGCCGGTCAACCTGGTCAAAGGCCGGGTCGTACAGCTGAACGGCGGATCTCAAACCGGACAGCACCTGGTCTCGGAGCAGCAGCACGAGGGCCAGCTGGGGGTGGGGGGGCAGCGGGTGGAGGGAGGAGAAGGGGCAGGAGGGGTGGTTGCAGGGGGCTAGGGCTGTGTGGAGGAGGTGCGAGCGCGCCAACACGTCAGCATCCCTCCGCTTCCTGTCCCTGCTGTTGCACGACATCATCGCAACCTTTCTAACCTTTCTGACCTTCCTGCCGTACCCCCGCCGTACCTGGTACCTGGACACCCGGCTCTCATGTACGGATCCAAGCCCGTACACCACCATGTCGTACACACTGCTCCAAGCTGAGGAGGAGGAGGAGTACGGCAAACACGACAACGGAGCCCCTTTCCCCTCCGCTCCTCCTCTTCCTCCGCCTCCTCCTTCACCGCCGCCGGCATCATCATCCATGCCGCTGCTGCTGCCTGGTTTCCCACAGTCGCCGTTACTGCGGATATCGGCATTGCTTGCCTTGACCTCCTCAGTCGCCTCCTCCCCCTCAGCCATAGCTTCATCCCCTCTCCCTTGCCCCTGCGTCTGCTCCTGCTGCGGTTGCTGCTGAGGCATTTCATGCTGCTGCCCCGCTTCCTGCTGCGGCGGCTGTTGTTGCTGCCGCGCTTGCGGCTGCACGGCAGTGGCGGATTTCGTCGAGTGGTGATCAGCTGGAGGTACCTGCTGCCTTAGGTAGGCCATGTGATTGGAAGCGGCCTCTGACAGCACCGCTAGCAGGCGGGAGTAGAAGGGGCTGGCCGCAACCTCACGTCTGCGTAGGGAAGCAGAAGGCGAGTTGTGCGGACGGGAAATGAGAAAAGGGAGGGATGAAATGTGCGAAGGTTTCGCGTCGGTAACTTATTTCTAAGGGCTGACCCATATTGCTGTCGTTGCCAACCCGCCCGTACGCATGCACAACATCTGCAAGAGGATGCGCCAAAATCATAACCCTTGCCTCACTTGCAGTCTAGAACCGCGTTCACCAGGTGTTCACACTGCTCCTCCAAGGTCCGTTCACGGAAGCCCCTGCGCCCAGCACGTCCGGATCGACCGTTGCCGAAGGATGGCCCAGACGGCATCAAGCCGTTTCCAACGACAGCTGTTGGTGCAGCCTCGCAGCCGGCGCCCTCTGCATCCAGAAAGATTAACCCAATTCATATTGCGTACCATGCACTTGGCCTTCAATTTTAGAGCACGCCTTTGCTGGCTCCCAAGAGCTTACTCACCCCCGGGGCAGCACTCATCCCTGGCTCGCTTTTGAGGCGTATTTTTCCCTTTGCCTTTACCACGCACGACTGTCCATCCATCGTCATCCATCCTTGAACGGAAGGGCACCGCTTGCCGACTAGCCCGCAAGTGAAGCACTCCTTTAGCCCTGAAGTTGAAACTGGAATACTCGGAAAGGATTTGTTATGCTGTCAATGGTACAATTAAGCTACCAATCAAAGGGGAATGGATGTGGGCGATAATGAAAGCAAAAGCGCTGAGCATATGTCTAAGACACGAGCAACCTAATTTTCATGTGCCTGGAGTAGGAGTTAATAGCGGAAGCCAACGTTTAGCAATGCCTGCCCCGTCGGAGCAAGGGCCGACAACCCGTTACCAGTTGGTGTGCTCCGAAACTCCAAATTTACTTCCCTCGCTTACAGCCTTAGACTGCGCATTGTGGGATTTCAAGTCAATAGGAATTCTACGTTACTCCGCATCGATCTTTTTAAGTAGGCTAACTTCGTGTCCTAAAGTGAGCTTTACATAGCCTTGCCTTCCTAGAGCTTGATCCAGGACAGTCGCTTTTTAAACGTAGGCGCTTAACATGTCTGGGCATCGTCTTGGGCTGGGACTGCTCGCTGCAAGTTGGCAGAAAGCGTCAGCGCCATCATCACTGCAGAGGTTTGTCCTGCAGTTGGCCATACCCTTATCACTGTGATGTCGCATGTAACTTTATCCAACGTTGCTTTCCAGGGCGACGGCAATCGCTCTTCCTGCTGAGTTGGCATCTTGCCCCTCCGCCAGCGCCTCCTCATCAACAAGATGCTACTCAAATGCAGCGAAGCTGCCAGATACCAGTTCCAGCCAACCTACTGACTCGTTCGTCTCTCCCAGCACAGCCAGCACCACCTCTAGCCACGTTAGCGCCAGCTGTGGCCATGGATGCACCCACTCCACCCTCACCCGCGCACACGTGTTACCCTCTCCCTTATCCACCAACTCCTCACACCACCAGCGCCACACCAACCCCCGTCTCCACCTCATACGCACCACCTCCACCTCCGCCACCCCATCCTCCTCCTCCTCCTCTCCTGCCACCGCCCGGGGCGCCTCTGTGGACCCACGCGAAGCCGCCAAGTTCGCGGCCCTCGCTGCCAGTTGGTGGTGTACGACAGAGGGCCCCTTTGCGCCGCTGCATGCGCTAAACCCCGCACGTGTCAAGTATGTACGACAGAGCCTGGCGGCGGCTATGGGACTAGATGTGGGGGCGCCGGAGCCGCTGGCAGGTGGGGTATGGGGTTTGGAGGACTAAACGGTCGAGTCGAGAGGGCGAGGGGAACGGGGCGGGGAGCGGGGGCCAAAGAAATACCAAACCACAAGATGGGAATTTGGGCCGCTGACAGGTGGATTGGAGAATGAAGCTCCTCCAGCTGCTGATGGGTTGCGGCTGGCCCGCTCCTGCATGGTCACCCCCCCTGCATCCCATGGTGAAACCTCGTTATACAGTTCGTCAAATTCCTTGTTCTTACTTCCCTGCATCCCCCTGCCGCCGATCTCACTGGTCCTCACTCCTCGTACAACCGTTGCACGATGCATGAGTACAACCATGTGACCCTGCTAGGCCTCGAGAACTGGCACTCTGTCGTCTGCGCACGTCTCCCCAAAACCCTTCCAGCGACCCGGTATAGATCTCGCCTTCCACTCTGCTCTCGTGGTTTCCTATGCTTTGGTGTATTTCTATCCACCCTACTCTCGCCTCCGCAAACCCCGCTCACCTCCGCCCGCCCGGCCTCAGGTCTGCGGCTGCTGGATGTGGGGTGCGGCGGCGGCATCCTGTCGGAGGCGCTAGCCCGGCTGGGGGCGGAGGTGCACGGCATCGACGTGACGCGGGAAAACGTGGAGGCAGCGCGGCTCCATGCGGGGACTGACCCGCGGGTCTTCAGCAGGGTCAGGTGAGCCGAGCATCGGGAGCCTCTGCAGCAACGAATGCGCAAGCATACGATAGCGAGGGAACTGCTTATAAGGGTGACAAGCCGATAAGCACACGGACACTGAAACACCACTGAACCACGAAACACGTCATGCCATGCGAGGCCGCACTTCCTCCTTTGTTTATGCAACCCAACATTCCTTTGCAAGTACAAACGTTTCATTGCATGCCGACTTGCCCGTACATCAATAGGTACGACGTGATCTCCGCGGAGGATCTGGCGGCATCCGGTACAGCAATGTACGACGCGGTCATTGCGAGTGAGGTTCTGGAGCACGTGAGCAAGCCGCACCAGCTGATGCCCGTGCTGGCTTCACTGGTAGCGGAGGGCGGAGCGCTGCTGGTGTCAACCATCAACAGGTCCGTACGAGGGCATGTCGTACGACAGGGCGTGAGTGATTCGCAGGAGTTGTGACGGAGACGTTTGCCGAACCGCTGTATGCCGTAATCGTTCATGGCAGACTTTCATCATCATAGACTTTCTTCCTTCGAACCCTACCCATCTAGCTACCTAGCTCTCCCTACTTCCTATGGTATGTAACCATGATGTCGCAATGCCGTACCAACACACATGTTACACGCGCTCAGTGTCAACTTTGCGGCCAGCTTACAAGTGCGCACACACGCTGCCCCCCGCAGGACGCCGGCCGCCTGGGCTGTTGCGGTTGCGGGTGCCGAGTACGTGGCCCGGGTGGTCCCTCCGGGCACCCACAAGTGGAGCAAGTTCATCACACCCGAGGAGATGGCCATCATGGCAGGTGAGGGGGCAGCGGACAGGTGAGGGCAGGTGAGGGGGCACAGGTGAAGGCGCTGCAGCTCTTGCATGGTTCCTGCCTCCCCCCTGCCTTCTCGCCCGCAACCTCCCTAACCTGTGGTCTCCTATGGTTTGGTATGGTCTTTCACCCTCCCTGTCCCCACGCTCTTGCTGCCGCCTGCCTCCTTCTGCCCGCTCAGACTCCTGCGGGCTGCAGATGTGGCATGCAGCCGGCATGGCGCCGCTGGGTCCCCACATGTCCTGGACGCTCACGAACGACCTCTCCATCAACTACATCGCGACACTGCTGCGGCGGAGAAGCGAGCCGGAGATGGGGGCTGAGCAGGAGGAGGGGGCTGGGGCGGGAGTGGGGGTAGCAGGGATGGAGGTGCAGGAGCGGGAGCAGGAGGGAGGGCAGCAGCAGCAAGAGGCGCAGGTGGAGGTGGGGGAGCAGCTAGGAGAGACGCGAGAGGAGGAGAAGCAGCATCAGGGGCAGGAGAAGAGGCAGTCGTAGGGGACTGGAGCGCAGCAAGGTTAGGAGTGGGGAGTGTAGGTGGAGGTCTCGGTCGTATTGATGGCGGGGCTTCGGAAGGAGGGAGGCATGGAATTTTGATCAGCTGTGGATTGGCCCTGTGCACGTAGATGTTAGCTAGCTAGGTGTTGACTGATAACCAAAAGTTTGGTTCGCGGGAGGCCATGGTCACACGGCAAACAGCTGGAGTGCTTGTAAAGCAGCTCGTAAATTTTGGATAGGCAGCATCATCTCTGCGGTCTTTCTTGCCGGTTCGCTTGCTGCTTTGGTTCTGGCGCCGAGGGTAAGGCATCCCGACTGTTATCCCAGGTGGCATGTTCGCCGTCGCCACACATAGCTACTGTCCATGCGTTTAGCTAACGACAAGGAAGTCCAGGATCTACTTGCAGGTAGGCGCGGCCGATTGTTGCGGCCCGCGAAGCGTGTTCATCGCCATCCCTGACAGTCTATGGTATATGGGCCAGAGCCATCCAAAACGTTAGTGAATGTATAAGGGCAGACCGTCTGATGTTGAGGGTGTTGCGCATCAATTGCAGCGAGCATTGACGGGATAAAGAGTATAGCAGGTGGCAAAGGAGCTTGTTTGCAATAATATAGCTTCCGATATATGTGCGATTAGCAGATATGGAGGGCTTGCTGCATTGCGCATGACAAACGTACTGTATTAGAAATACGGTAGTCGGGAGTTTTCTCCTAAAAGCCTTCCACTAATCAATGTGGACTCTAGCTTCTGTGATAACCATCACGCTGTTCTTTGTTTGTCCTGTCGTAGCTCTTCTCTTTCCGCAAAGTGGGAAGTAGATCACTAGGATGGAGGACGACAACGAGGTGATTGAGGTGCCAGAGGCACCCCCACCACCACCTCCTGTAGATCCTGCTGTGCTAGCGGAGGCTGAAGCAGCAAAGGATGAGGCGAACAAGAACTTCAAGGGTGGGTTAAGGCGCGAAGGGTCGCTTGTCTATACTGTTTCTGTAACCTCCAACTGCACCATAATTCAATTATATATGTTGCCACATGCTATGGGCTTACAGCCAAGCACTTCGCGGCCGCCATCGAGGGCTACTCTAGGGCCATCGAACTGAACCCGAACAACGCCATTTACTATGCCAACCGTGCGGCTGCACACATTAAGCTCGAAAATTATGGCGCTGCCGTGGTGGACGCGGAGAAGGCCACCGAAATTGACCCGAAGTACATTAAGGTGCGCTTGGTCCCGTCTTCTAAGAGAACTGGTGGCGCCGTGACGAAGAAAGTCAGCCATGAAAGGCGGGAGGGAACCGTCGGTGGGGTTGTCAGCGGGTTGGGGTGCAATGTTGCGGCACATGTGCGCTGGAAGATCACATGGACATGTGATCAGCTTGCGGGAGGTGACGGGACTACAAGAGAGCTCTTCTTTCCTTCCCCTAGCCTTGAACATCCCCACAACTCCTCCTTGGTTGTTTTCCTCTTTCTTTACGCATTCCACTTCCGGTCCCCAAACTATACCAATCATTGGGTTTCTTCTTCACACATGTCTCTTCACCCGTATTGCCTCACAGGGCTACTACCGACGAGGAGACGCGCACTTTGCCCTCGGAAAGTACAAGCTGGCCGTCAAAGACCTTCGGACGGTAGGCTCCTTAACAACGATACACATACGGATACGGCGTTTAGGCGCGGGGCATGGTGTGATGCGGGGTGGTGTTGGACGACCACCACCCACCTCGCAAACACCATGTAACGGGGTGTTAAGCTGTGTGTTGGGAAGTGGGTCATTAATGAGTATCAAGGTGCCAGTAATGGGATGCTGAGCTGAGCTGGTATATAGGGGTGTAGTCATTTGGGTCGCCGATCTGGGTCAGACGATCTGGGTCGGCGCTCACCTGCGATCTGGGTCAGGCGATCTGGGTTGCTACCAGGGTGTACCCGCCTCCCTCCTTGTCCCCGCCTTCCACCACTCCAGTTAGATTGCTTCCTCTCTGACCCCCGTCTCAACCCTCCTCCTCCTTCCAACGCCGCCCCATCGCACCACATCACACACTTCCAGGCAGCCAAGGTGGCCCCTCGCGACCCAGACCTGCGCCGCAAGTTGTCGGAGTGTGAGAAGGAGGTGAAGCGGCTGCGATTCGAGGAGGCGCTAGCAGTGCCGGTGAGGAGCGAGAGAGGGCGTTGGGTGATTTTGATGAACTCAGCCGCGGAAGCACGGCGTTGGGTTGGTGGGAATGGGCTCCCCTGCCTATAGGGAGGGCTTCCCCCTATCCTGCTTCATGTGTGCTTCCTTCCCTGCCGTCCCGGCCGTCGTCTTTACGCCCCAGGCATGCGTCGGGACATGGGAAGGGGATTGCGGTGCTTCACTTCTTTCCGTTATCACCCTTCCCCGCTTTCGTTTACCGCCCCGTTTCAGCCTTTGCCATCCTTCCCTTTCCGATGCCCCGCGTCAGGACTCGGAGGCTGTTTCGGTGCTGGAGACTTTGGACCTCTCCATATACGACAACATTGAGGAGTCGTACACCGGGCCCCGCATGCAAGGTGTATAGGCTCTGCCCCACTCGGTTTCGCGACCAGGCCGGGTTAGGACCGGTTGAACCACCCAGCAGCCCGCCCCCACGAGCAAGCGGCCCCGCGGAGAGCACCCCATCGCCTCGACCCATTCCTAGACGCATGGCACGCACACACACGCATAGTTGCTGGGCGGGAAGTGCACCCCCCAACCCACGTGCTCCACCCGGCCTGCACTGCCCTCCCCTTTCCTGTTCAGGCAACGCTGCCGAGGGTTACGTGCTGACGCTGGAGTTCGTGACCGCCATGCTGGAGGAGTTCAGGCAGCAGCGAACCATCCACAAGCGCTTTGCGTTTGAAATTATACGGCAGGTGGGTTGGGGTGGTGGGGCGGTGGGTTGGGCACAAGGTGGAGGAGTGTAATGGAGGTAGAACCAGGGGACGAGGAGTGGGAGGAAAGGGGAGGAGGCAGCACAGTGCCGCATCCACAGACGATCTCACATTGTTGATCTGCTCATCCACTGTGACGAGCGTTCCACGCCTCTAAGCCTAATCCCAACCTCCCGGCTCCCTGGCCCCCCGCTTCCCTCCCCCTCACCAGGCGCACGCGCTGTTCCGCTCGCTTCCCTCGCTGGTTGACGTCGTCATTCCCGACGACAAGCACTTCACGGTGTGCGGCGACGTGCACGGACAGTTCTTCGACCTGCTCAACATTTGGAAGATTAACGGCATGCCCTCGACCGACAACCCCTACCTCTTCAATGGTGGGGGCGGGGAGAAGGGGGTTGGAGGAGGGGTTAAGGAAGAAGAAGACGTGAAGCAGGGCGAAGGGAAGGGCAGGGAAGGAGGGCATGGGAGGGGACGCCATGCCCTCTTTTTACCGGTATATATCGTACAGCCGCGCAGAAGGCTCCTCCTCTCCTCCGTTTCTGCACCCCCTCTGTACGTCATGTCCTGCTCCCTAGCCCCTGCTGCTCCCTTGCTATTTACCCGTGCTGTTCCCTTCCAATCGACCCCTGCTGCCCTTCCCCCCTTCTTCGTAACCCCTGCTGCTCCCCCCCTCCCTACTAACCCCCGCTGCTCCCCCCCCAGGTGATTTCGTGGACCGCGGGTCGTTCAGCTGCGAGGTCATCTTCGCACTACTGGCCTTCAAGCTGCTCTACCCGGACCACCTGCACCTCACGCGGGGCAACCACGAGTCCAAGAGCATGAACAAGGTGTACGGATTTGATGGAGAGGTGCGTACGGCACACAGGGAAGGGTCCAGGGAGGTATGACAGCAGTGTACGGCACACAGGGAAGGGTAGGGAGGTACGATAGCACTGTACGATATGGCGCAGGGAAGGGTAGGGTCGTAGTGAAGTCTCGTCATACAGCTCGTCACTTATCTAATTGATCCCCCCTCCCCCCATCCCCGCTGGCTTTCAGGTGAAGGCCAAGTACAACGGTACCATGGTGGACTGCTTCCGGGAGCTCTTCTGCGGCCTGCCGCTGGCCGCCTGCCTGAACGGGCGGGTGCTGGTGCTGCATGGCGGACTGTTTAGCCAGGAGGGGGTGACACTGGAGGACATTCGCCGGATAGACCGGTTCAGGTGAGGGCGGGGAGGGAACCACTCAAACCCACTTAGTTTACACAACCAGCGTATCCCCAACACTCCCTAACCCCCGACAACCCACCGGTTACCAGGGAGCCCCCCGAGGACGGCATTATGTGCGATGCGCTCTGGGCCGACCCCTCACCCATGCCCGGTCGTACACCCTCGAAGCGGGGTGTGGGGCTGTCCTTCGGGTCGGACGTGACGCGGAGGTTCCTAGAGGCGAACGGTCTGGAGCTGATCGTGCGGTCGCATGAGGTCAAGGAGGAGGGATATGAGGTGGGTGTGAGAGAGGATAGGAGGGGGTTAGCACGAGGGTAGAGAGGTGGGGTTGAGGCTTGGGTGAAGGGTCGAGAGGAGGGAAGGTCGGGTGGTAGAGCCCCCTACTCCCTCACACCACATTACCTCCGGCAGCTTCCTTAAAACGCCACAAAGAGCCTCGTACTGTCGTACAAACCCCTTCATCTTACCCACCTCCCCTCTCCCTCGACCCCCCAGGTTGAGCACGAGGGGCGGCTCATCACGGTCTTCTCCGCACCCAACTACTGCGACCAAATGGGCAACAAGGGCGCATTCGTGCGGTTCAACGGAAACGACATGGTGAGTCGAGACCGTGATGGCGCTGATAATGACGATGACGCAACCGTGATGGTGCTGGTGTATGACCCATGGGTCAGTTCAGCGCGATAGCTGCGCTGCGCCCACACCCCTCACGCCTTCCTCTGCTCTTGCTGTCCTCCCTCTCTCCTTTCCTACCGCCCCAGTCTGCTACCCAGCCCCATTGACCCTCTCCTTCCTTACCCCCGCACCCCACCCCCTGCCCTCCTGCTGCCAGGTCCCCCACTTCACCACCTTCGCCGCCGTACCGCACCCCGACGTACGGCCCATGGCCTACGCCAACTCCTACCTCATGGGCATGTAAGGCCGCGAGGCCGGCGTGCTGGTCGGGCCGCTGCAGTCCCCACTCGAGCGGTTTTCGAGGGGCATGCAGGGGGGCGGCAGCAGCGGGTCCCGCTTGGAGGGTGCGGGGTGAGAGGTTGCTTGGAGCCTGCTGTGGGTATGCATGTTGGGGCAGCAGCTGCTGCTGGTGCAGCTGCTGGTGGTGGACTGGTGAGCACTCTAGCAGCAGCAGCAGCTGCTAGTTAGGGCTGGCCGCAGGTGAAAAGGGAGTGGAGTGCCCTTGGCGGGTTCAGGATGCGGGTATGATGGAAAGAGCGGACTGGGATGGCAGGAGTGGGGGGTCGAGGATGTCGGTTTGTTCTTTTCTCATGAGCCATTTTCCTGCCTGTCTGCCTTCTTTTTCCTACCAGTAGCAACTGCCCTGGTAGAGGGCGGAAGCAGGCGGGTTGCGTGTGTGGGTGTGTGCGGGGGTTTTAGAGGTGCTGATAGGTTTCAAGTGCAGGTCGAATAGACGCGTTTGCATCAGGCGTTGGTGGGCTCAACACCGGAATCACGGGTATGGTGGTGGTGTGTAGTTGAGCGGAAACAAGAACAAGCAGTTGGGATAGGTTCACGGGTATGGTGAAGGTGTGTGCGAGGGTTGAGTGGGTGCAAGGTGGAATGCAGATTGGGTCGCGTATGCGTGCGGGCGAGCGTGCGGTGTGGGGTGAGGTTATAAACACAGCGCGGTAGTTTCAACCACAGCTATTGCGGCAGGATAAGCATGCACTTGCATTTTGGAGGCCGGGAGGAGGAGGGTATAGCAGGGACGCATGTATTCGCAGTAATAAACATAACAAGACCTGAAGTTTTGTCATTACTGTCAATATATCTTTTTGACCTTACAACAATTATAGACTTAAACCGGGTATATGGTGTGTTGGTGTCACGCGCAGTTTGTTTAGGTGAGGTGTGTAAGGTGGCTCTCAGTAACAGGAGAGGGAGGATGTTACCTCGTTAACTAACATCGTTTGCTTTTTTCGGTCGGATATTACAGCACACGGTGTCACACTATAGCCAAACCAAGGCAAGGCAAACGCCATGGCACCAGCAAATGCGCATTCCGGTAGTGCTGTGCCTGTTGGGATCTTATTTGCAAACTGTTGCCCGGCTCACTGTTGCCCGGCTTAATTTAACCCCCTCCTCACGTTTTGGACAGACCCGCATGCACCCCAATGCCCTCACACCCGCACCTTCCCCCCACGCCCATAACACATGCACCCTTCCTGCGCTGCCAGTTTGTCAATAATTTGTAAACCTGAAACCTGTTTCTAGATAGAGAATAACCCTTTTGGTCTCACACACTCTCTCTCTCTCTGACCGACTTTCATAATGTTGTTGCCGCTAGCTCCATTCGTCATCCAGCACACGAGTCGTACACTCTGCCCCCCCTACCCTACCTATCCCAGCCACTGCCCACCCCTATCCCCTGTACACCCAAAACGCACCACCACCCCACATCCCGATCACCCCCCTCCTCATCACCACGCCTACTGCTGCTGCTTCTCTTACTCTTTTCTTCCCTGTGCACCACCTCCCTGCATCATGCGCCATCACCGCTCCGTCAACGGCGGCGGGGCACCGGTACCGGCACTCCTCCTCAACGCACGCCCCCCCTCTCACCCTTCCCCAGGATGTGTCCCTATCTACCGTATCCCCACATCAACACGGGCCTCCACCAATACGGGCTGTGCCCGTACCAATCACAACACCTGGCTTCTGGCTTGCCCTTACGTCTCAACCATCCCTCCCCTGCACCACCACTACAACTATCACACCACCCATTGGATGTTCTTCTTTTCCCCGCCATCATTCCCAGCTCCCTCAACGCAGGGCTGGCGGCGGGACTGTCCGCCTCAGCGCTCGCCACAGCATCATCTTCCTGTCCTCATCCCCCGTCGCCACCTCCACCCAGTCCGTAGTCTTCACGGTGATCACATTGGCTCGTCCACCCAGCTTCCGTGCTAGCACCCGGTCGCGGTAGGCGGTGGAGGCGTTGGTGTGGTCGGGGCGGTTGCGCATGAAGTGCCAGGGGCCCTCCACCTCAATGGCAACCGGGTAGGTGAGGACGGAGGGAGGAGAGGATGAATGGGGTGAGGAGGAGGAGGAGTGGAAGGGTGGGGTGCTGCTGCTAGGACTGCTGCTGGTGGTGGTGTTGATGCTGGTAGGCGGGTTGGAGAGCAGCGGCTGCGGCGGTGGAGGTGGTGGTGGAGGTGGCGGTGATACGGGCGACAGCGGAGGAGATGCCGGTGGAGGCTGCGAGAAGGATGATGCCGACATGTCGCAAGGTACACTGCTGCTGCTGCTGCTGCTGCTGCTGGTGCTGCTGGTGTCGCTACTGCTTGGAAAACCGACGCCACTGCTGCCGCTGCCGCTGCTGGTGATTGCAGTAGTGGCCGGTACATCGCCAGTGGCGATGCCGCTGCTGCTGCCGCTGCTGCCGCGGACCCGCAACGCGTACTCCTCCCCCTCCAGATCCAACAAACCATCCGACTCGCCCAACCAGAAGCGAAAGGATCCCCACCGCTCCCTCCCATGCTGCTGCTGCTGCTCCCGGCCCTCCCCCGTCTCCTCCTGCTGCTCCCCCTCCTTGCCAGCACCCTCAGCTCCAACCGCCCTGCCAGTCAACTCCGCAACGACTGCCCCGCTGCTGCTGCTGCCGCTGCTGGCGGTAGCACCCAGGTATGCCCCTGACTCCTGCCGGCCCGCCGCCATGTGACCAGTGGGGTGTGGCTCCTGGCGGGGTGCGACGGTCATGTGCGCAATGATGTCCACACTCATCATCTCGGGCTCCAGCAGCACCTCGCAGCGCACCGAGTGCAGCCCGGGGAAGGCGCCACTGCGGATCATGTCCTGAGGGGGGTAGGGCGGTGGGGCGGAACGGGAGAGAAGATGGGGGGGGTTAAATAAGGATACATACACGGGGGAGAAGATGAGGGTTGGGATAATGATGCGCGTAAGAAGGTTGAGGAAGCTTCCAATCGGACGCCCAAAGGAGCGCCAAGCGACCCCGCTTTCAACCGCTGCATATACCACGACCGTTCTCAAAACACACAGCCTGAACATACCCCCATGTTCCCTGCAGCTGTCCCATCTCTGATATCGCCCCACTCCCTTCCCCCACCCGCGCCCATCCCACCTCTCCCTCCATTCCTCCCGCTCACCTTCAACGTCTCCACCACTCGCTCGTGCACATGCGACGTTGCCCTCGCCGCCACCTCCAATCGGTGCGCCTTCACAGCCTCCCCCACCCCCGCCCAACCCCCTTCCACCCCCGGCACCAACACCTCCGCCGGACCCAGATCATACTCCGGAAGCCCACTCAGTCCCAGCAGCTGACACTCCAAGTAATACTGGTACAGCTGACTGACGTCTTCCCTCCAGGTATAATCCAGCAACACATCCGGATTGCTACGGCTGCTACCCCCACCCCCGCTGCCACCACCACTGCCGCTGCTACTGCTGGCAGAAGCCCTAGCAGCGGCAGCAGCAGCAAGCACGGCGGAGGCAGAGGTGCTGGAGGTTTGCAGCCGCTCCAGCCGCAGCCGCTGCTGCTGTTGCTGCGAGGCAGCCCAGCTGGAGGTGCCGAAGCGACGCAGGCATGAGGTGAGGAAGGCGATCAGGGGGCGGAGCTGCGGGTCGGGCAGCAGGTTGAGGGCCATGAGGCTCCACAGCATGTTGTGAGCCATGACACGGTGGGGCTCGGCCTGGCAGGAGGGGAGGGAGGGGAGGCCGGGGAGGAAGGGAGAGGAGAAGGTAGGGAGGGGGGCTCAGTCGCTGTGAAAACACACATACACACACATGCAGTTAAACCCTAGGGTCCACCACGTGCCATACCCGCATGGACATGGGACGTGCCCCACACCGCCTCCACCCCTCCCCCCTCATCCTACACCTCACCCCAACCTCCCCCCCCACCTCGCCTTGTCACATGGCTTGCCTAAGCTGCCCGGTTAGCTACCTCCATACCTTGTACGACACACATCCCTCTCACCCTACCCCCCAGTATTTCCGCGGCTCGGTTTATCTAATCCCCCACTTGGCTTTCCGTGTAGCCTTCCGCGAAGTACCCGCCTTCCGCAAAGCACCTCCCAGCTCCTCACCCCACACACACACCCCGCCCACCTTCATCCTGGGCAGCACCGCCTCCAACAGCGCCACCAGCCAGGGCGAGCGGTAGTTCAGATGCGCACACGCCCGCACCGCCAGCCCAGCATCCGCAACCGTGACCGCCGACCCGTGGTTCACCATGCGCGCCAGCAGCACATCCACCACCTGCTCGTCCAGATGGCGCAGGCAGCCGCTGGAGTAGAGGAGGTTGCTGCAGGTCTGGGCGATGGCGGGTTGCAGCAGGGGCGTGAAGGAGGAGGGCGGTTGGCGGGGGAGCTGCTGCTGGGGGTGCTGCAAGCGGCTTGCTGACAAGGAGGAGGAGGAGGAGGAGGAGGAGGAAGAGGAGGATTCGGCTTCCTTTTCGCCCAGAACCGCTTGCCGGAGTTTCTCAAAGATCCTTGGGTCGTAGTGGTCCTTGAGCGACATGCCGTACAGCGTGTTTGCCCACTCCTGCGCCACGGATCTGCGGTGGTAGTCGGAGGTGGCGATCATGTCGCACACCGCCTGAAAGAGGGCGCTGCGGGGTGGGAGTGGGGAGGGGAGTTGGGGAGGGGGTGCCTGTGTCAGTTTCAGTTGGATAGGGTGCTGGTGACCTATGTACATGTTCCACCACCTCCACCTCCACCTCCTCCACCTACCCGCACTCCGGCAGGTCTAGCTTGGCCGCTGCCCACACCAGGTTGCTGACCTCCTGGCTCTGGAAGCCGGACAGCTTCCGCCGGGCTGCTTCGGTCGCGAGGGCGGAGAGGAAGGGGGCGTGGGTCTGGACGGCAGCCTGCACCGAGAGGTGGGGTTGGGGGGGGGGGAGAGACACATGACAGCGTGGAGTGGGGGTGATGTAGGCAGGGAGGGGCGATGAGGGCGGTGTGGGCGGAGTCAAGAGCACGACACGTGGCACCCACCCACCCACCTGCCACAACCTGCCTCCATGCGTCCCGCTCTCCCTCCTTCCCCGTCCCTCCGCCCTCCGCCGTCCTCATTACACACATCGGATACTCTTCTCCCCCCTCCCCTCCACCCCCTCCCCTCCACCCCCTCCCACCCCCTCCACCCCATCCCACCCCCTCCACCCCATCCCACCCCCTCCACCCCCTCCACCCCATCCCACCCCCTCCACCCCCTCCACCCCACCCCCTCCACCCCATCCCACCCCCTCCACCCCCTCCACCCCATCCCACCCCCTCCACCCCCTCCACCCCATCCCACCCCCTCCACCCCCTCCCACCCCCTCCACCCCCTCCCACCCCCTCCACCCCCTCCACCCCATCCCACCCCCTCCACCCCATCCCACCCCCTCCACCCCACCCCCTCCCCTCCACCCCATCCCACCCCCTCCACCCCCTCCACCCCATCCCACCCCCTCCACCCCATCCCACCCCCTCCACCCCATCCCACCCCCTCCACCCCATCCCACCCCCTCCACCCCATCCCACCCCCTCCACCCACCACTGCCCGCCTGTCCAGGTCCAGCAGCGCACAGCCGTACAGCACGTTGCTGATGTTCTGGGACACCAGGTCGGGCAGGCGGGAGCACAGCGGGGCGCCCACAGCAGCCAGGTAGCGGGGCTCCTGGGGGGTGGGGTAGGGTGGAGGCGGGGGAGGGGGAGGGGTTAGGGAGGTGGTCTTGGTAGGGGGAGATCAGGAGGAGGATGTGGACGGGGTGTCCTACAGGAGGCTCAGCTGCCGGTGCGCTCGGTGGCCTGCACTACTGCCCGACCCAGACCCACCACACCACACCCACCCACCCATCGGCCCCGTTGCCCACTCATGTTGAACCCCAACCACCCGCCCAACCACCCGCCCGCGATCACTCACCCTCACCCCCAGCTGCCCCACTGCCCAAAAGAAGTTGGAGCGGCCCTGGTCATTCAGCTCGCCCGCGTTGCGACACACAAAGTCCAGCAGCGACGGAAGGAACTTCGGACGAGCCGCCGCCACGACCGCCGCCGCGCCGGTCAACCTTCGGTCAACGCCGCCGCCACTCGCCATTGGGTGCGCATTTCCCGCCACTCGCGCCGCCTGCTGCGCCCGTCCTAAGGACCAGAGGGATAGCGTGCCCCAAGGACCGTACGGCACGTCTATCCGAAGGGACTTAGAGAACTGATCAATGATGGCCAGTGTGGTTGGCCCCCATAAGTTGAGTTTGGCAAAGGACCATAGTAGCCGACCCAGATCCTCCGGGGTTAGAGATGCGCCGTACGGGCCCTGCAGGCGAAAGTACGGGAGCCACGCGGGGTTTGGGGAGGAGGAGGGACGAGGAAGGGGGAGCATGGGTAAGAGTCTATGCGGGGTGGAGGGGCAAGCGGAGATGCGAGCGAGTGACTTTGCGAGCCCTAACGCTGATTGCCAACCGACGATCGTTACCTTCTGGTATGATGAGGTTTACCTCCCCAACAAAACCCCAGCCGGGTGCTCCCACGTCCCCCTTCACCACCCCCGCCTCCAAAATACCAAAAGACACACGCTTTCCCCCGCCCTCCAAAACAGGAGGGATCCATCCCCGCCCCATCCGCCGTACCTTGAGCCGCTCAGTCAGGGCCGCCTCCATTCTTACGATAAGCGGATCTGCAGACAGGCTGGTTCGCCTGCCGCGGTTCCCGCCGCCGCCGCCGCTGTTGCTAGTCGAGCCATGGGTGTCAAACCCCCTTGGAGCCGACGTAAACTCCGTGGGATGAGGCTGTGGATGGATGGAGAGGGAGGCGATGGAAGGTGCGAGAGGGAAAGGAGGAAAGGGGAAAGGGAGGTGTAGGCACGAGGGTTGAAGGGAGTGAGTGAGGAAGGAGGGGGGCTGCAGGAATGGAATGAGGTACATCGGCAGGGTTTACAAGGCATGTGATTCTCCTTGGTGGTGGGAAGAAGGCACGACAGGTCAGGAGCGAATAAGAAACATGTCAGGTGACGGCTTACCGCGATCTGAGCGCTGCTAGGAGCATAGCTAACAAGCAAATAGGACAGCGCCTTCGCCTGTGGCAGGTTGGCCCCGCTTTCGAGCGCCGAAACCGCTTCCTGCAGCGACTTATAGTTTCCTGAATGTTTATCGGAGGATGTGTACAGACCAAAATGGCTGGTTTTGCTTGCAACAGCGGTTGTCTCCCAAGTAGGTCGCGCAGCTGTCGATTGTTGCATTGTTTTTGAAGCGAGCGGCTCCGGAGTTGCAGTTGCCGCTGGGGCCAGTTGTTTGGATGCATCTCCTACGCGGCGCGTACCCGGCGCCGAGGCGGCAGCGAAGTCCAACCCCAAATCCTGGGATGGCATAGCATCTGCCGTTATCGACGGGGCGCGCACCCGGCGCGCTGATAATACCAGCTTTTCGAGAACTGCTGCTTCTTCATCTTGAGCCTTTTTTCGCGATCGCTTGACGCTCGTTGGCGAGCTAGTGCCGGCGCCGCTGTCTACAGCTTTCTTGCGGTTGCGAAGCTTAGTACCAGCGGCAGAGCCTTCTTGAGACATACTTAACTCGCCAAACGAGCTGCTAGTACTACTCAACGATCGCGTATTGCCTGGGCAGGCAGTTGATGAACATCCGTTTGTCTGCTGAAGTGCGCCTGCCACCGTGACAACGCTATTCATGTGCCCAGTCGCCTCGAGGATTGAGGCTTGTAGCGTTGTAAGCTGCCCATTTTGTGGAAACTGTAAAGCGGGCGCAACCTCCCCTACCCTTAGAAGCCATTGCAGCGCTGCTCGCCGCATCTTTACCTACGAGGGCTCTCTACCAAGCAGGGCATGTCTGCGTTGTTTACCTTTGACAATTGTCTGCTTTATACCGTACGTGTTCGGTTTCGGTGCCAGGTATTAGGACCAGTCTATCAAGTTATCACTTAACAGGGATCTTCAAAGCTTATTAAGACCTACATAAACACCCGTATTATAAATCATAAAAGCACCCATCCCTCTGATACCGTCTACGGTGTACGGTGACCTCTGCGGCATGCCATGCGTTTGGCCGGCTACGTGCAATACGCAGGTTGCTGTTTCTGCCGGTCAAGTGCGGCAAAGTCCACCGGACAAGGGATTTGACGCCTCCAGTAAACATGCACCCAACATGAGACCCCCTGCACCACTTCCACCACACTCCCGCACAAATCCTGCACCAATGTCGCACCAACGCCGGACTACTCCCACACCACTCCCGCACCAATGCGATGCCAAGCAGCCCCGCACCGTGCCATCGTACCAGCGTACCGCCATGCCACAGTGTGAAGACTCCTCTTCTTGTTCGTCCATTGTTCCGGCTCCCAGGCTCCCTCCGCTGCGCCTGCAGCTGCTGCCTCACAATGCAACCCCCCTCCCCACATACTTGCCGGAAGCTACCGGTACGCTTGCTGTCGCCCGCCCCTCTCGTGCCTGCTTCCAGCGCTTCCATTATACAAAAGGACAAGTTGATAATCAGCCAAGGAACCTATTGGAAGTGAAGGACAGGAAGCCGGACACCCCTTGGAGAAAGTGCAGCCCTCCTCCTGCACTGCAGTCCCACGGGTCACTGTACTTCGAGGAACTACCGTAATAGATCCGGCAGCCTCTTCACCGCTACACACCTCTACCATCTTGCCGCCCCGCTAGTCGGCTTGGCCCTATGAAACCTGCGCCCTACCCCAGAACACGGCAACAACCACGTCAGTCAGGTTTCCTAACTTGCACCAATGGCCGGTTGCAACACTCAAGGCCACGGATCGAAACTGGATCTGCAGCGCTGGCTTGATACCCTAACCGGTGATTCCGTGTTCCTTCCTCTGAGCACACATCTGGGCAACCCGTGTTGCCAAATATTACCAACATAGAGCAACAGAGAGGTATAAATACACACACGCACAACTGTAGCACTCAAACTGCCAAAAGACAACAACATGCACCAACGCCCCTGCTGCCGCTGCCGCTCACAAAAGCACAGCTAATTGGCACTGCAATAAAAGGCGACATCTTGAATACCGGTACATGATTGGACTCAATACTGATGTGCTGCAGCTCATACAAAAGCTACCTGCTTCTACCTGTTTCTACCGCATTTCTAGCGCATTGAAGGCGCATAGGGTACTTGGCTCGGGGGTTCAAGGAGAGAACTGTCCGGTTTTGTTCCGGGGACCCGACAAGACTTTGTACAGCCCATTACCATACATCCAACATCCTACACCTAACCAACAGGAACCGTGCGGGCATATGCGTCCAGCATATGTTTCTTGTATAAGTATCATGGAAAACACGAGCCATACCATGCTAAGATGGGTTCCTACAGTTACTGTTAGCAGCAGCTGTAAAAGCAATATGACAACTGCTGCGTAGCCCGCACAGCTGCTGGGGTACTGTGCTGCACACCCCTCCTCGCAAGGCCACTCACAAGGCCACCTCCGCCATCACCTTCATCGCTGCTTTGCGCCGCAGACCGGCCAGCTGCTGCGAAATGACCTCTCGAGGTGCGCTCTTTGCAGCGTAACGTCGTCGCCGCCACCGCTCCTCCTCCTGCTCCCGCTGCTGCTCTTGCTGCTGCTGCTGCTGCTCTTGCTGTTGCTCCTGCTCCCGCTGCTGCTCTTGCTGCTGCTGCTGGTAGTAGTTGTCACTGCTGCGGATGCCGCTGATGGGATTGGGATTAGGCCCTTCTCGCGACTCCTCCTCTTCCCCCTCCTTGCGTCCTCCTTCGTCCTCTCCTCCTTCCAACACATGACTATCTGCTTCTAAAGCACCTGCCTCCTCAGCCGCCCCGACATGCGTGTTTTCCGCACCGCAGGCGGGAGGTTTGCCCTGCCCCTGCTGCACGTCCCCGCTCCTGTTCACTCGCCCCTGCTTGTGTACCTTGCGCGCTGCCGCCTCGCTGGCAGCAACCCCTGAGACCTGTGCTGACCGGTGCCGATGATGAGCTGCCACATCATCCGCGGCCACGTCGGATGCTGCTGCCCCTGCCCCTGCTGCCGCCTCTGTCCCCGTCGCCGTGCTGGGCCTCACGGCTGCCGCCCTGATGCCGGAGGCAGCGGCGGTGGCGGCAGCAACACCAGCAGCAGCAGCTGTTGCTGCAGTGCCAGCAGCGGCTGTTGAGCAAGAGGAGCAAGCGCCCCTGTCGCAACCGCTGCTGCTGCCCCTGCTGCTGCTGCCGCTGCTGCTGTCGCCATCACCAACCTTGCTGTCGTGGGTGGGCGCCTGGACTGCATCGTCGGCAGGAGCCTCCTGCTGCTCCAACTTTCCGACAGCAGGGGCCTCCGGAGGGGCCGCCACCGGATCCGCCGCACATCCAGCTTTCCTTCCAAACCCTGCTGTGCGCGACTGGTGCCGTTGCGACGGCTGCTGCGACGGCTCCTGCTGCTGCGGTTGCTGTTGGTGTTGTCGGCGGTTAGCACGCCGTACTGCCGCCCTCTGCCGTAACCCCGCCAACTGACTCCTGAGAGCCGCCCTATCCCCCGGCTGCTGCTGCTGGTGGTGGTACTGCTGCTGCTGCTGCTGCGCCGACTGTTGTGTATACCCGGCCGCTCCCGCTCCCGCTGCTCCTCCACCTGCCTTCGCTCCGCCTCCTTTCATTCCCCCTCCCGCTGCTCCTCCACCTGCCTTCGCTCCGCCTCCTCTCATTCCCCCTCCCGCTGCTGCTGCTGCCGCAGAGGCAAAGCCGCGCCGCCCTCCTCCTCCTCCGCTGCCTCCTGTCGCGTGCCGCTGCTGTTTGTCCCATGTTCGCTGCATGCGGAAGTTCCAGTACCAATCGTGGAAATCCCAACCACTGCCAGACGATGAGGAGGAGCCGGTTCGGTGCGAGTCGCTCTTTCCCTCCGCTCGGCCCAACAGCAACTCGTATGCCTTGAGACGTTGTTAGAGAGGGAGGGAGCGAAGGGAGGAAGAGAGGGAGGCAAGGGGGTTCAGGGTGTATGAGGGGCTTATGGGCGAACATTCTAGGCGGGCTGTGTTACATGTTGTTAAATTAGGTTAGTGGTTGGGTTCGATCGCAAAGAAGCCGTACAGCGGCGCAGCACACACCACCAGGAAAGCGCTGGGGTTGCGTGTGTGGAGCGGTACAAGGCAAAGCAGTTGAAGGCCCCCAGCAGCAGCAGCAGCAGCAGGGGTGCCAGGCACGCACCTGGGTGAGGGTAAGAAAGCGCTCGTGGCCGTCTGCGGACTTGCACACATCGGGATGGTACTGTAGAGCGAGCTTGCGGTACGCGCGTTTGACCTCCTTGACGTCCGCCGTCGGGCTTACTCCGAGAATGCTGTGCGGATTGATGAACGAAGAACAGACCTGCACGAGAAAGGAATAGAACATCGTATGCTGCTAGGTGGTACCGTAAATGTTTGCTACGCTGTAGTAGGTCTCGTAGTTGGTTGGGCTGTTTTGCGCAGAAGATAACGCTGGAAAAGCGAGCTTATATGAAACACTCTGCGACTTATGTGTAAAGCTTGTTGGATGCAATCTAGCTGCGTGCGCAGACCTGCCTGTCGAGAGCGCATTCTCAAAGCTGCTGACGCAGCAATCGCTACCACTGATTTACGCACCTGAAGCGTTGCACGACTATTCTGATGTCCATCGTGGAACTGACGAGTGCACACTCGTGGACTGACTAAATAAGACGTCCGCCATTGAAATGCAGCCATGCCTTTCAAACCCTGAAGCGCACAAAAAATAAGCGCCCACCTTATCAGCAAGGCCAACAATATGCAAGATACCTAGCGGCTGACGAGCAGCGAGGTAGCTCTACAGGACCCAATCCTACAACGAAGAAGGTCACGGTATGTAACTTACAGAGCTTTAAGAGCTTTAACAATTATAGGGCTAACTTTAATACCAACGCCACCTACTATATTTTACTTACTTGAAAGGATGAAGCAATGTACAGCACCGGCTAATGAATAAGACCGTTGTTGCCGTTATCGTTGCCGTTCTGTCGTACAATGCATTAGTCGAGTGTTTTTGTCAGGAGTTCAGGTTTATAGTCTCACATTCAACTGTAGGTTGGCAGCGCGGGTCCTTTCATTGCACGGCTGTGCGCACCTTGACGTTGTATATATCCTGGGGCCCTCTAGGGTTTCATAAATTCCGTTCAGACTGCACAATCAAACATGCTCTGTCCGTTCCTAGAAGCGCCGTCCCCAGAGACGTCATGCACAGTAAGCATGCAGCAAGTTGCCAGGGCCGCCGCGGAGGTGATCCCTAGCCAATGGAGGAGCAGATGGTTCTGCTAAACATGTATTTGTTGTGTGCCCATATGCATATGGCTACGGCAGCAACCAAGACGGTAAAGGTTACAAAGTCACCTTCGACCTATTACAGCACCGTACTGTGCGTTGTAAACTTGTATGTCCGTAAAGCCCATCGTACCTACCTGCCATACAATTCAAAAACACAATTCCAAGCAGCATCCCCAGCGCACAGTACCCTGTCTTCCGAGTAATCAATAAAGGAATGCCTTATCATTGTGAGCTCCTTAATTACTACACATGAATAACCTGCGTCGCATACAGTTCACGTTAACATAACAAAGCAACAATGGCCGGAACGCCCCCAAGATGTCGCCCGCCACCGCATTACCTCATTAACCGAAACATCACTGTACTGCCGCTAAACAGGTTGGCAGGTCACGCGCAGTGGCGCAAGAACGCAGCTGTACGCCGCTTGATGCTAGATCACCACACATTGCTGCGTGCGAGTTGCCAGCACTGCCGTACTTGGTCACCAATTTTTCAGATGACGTGCCGTCACGTGGCTCACGCAGTGTTGTATTAATACACACCGCACACACAACCCCTGTGCCTCCCTTGGGTAAGTTTGGGGGGCAGACGGCCAAGCAGCCAATAACAAACGCAGTATATACTCAGCTGACCTGGTGAAAGTAGTGCTATGCCAGTAATTACGAATGGCAGCCTGTGCTAATCAAGTTGGTCTACTAAGGCCCTACCTGCCGCAATTCCTTCTGCAAGTTCGTTCAATACCTACAACCAATACCTCGGCATTTCGCCAGATACACAGACTTTTTATAACGACAATAGTGCAGTCCAGCCGAGAACGTCCCAAAGACACGCCGATTCCTAGCTTGCGCCGTTCCCTTCCCCTCTCTCTGCCCTCCTGCACAGTGTTAGTACAGCTACAGCAGCAGCGATTAATTCCGACCGGCTTGCTTCACGTGCATAGCAAGCACACCTTCCTCCTCCTCAGCTCCCCTCATCCAGGGTTCCACCCGTGCGTTGCGGGCTGCGATGCCCAGCCACAGCGCATACACCCCTACACGACCCATGGGTCATGCATCACCCATCACAGAAGAGTATGTGTGCAATCAATTTATGTCTCCGGTAGTTGATGATCAGCATCAACGAGAGAGCGTGCATCCATATCCGTCCTCGCCAACCGCTAACCGCCAACAGCTGCTGCAGGTTTCAACGTTCCCCGTCGTACGCTTCCTTCGTACGGTACTCACGCCCTAAGCAAGGCGGCGAACCGGCAGCGGAGGGCACCGCATATTGAGCGCAGCCAAGTATACATACCGTAATAAAAATATTAGTAGGTGCGTCTGGAGCACCGGCTGCGGGCCTGTATACGGTGCCTGGAACAAACAAAACAACGGAGCAACACAACGAGCATCCTTGTCACAAGGACCCAAAAGAAGGCACCGTACAATTTTCAAAACGTTTACGTGAGTGCTAAACACGCCCAACCACTGCCACCGCCCAACCTCCTTTACACCCTCCGACCCTGCGTCTCTTGCTCCGTTCTCCTCTATCTTCCGCAGCTTTCAAATAGCTAATAGCACGCCAGTTACAGCACGCCGTACTCGAAACGAAAGGAGAAGACCGACGGGTAGAAAAAGAGTCCCCAGCAAAGCATCATGCAGGAAACCACAACATGGCAAATGTGATGACAGCTAGCGTCCGCCGCTTCACATCGCGGCTAGGCGCTCCTCACCCGCACCCTACTCCAGCCTGGTACGGAACATGTATCCCTAGTAACCACACCCTATCCGGGCACCCACCAGCGTCTCACGCAACCATGCCATGCCTTGAGCCCCCTTGCCATCTTCAACCGCTCACACCACCACCAACACCACCCTCATCACCATCGCTACCTCTCCTACACAGGAGGCAACCACCGCACCACCACCGCTACCACCAACACCAACACCGCTGATTCAAGCTTCTCACAGGTAACAAACACCAATATAGCAACCAAACCAACCAACCATGTACTAAACCATTAGCATTGCCACCAACCTTGGATGCCACTCTTAATAATACGCATCCGGCCATGATGATGATGACCACGCGCTGCCCTACCTGCCATCCACCAAATACGCTAGATAAAGGAATACTGTGACGCCTTGTCGCCTTGCTAAGACGTCAGTGCTAGTGTCAGTTGCGTTGCTAATCGCAGGCCGCCCGGCTTACTAGCTACCAATGTCCCCAGAGCCAACCAACCTTGGCTGCCTGCATGTATGCATGCACGGCTTGAATGGCCGCTGTCGTACATTCGCGTCGCACCGCAGTACGGTTCGTACGTTTCCATCCTGCACACAGTTCCTGTGCACCCGTGTCCCCAGTAACATGTTGTTGTATAGAAAAGCCGCCTGCCGCATAACTAAACTACTAACGACGTGCCTAGGTGCAGGCAAAGCCTCTTAATCCTATCACACCAAACATGGGGCAGAAGACAATTAATCCGCATGCGCTTGCGGCGCAAGCCGCCTAACAGCCACCTAAGAGCCGTACAGCCCAGGCATGCATGCAGGCATGCGTGTGTATACCAACCTGCCCTGCGTTCGGTCGGCATCCTGCTGCTGTTTAACGGCAACAACGCCCCAACGTCTAGCGTCTTGCCAACGCGCGTTGCACGGCACACCATTTTAACGTGCACGAAAGGTAACAAACAGACCAACAACGTACATACATGAATGCGTACACACACCAGTTATTTTAACACACATTTTCCGACTCGCGGCAAGAATTCTTAACACACATAGGTCCTACGAACCCCCACAGAAGTGGATGGCATGCACATGTACTTGCTCCTCCTGCTATCTGTTCCTGTTGCTACCTGACTCCCCTTGTGGCTTATGCAAGCACTGCGCCCTCCTGCTGCTCAACTGCATGCAACCCAAGGCAGCATTGCTATGGCTTCACCATGTAATTCAACATGCACCTGATAAGGCACCTCGCTCGGCAGTGCCGGCGCCGACAGAGGGCGAGGATCCATACCTTCGACTGCGGCCACGGCAGCGGCGGCAGGTGCTACTGCTGCTGCCATTCTAAGTCGTACGACGCCATGCCGTCGTTTTCGCAACGTAGCCTAACGGTTGGAACGGAGGTGGTTGAGGTGGTTGGGCCGGTGCAGCTACCGCTGCTGCTACACCTCTGCATGCAGTGTACGGCGCAGGCGGTGGACCTGGCAGCGAATGTCTGTACGGCCCTGCTGCTGCCGTGACGGTGTACGGTAAGGGCATGTGCGCCGGCATTGAGTGATGGTACGGCAGCGCTCTTTGACGCTGGTACAACGACGGATGCGGCGTTGCTGCTGCTACACCTGTTACTGCTGCTGCTGCTGCTGCGACTGATGGCGGGGGCTGTAGTGATTGCAGAGGCTGCAGCGGATACGGCTGAAGAGCCGTTGCTGAAGCGGCGGCGTGAGGATGGTCGCCAGCGCCACGGAAAGTGAACCACGGGCCACCCCTCCATGCAGCATGCCGTACAAGCTGTTGCTGTTGCTCGTACGGCAGTGCCTCCGTCACTGCACATTCGCTAGTCGCATTGTGGTGACCTGTCGTACAAGCCGGGACGCCTATCCCTGCTTGGATGGCGTGGGGGCCAACTCGGCCGCGTTCCTCCATCCCCACCACGCCACTGTCATGACTCCCTCCTCGCCATGCCCCTGCTCCTGACCCAGCTCCGCCGCTTGCTGCTCCTGCGCTGCCGTACTCCCCGCAGGTGTACGGCAGCACGCAACCGCCACCGCTGCTGTTGCTTGTCGTACGTTGCTGCAGTAGCTGCTGGTGCTGGTGTTCAAGAACTGCTGCTTGATGCAGCCTTAGTCTTGGAGAGTCGGTCTCCAGCTTATTCCGTTGCTGGTGCTGCTCGTGAAGATGCTGCTGGTGGTGATTCTGGTGGTGGTGGTGAGGGTGCGCGGGAAGCTGAGAGAAGAGCTGTTGAGCCATTGAAGATGGCGCCAGCAGGCTATTCCGAACCTGCTGCTGCTGCTGTTGTGCTATCAGCAGCGTCCAGTCCGAGTGGTCATGCTGCTGCTGCTCCTCTACCTGCTGCTGCTGCTGCAAAATGTTTTGGGCCTCCTGTTGCCGAATCTCGCTCCCGGGTGCAGTCGTTAACACGGCCTGGTCACGAATCGCAACATCGTGTGCTCGATGGAAGTCGTTTGGCATAGACCGGTCGCTAACGAGACCGTGAGTGGCATGAAACGATGTGGGTTGCAAAGCTTCAGCAGAGCTACGGGTAGAGCTGCCCGTTGCCGTCGAAGGCGCCGCACCTAAAGTCGCATTGTGTAGCTGAACGGTTGTCGAGGCATCAGTGCTTGAATCCCGGCTAATTTGCTGCAGCAGTTTGTTAAAAATGTCTGCATCTGCTTGCTGACAGCCGGGTTCACATTCACCTAACTGGGCCGCGACAACACTTTCATCACAGGTTCTTGCGTGTCCAACGACCGAGCCGGGAACCATGCAGCTCGCTGAACCGCTAGATGTACGGCAGAAAATGCGCGGAGAGTCCGCCTCGGCATGCCCAGGGATTGAACCTGGGGAGGCCATCTTCGCCGTCGATTGACCCGAGTTGCTTTCCAGCTCGCTCACAAGCGCCTTTGGCAGGGAGGATTTCTCAAGGCATCTGTGGATTGTAACATATGCAGGTTTTAGCGATGCTAGAAATGTGACTGCAATCGGTGCCTCTACCGGCAACACTCGACACCCAACCGGAAAGCCAAACAAGACCCTGAACGTTTTACCCAGATAAGTGTTTTTGGTAACAGCATGGACGATAAACCAAGCGCGATGTGCAGAGGCTCTACGATATCAGCGTGCCTCCTTCAACTCGCAGCAGACTCTTAGTGGAAAAGGCAAAGAGAGATACAATACCCCAGAGAATATCGGGAATGCGCAGGTTCGCACCTGCTGGTTGTAACCTCGGCATCTGCCTGCGCTTGAGCCCCAAGAAGCAATACGCCTTGCGCTTCAAGATTGTCTCGAAGCTTGCGTAATTCCTCCAGCTCATTGCGCAGCGCCGACACCTCTTGAGAGAGGCCAGCCACCCGCTCCTCCATCGTGTTAATCGCATGTTTCGTTTGTGTGGGCAGGCCTTCGTTTTCCGTGTCGGACTCCGAGGCAGCCGCTCGACGTCTGCGTTTCGTTGATCTCATGGCTACACGTTCCTCCGATTACAAAGCAAGATTACAAAGCAGAAGAGAAAAAGTAAGATTCGTGTAAGGGAAGCTCTGGTAAGGTGCAGGAACAGTACGACCGCAGTCTTTTAGCTGTGTTACTGAAAAACTAAGATCCCATACAACCGGAAGGGATTGTCGCAAAGAGCACCTTATGGCTTAGTGAATGAGTGCACGTGACAATTTAGACGTCCTAGCTGCCGTCGTACAGCGTACTAAAGTTAAAAGGTATGGCATACAACAGCTTCCATGCTTGAGTAGCGGTGGTAGAGCACATGACTGCCTGTTGCCCTACCTCCTGGCGTACCTTCTGACTTCCCTACGGCGTACGGCTAAAAAGGACAGATCATCCAGAAACATAGACATAGAAGGGCAGTTCAACTCAGTACTGCAGGTTATGTGTATATATTACGTGCCCAGGGCTGAACCGGTGAAGGTCGTTCCTTGCGTCTGTAGGTCGGGATTTAGGAGGTCAATGTCCGTGATTAACATAAAGGCAACAGGAGTGACCTTACTCCTGTTGTTATCTTTCAACTGCGCTTATGCCCTGTACTCCAAAAGCGATGCCGTTGTGGAGCTGACATCTGCCAATTTTGATAAGCTTGTCTTGCAATCAGATGGAGTCGCAGTGGTGGGTCGTAACAGACTGCTAGGAGGGCGCTATTGTTGGCCCAGACACGCTGTCCCCCCACCTCCTGCGCTTGCACGGCAACTCTTTCGCCGCGTTTGGAAGTCCTGTAAAGAGTATCTCGACTAATTAAGGCCTATACCAAAAAAGGAACAACCTGGCGTTGGCAGGCAGACAACAGAGGGTTATGGGTGTCATTGATGCCACGGATTGCCACATGGTCTGCTTCGTGATTTGCATACAGCTTCGCTTTGAATCTGGAACCCTTGCCCAAGTCAGCACCGATACTCTCCCTCGTAAAGCACCCCGCCATGCCCCTCCCTACAGTACTGCTTTCCCGCCTTTCTTCGCGCGCCCCATCTCATCCCACACTCAAACCCCACCCCCTCCCTCCCTCCTCTCTCTCCCCCTGATCCCCCCGGCCGGCTCCTCCCGGCCGCTTCCCTCGGCTTCTGTGGCGCCTCCTGCTGCTGCCGACCCACATGCGCTCGCCTTCGGGCCGCCTCTTCCTCTTCCTGCACTTCTTCTTCGGATCCTCGGTCCCCCACGGGTCCCCACTCTGCTTCCTTGGCGCTGTTCCCCTCCCCCTTCCTCGGCTCCCTCCCGCCCTCCCTCCCTTGCTTCCTTCCTCCTCATGCGTGCCTTCCGCTACCTTCCTTCACCTTCCGCGTTCCGCCTGCCCGCACCACATCTGTCTCTAGGTGGAGGTGGGTGCCAGCGTACATACACACACACAAAAATCACAGTACATTTCTCTTCGCGGCCAGTTTTCTTAACACACAGCGAAGTTGGTGGTCCTACTCAACTACACAGCGAAGTTGGTTGTGTGCGGTTACCCGGCGTCCAAGAGCGGTTGCGATTGCTGCACGTGCTTTGCATGTTCTGTACGACAAGCTACAGATAGGGTCTCCCGTTAGGTCCGCCTCCTCCTCGCTCCTCCACCTCCCTCTGCCCTCTGTTCCTGGGTTTCTTCTTCCCACTCAGTCCCTCTTCTCATATCATCTCCCCCCCCCGCCCCACAGTTCTACGCCCCCTGGTGCGGACACTGCCAGTCGCTGGCACCGCAGTACAAGAAGGTGGCAGCTAACCTGCAGGTATGTGTGTGTATATGGAGGAGAAGTGGAAAGAGGGGAAGCGGGGAGGGGGGGACGTTTGCGTGTGTGGTACTTCCTACTTCCCACCCCACCCCACCCCGCCCCACCCCGCCCCGCCCCGCCCCGCCTCCTCTACCCCCATTGCTTTGCCGTGACCGGTGGATCCTCTTATATATGGTCTGGTCGCTCTTTGACCTCATCCGGCTCCACCCCCGGACTCGTTGTTTCGATTTAAACGTTTTTGCCCCCCGCCCCCCCAGGGTCTAGCTCTGGTGGGGGCGGTGGACTGCAATGACAAGAAGGCGGCAGGGCCGCTGTGCCAGCGGTACGACATCAGGGGCTTCCCCACCATCAAGGTGAAGGGGGAGAGAGTAGGGAGCGTCGTACGGCGGTGTGTTTTGTGCATGGATGGGGGGTGTTGAGGAAACGGACTGCATGGGTTGTGGAGGGGGAAAGGCAGCATGTGCCGGTGTTAGCGCGCGTGCTGCATCACGCTGCATTCGTGCATGTGTGCAGGACCCCCCACATGCACTGTAGGTAAGCACCGGTACGTTCTCCTTGTGTTGTCGTACCTCACTTTTGCCGTACCTCCCTTTTGCCGTATCATTCTATCCTCCTGTCGTACTGTCGTACAACACCATCTCCCCAGCTGTTTGGATCCGACAAGATCAAGAATCCGTACACTGGAGAGTACTCTAAGGAACCAACCGACTATAACGGTAAGAGGGGGGTGGGGTCAGGGTTTTACACCCCACCACCATACACCTACGACGATGATGACCTAGGTGAACATTGATGCACCTCGCCTCCTCGCCTCCTTGCCACTAAGCCCGTTCTGGGTCTTGTCTCCATGCGGTCTTGGGAGGCCCCCAACTCCTCCCAAGGCCGCGCCTGTCCTCCTCCATCTCCACCTCCCTCCACCTCCCCTCCCCCCCCCAGGCCCCCGCACCGCCAAGCCGCTAGCCGAGGCGGTGACGGGTCTGATGAGTGACCGCCACATCACCCGCCTGGGTAGTGAGGAGGAGCTGAGGGGCTGGCGGGAGGCGGCGGGGGGCAGGCCGCAGGTGAGGGGGGAGGCGGCGGGGGGCAGGCCGCAGGTGAGGGGGGGGGGAGGGAGGGAGGGGGGCAGGCCGCAGGTGAGGGGGGAGGGAGGGAGGGGGGCAGGCCGCAGGTGACGGGGGAGGGAGGGCGGGGGGCAGGCCGCAGGTGAGGGGGGAGGGAGGGAGGGGGGCAGGCCGCAGGTGAGGGGAGAGGGAGGGCGGGGGGCACGCCGCAGGTGAGGGGGGAGGGAGGGCGGGGGGCAGGCCGCAGGTGAGGGGGGAGGGAGGGAGGGGGGCAGGCCGCAGGTGAGGGGGGAGGGAGGGAGGGGGGCAGGCCGCAGGTGAGGGGAGAGGGAGGGCGGGGGGCAGGCCGCAGGTGAGGGGGGAGGGAGGGAGGGGGGCAGGCCGCAGGTGAGGGGGGAGGGAGGGAGGGAGGGAGGGGGGCAGGCCGCAGGTGAGGGGGGAGGGAGGGCGGGGGGCAGGCCGCAGGTGAGGGGGGAGGGAGGGCGGGGGGCAGGCCGCAGTTGAGGGGGGAGGGAGGGAGGGGGGCAGGCCGCAGGTGAGGGGGGAGGGAGGGCGGGGGGCAGGCCGCAGGTGAGGGGGGAGTGAGGGAGGGGGGCAGGCCGCAGGTGAGGGGAGAGTGAGGGAGGGGGGCAGGCCGCAGGTGAGGGGGGAGGGAGGGCGGGGGCCAGGCCGCAGGGGAGGGGAGCAGGCCTCCCTCTTCCTCCTCTGCCCTCCATGTATAGCCTTATATCCTTGCTTTGAGGTAACCCCACACACCCCACCCCCTTCCCCCTGGGCCGGCGCATATGTTGCAACCCATGATGACGCCTTATCACACGGTTCCTCTTCCCCACGCCCCCCGCTCCCCACCCCCCCAGGTCCTCCTCTTCACCAACCGCGACGCCCCCTCCACCCTCTACAAGTCCCTGTCCACCCAGCTGCACTCCCGACTTGTGTTCGCGGAGGTGCACGAGGCCAGTGAGCAGCTGGTGAGGGCGTTCGGGGTGACGCAGTTCCCCTCACTGGTGGTGGCGCAGGTGGGTTGGGGGGGGTGAAACATATAGATAGATGCATCAACGGAGTCCCAATCCCGAATGGTGGGGGGTGAGTGGGTTTGGTGGGGTTGGAGGGATTGGCTATTACGGGCCATCAGCTAGCAGGCAGTGACACAGGGTGGGCACGAACCGATAGTAAGGGGGTTGCAACCACATGCATCAAATCCGGTTATGCAGATTGATGTGTGATGGTCTGGATTGTTACGTATCCCTGCCGTACACACGACACGTATGTACGGCAACAGGCTGACGGGTCACGTGAGGTGTACGACGGAGAACTCAAGGCGCCTGCGCTGCTGTCGTACCTCTCCAAGTTTGGCGCCTCCTCGTCTTCTTCCTCTTCCTCCCCCGACTCCTCGTCTTCTGGGGAAGAGGATGCTGCTAACGGTGCCGCCGCCGGCGACGCTTCGTCTTCCAAGGGGGCCAAGGGCAAGAGTGGCGCGGAAGCGGCTTCAAAGGAACCGGCGTGGTCGTTTGTACGGCAGGTGGGTTTTAAAAAACATAGCTAGCTGCAAAAAAAGTATAACGAATAGTACGCCCATCACCCATCACCCTCCCAACCCCGCCACCAACCACCCAACCCACCACGTCCCCCTCCAACACAGGTGTCCGGCCTAGCTGAGCTGCCCGAGTGGGATGCGCGGGAGGACATGACTCTGCTGGCCCTGCATGGGGAGGCAGGTGAGGCTGAGGCAAGGGGGGGGGGTTCAGGGGGGGGAGCTGGCCATGTGACTGTAGTGGGAGGCAGGTCGGAGCGCGTGTGGGTTGCATCCATCCCATTCCCCTGCCCCGCCCCCCCTTGTTGTGGCTGACTCCACCCGAAGAAACCCGAACCCACATCACCCCCTTCCCTCCCCTTCCTTTCCCCCCACAAACCCGCAGGCGAGGATGGCTGTCGCGACGCGCGGTCTGCCTTCCTGCAAGCCGCCGGGGAGATGCAGGCGCTGGTGGACACAGTGCTGCTGTCGGTGCCGGCGGGGGAGCTGGCGGAGGGGGGCGAGGGGGCGGGGCAGCTGGGGCGGATGGGGGTGGATGTGGCGGGCCTGCGGGCGGAGCCGTGCGAGCTGCAGGTGAGAGTAGCGGTAGCAGTGGTACGGCAGTGCATGCGGGTTATACACACATGTGTTGGTTGGCTCCTAACCACGCCTCCTAACCACCACCTAACCGCCACTCCAACCCGTCGTAACCGCCTAACCACCCCAACCGTCTCCCCCCCGCCAGGTTGTGTTGCTGCCGTTTGGGAAGGACAAGGCGGATCTGGACGACTACCAGCGATACTCGGTGGGGGTGGGGTGTAGGGGTAGGGTGGCAGAGGGGGCAGGGTGGGGATAGAGTTAGATAGGGGAGGCGAGATGCCGGTGGGGGGTAGTGGCGGTGGCAGTGGAAGAGAGGTGTTGATGCGGGGCGAGGTGTGGTGGGCGAGGTGAGTGGGTGGGGCGTGCGGATTGCGGACGTGTCAAGACAGGTGCCTACCCCTCTGCCCCTGCCCCTGCTCTTGCAGCACCCTGGACCACCATCCTGGCCTTATCCCTGATGCCCCCCTCCCTCCCCCTCCCCCTCCCCCTCCCCCCCTCCTCACCCCCCCATTGGGACTCGTTGTTTCACTTATATAATGTTTCCCCCCTCCTCACCCCCCCCAGGGTCCCCCCGAGGGTAAGGCCCTGCAGCGGTGGGTTACGGGTGCCGTACCGCTGTTCGCCGCCACCCTGGACGACTCCGCGGCGGAGGCCTTCCTGGCTCTGGACCCCTCGGGGGGGAGCATGGCGGGGGCGCCCAAGGTACGGGGGGTCAAAGACCATACCAAACCATAGGAGACAGGGGTGGTGGGGGGAGGAGGGCAAGGGAACAAAAGTGAAGCAGTGCGATCTTAGTCGTGTGGGGTCGCGGAACCCGCTCGCTTATCCGCTCCCTCCTGCCTCCCTCTGCCTCCCCCCCCTTACCCCTTTACCCCCCCCTGCCCCTCCTGCCCCCCCCTCCCCCCCAGGTGGTGTTGTTCACCAACAAGGAGGAGGCCCCGGGCGTGTTCCGGGCGCTGGCGCTGGCGATGCGGGGGCGAGGCAACATGGCGTTCGGTTGGGTGCAGGTGAGGGGGTGCAGGTGGGGGGGTGCAGGTGGGGGGAGGCTGCCGGTACTGTACCTTTGTCGGCAGGAAACACACTGTGAGAAACCACACACCGTGCCGGGCTTGACACGGTTGTGTACCCCGCCTCCGACCCTGCTTCCCCTCCCCCTCCCCCTCCCCAACCCCCTCCCCAACCCCCTCCCCTCCCCCTCCATCCCTCCCAGGTCGGCAGTCCCGCCTCGCAGCGCCTGGTTCAGAGCTTCAAGCCGCCCCGAGTGCCCTTCATGACCGTCATACTGCCCACCCGCGTGCCGTGAGTGGGGGAGCGGGGCTGGGTGTGTGTGTGTGGGGGGAGGGTTGGTCGGGGGGCGGGGGAGAAGAGAGGGGTAGGAGACCCCGACCAGCAGTTCGTGGTTGGTTGGGTGGTTGGAGGGCGGTTGGTGGTTACGGACAGCGCTCAGAGAGGTGCTGGCGGGCCTTGGATTGTAACTGTGTCTTTACACGCCGCCTAATACTTATACCGAATCGGTGCATGCAAGTGTCCCCCCGCCCGCCCACCCCTCGCACACACGTGTGTGTACCCCTACCAGGCCGCCCAAGACAGGGGGCGCCACCAAGGGCGGCAAGGGCGGCAAGGCGGGTGGCAGCAGCAGCGGCAGGGAGGCCCCCGCCATCCAGTACGGCAGCCAGCCATACTTGGGTCCTCTGCGGTTCGGCCCCATGCGGCAGTTCCTGGAGGAGATGGCGACCCAGCTGGAGGTGGCGTCAGGTGGGGGGGTAGGGGGGTGGGGGGGGGAGGGGGGGAGGGCGAGGTGGTGGTCAAGATGTGAGGAGTGAAGCACTGGCATCCGACGGGAGTCCCCATGTTCCGGCTCACATGCAGTGAGAGCAACAAGCACAGACTAACTGAGGGGCGAGAAGAGGGAGGGACAGGCTCCTTGGCCCAGCACAACCCGCCGTAGCCGCCCCCTCCCTCCCTCCCTCCCTTGAGCGCATGCCGCCCTGTCCCTCCATCCCTCCATCCCTCCCCCCCCCCGTGTCACATACAGGCATAGTGAAGGACGCGGCACTAGCTGAGAAGGCCCTTCCGCAGGTGAGTTGGGTGGTGGTGGGGGGGGTGGCTGCGACCCTGCGCTGTAGGGCCTTGCGTGGGACATCTTTCCTTGGTGCAACTGCCTCCTCACCCCGCCCCTCACCGCATGCTCACCCCCACCCTCACGCTCCCACCCACACAAGCCTCGTCATACAGCTCGCCAGTTTCCTCTCTTTCTTACCACCCATGCACACCCCAATGCTCACCCCCTCAACCCACACAACCCCATGTTCACCCTCCCCCCCCCCCAACGCACCCCAGATCTCCAGCCCCGCCGACTTCCGCACGCACTGCGCCTCCCAGCCGGGGCTGTGTCTGCTGGGGCTGCTGGACAGCCCCTCCGCGCCCACATACCAGCAGGAACGCAAGGTGGGGGGGCCGACATGCACATGACGGGCGATCTTGGGGGTGGTGGTGGTGGGGAAGAGCGGAGAATGCGATAGAAGTGGGTGGGCTACTTCGCTCAGTGGAATGGATTAGAGGCCGTTTCCGCACAGGGCGCCCATATCTTGCCCCCCGGCCGGCCCCCCTTAAACCTGCCCTAACCCCAGCACCTGTAACCGCACCTCCCTATAACCCTGTCTCCCCTAACCCCACCTAACCCGGTCCGCCCCCCGCCTAACCCGGTCAATTACACCGCCTCCCTCCCTCCCTCCCTCCCTCCCTCCCAGGAGCTGTTGGGTCTCGCTGTGCGGATGCAGCTGAGCGGCGAGGGCGGTGCCATGCACTTTGGCTGTCTGGAGGGGCGGAAGCACCCGGGGGTGATGCAGGTGGGGCTGGATTGAGGAGGAGGAGGGCGGTTGGGTGGCCGCAGGGATTGGGACTCCGTTGCTTCACTAATCATTTACTCCCCCCCCCTCACCTCACCTCACCTCACCTCTCCTCCCCCCCAGGCATTCGGGCTGCTGTCCAGCGACCTGCCCTCCCTGGTGGCGCTGTCGCCCAGCCGCATGCGCTTCGCCGTGCTGCCGGCGGGGGGCGGGGAGGAGGAGGAGGAGGGCGAGGAGGCGGAGGTGGCGCTGCCGGGAGCTAGCAGCAGGTGGGTGGGTGGGTGGGTTTGGTGGGTAGGGAGGAATGTGCCCCTACTCCTCCCCCTCCTCTTTCCCCCCTTCCTCCCTTCCCTTATTTTTACCCCCCCCTTCTCGCCTTGCAGCGCCCGTCTCAGCTCTCGCCGCGTGGCTCGCTTCATCCGCGGTGTCATGTCGGGTAAGGTGCGCACCGCTGAGTTGCACGCCCTCCCAGACTTCCGTGATGCTGGCGGTGATGGGCCAGCAGCAGCGGCCGAGGGCGCCTCTGCCGCCACCAGCTCTGACAGCACCGCTGCTGCTGCTGCTGCTGGCGGCGGCGGCGCTGATGCGGGTGGCGCGGCGGTTGATGGTGGTGCGGAGGTGGTGGTGGTTGAGGCGGATGAGTTCGATCTGAGTGACATCCTGAGTGAGGAGGTGGAGGGGTCGGGCGCAGCGGCGGGGCTGGTGGGCGGCAAGGCGGACAGGCTGCGGCTGGTGGAGGAGCAGCTGCGGGTGAGGAGGAGCTGTGTAGCCGTGCTGCCGTGCAAACCCTGGCACTCGCGCACTTCCTTCCTACTCGCGGTGCCTCGGTTCTTCCCGTTCGTCTGCATTGGCGTCTATAGATCCCATTCAGACCATCCTTGTGAACCATGGGTCATGGGTTTTAGCACTTTGTATGTATATGGCTTCAACCTTTTACCACCGCTTGTACTTCACTCACCATCACACGTTGTGCTGATGTGCCCGGCCCACCTCATCCTGCTGCCTTCGTCCTGTTCCCTTTCATTGTGTGACACGATACTACCGAACCCGAACCCAACCCTCTCAGGCGGAGGAGGAGGCTGCTCGGAAGGCTGCGGAGGAGGCGGCCAAGGGCAGCGGCGGCAAGAAGAAGAAAAAGAAGAAGAGCGGCAAGAAGGGCAAGAAGGGCGGCAGCAGTGGCGGAGAGGAGCTGTGATCCGGTCCAGGAATTCCTCTGCGATTGGCTGGTTGACTGAGAGGTCCCCATGGTTGGACAAGGAGAGGGCAGGTCAGCACTCCCCATGCGGCGAATGACGGAATGCGTGTTGGTGATCTCTCTCTGGCGTGACGTTGTTCCCTCCACGTCCCTCATAAGTCATGAAACCTTGTGTCTGGACGGAGGCTGAGGATGTATGTGATGTGTGTTGCCGCGCCTCCCACGGGAGTGGCTGCTGCGTGCGAGAACCGTCGGTGCAGGGTACATGTAGATAGGCGCATGCGGGCAGGAGGGTAATGTTGATGATGATGATGAGGAAGGCAGCTGTTCAGAGATCTGAGGGGTGTTGAGACCAGGCTGCTGTCATACTCCGACTCTTTTTGCATCACACGAGACACATCACGTTACAGCAATACGACACCCTTGACCTGCCACGAGCGTTTGCAGCGCAAAGCGTGCAAGAGATGAGAGATGCGTCTGACAAAGTCTCTTAATACCGGTATTTCCGTACAGCACGTGTGCCGGCTGCGAACCAACCCGGCACACGCAACACGGAATCGCGGTTATCACCCGCATGGCTGCGCTGCGAGGCTGAAGAGAGGGTTACAAATTACCGATAGCGCACAGAGCGACCCACTACAAATCAGGGCATACCCCTGCTAGGTCACACCCGAGAAGGGCAGCACCATGCATGTATTCACAGCAACACCTAGCAACGCCAGCGCAATACGGAATGATAGCGATTATCTTCAGGCAGCCAGTCCTTTCTGACAGTCCTTTCATTTCCGACACCTACAACCCTGGGCTGTGTTCTTCTCCTCCCTCCCGACCAATCATCCACCACTCTCCTTCCAGTCGCACCTTCCAGTCGCCTGCACCTTCCAGTACCAACGTTAACCAACTACCCAAGAACGCTCTACCGGCATTCGTTGGTCGGTGCAACGGTCACAACGCACCACATTCCCCATCCGCAATTGGCAGTTAGTACTGCAGGTACTAACCACTCTTACCTCTCCCGCGTACTTCATCCAAACACCCACCCACCCCCTCGGTCTTAGCTCCCGCTCTCACACTTAAGTCCTCGCTCATTCCCTCTCCCAACGACAACAACTGCCGCAAAAATATAAAAATGCACTCCGCTAGTCATGTGTATCGAGGCAACGCGCGCTTCCCAGCATTCATGTTAGGAGACCACATGCGAGCAGTGACGGCAGAAAGAGCCGAGCAACGTAGTCCGGCCGAACACAATGTCATCACGCGCATCATATGTCATCACATTGTCTCACAAGTGTTGCAGAGGTGGGCCTTTTGAGGCAGTCGGGGACGCCAAACGCAGAGGATACTTTGCTTTCCGAAGCCGTCCGTCCATATAATTCATAGATTTTGTTGTAAATAGTATTAGAAGCAACCATTTTATACGTATCATCCTACAACCACTCGTCGTCATGTGTCCTTCTGACCACTCTTGAATACCACCAATTCCCCGCCCAACTTCGAAACCAATTTTGACGATGAGGAGTTCCATACATCATTGAAGCCAACCCGCCATGTATCACAACTGCTACGGCAATACAAATAGAAACTATAAGCAACAGGAACAACGGTTACCGGCATTACACGTATAAAAGCTTGAAAAGAAGGGCAAAAATACGCAACGGCAACTGTGTATGTGGGCCTTCATTAGGATACTTGAGCGCCGCCGCCTGTTTGCGTTCTGAGGCATCCCCGATGCGCAACATCACCATACATAAACCTCCTTACGCCCAACACTATTATTGAAGCCGGTGCTAAACGGCTGGCAAGGCAAATACACAAATCATAGCTTATCGGCAACCATGTCGTATAACGGATCATTTACCGGTACCGAGCTGGGCTCACGTGAACGCATGTCTTGTTTTGGCAGCCTCAACAGAGGTCCTAATTAAGCAGGGACGGGGCCAACACACCGATAACATGGACAATGTCACGTTGTTGCCGCAAACCCGCACACAGGCACATACTTTCCATCAATCCTGCTGTTCGATCGACATCTACGACTCATGGAACAAACATCCCGGAAATTCTAGCGATGTCATAGAATAAGCATAACGAAGTTGCCAGATGTTTTTTTGTCATACTAGATATTTTTTTGTGAACATCAGGCACAACTCGTCCCCGTTATTAAGGGGCACCCCACCAGGCTGACACCGTATACGGCATACTATCGCACCATGCGCACGCACGGCCCCGCCCTCACAGCTGTAACTAGAGAGCGGTTGGTTAATAATCAAGCTCCTCCACATGCGCTAATGCCCAGCAGCTCTTAAGAACAGTCGCTGGCTGTTAACCTTGGCAGCAGGCACGGCCGCCCCTCCGGCTGTGCTTCGCAACAAAGCGATCGGCTGCGGTGCCATGCTGGCCTGTTGTTGTTGTTGCTGCTGCTGCTGCTAATGATGCTGTTGCTGTTGTTGCAGCTGCTGCGGCTGCGGCCAGCCGCACGACGCACGCCTGTTTGCCGCCTGAATCAGCAGCTGACTGCTGCGACGGAAGGAGGTGGAGGAAGCGGCGGCGCAGCCGACTTGACGAGACACACCAGCCGACGTGACAGCGGCGGCGGCGGAGCTACCGCTGGCACCGCTGGTGCTAACGCTGCTGCCGTTGGGCGCATGGGGGTTGTGGTGGTGGTGGTTGTGGTGGTAAGAAGCAGCAACGTCCCCTGCTGGTTCCGAAACCTGTCTAGGGGGCATCATGTCAGTCGATTGGGACCTGCGGCGGCCCCCAGAGGAGGTGGTAGGGCATACGAAGCTCAAACTGAGGTTTACGTTTACGTTGAGGTTAAGGTTGCTCAGGGAATTGCTGCTGGTGCAGTTGCCGTGGTTGAAGCTGCTGCGCTGCCTAGAAGCACTACGGGGGGTAAGTGGGGCGGCGGCGGAGGCGGAGGCTCCGGAAGAAGATGAGGAGCAGGAGGCGGCGCAGCCGGAGGAGGAGGAGGCGAGCGAGGAGGCCGGCGTACAGGAGGAGCAAGAAGGCGAAGAGGAGGACGAGGGCGACGTTAGTGACGACGTTGGTGACGACAACAACACAAGGGGTGCTGTTCCGCAGACACTACTGCCGCCGCTGCTGCTGCTGCCGCCGCTGCCGACCAGCAAGGGGCCTGGGAGGCGTGGCAGGAGGGAGTCGGAGCCACGACGGACAGCAGCAGCAGCGGCAACGGCAGCGCTACTGCCAGCAGCCTCACTGCTAGAGGTAGCGACGCCAGCCGTCGTCATCATGCTGCCACCGCCAGTTCCGCCCCCACCATATGCCCCTCCGCCACTGCCACCCCCACCAACACCGCCACCACTACCACCACCACCGCAGGTGCGGCTTCTGCTGCCTTGGATGGACGGCAGCTGCCTCTCCGCACCCAGTGTTGCCGTTGCAGCCGCCGCAAGAGCTGTTGGCCCCGCTGGAAAGCAAAAGGAGGTGCTCTCTCCGCTCGCAGTGTGGCACGCCGGGGGCTGCTGCTGCTGAGCATGGGGGTCGTAATGCTGGCCTGAATGGGGTCTGAGAGCCTGCAACTGGGGCTGAGCAGAGAGCAGGGCTCTGGAGGAGGAACAAGGTGCCGGTGACTGCTGCGGCAGCTGAGGAGGCTGCGACTGCAGCTGCGGGGTAACAGAGTGCGGCTGCTGATGCGGCTGCTGATGCTGATGAGCCGACCCAAGGGCTGCTGGCGGGGTCTTCAGGGCGCCGCAGGAGGCGGCATGGGCGAGGGCGCTGCGGCGGCGGTGGAATGACGAGCTGCCGCCTCCAATGCCGCCTCCAATGTTGCCACTGCCGCTGCCGCCGTCACTCTTACTGCCACCCTGACTGTTGTTAGCAGTTGCAATTGCGACAGCAGAGACGCCAACTGCCGCAGCGGTGGGGTGGCCAGCGGGGGCGGAGCCGAAGGATGGTGGGTGTCCCAAGGCGGCGGTGTGACTGGCCCCGCTGCTGCCTCCGCCGCTATTGCCGTCTCCGCCGCTGCTGCCTTCACCTCCGCCGGCACTGCCGTCTCCGTCACCACTGACGCGACCGCTGCCGCCGATGCGGTGTGAGGCCAACGTATCCTGCGGTGACAGTGGCGGTCAATGTTAGCAGGAGGTGGCAGGACGGCGGTAGGTGGAGCGAGTGAGGTTCAGCCATGGGTTCGATGGGTTGGGTTCCCCTAGCGCCACCTAGCTACACGTTATCCCTCTCCCCCGCCCATGGCGGAGCCCTGCCACATGGCCACTTTGGTCCCCCCCTTCATCCAAGCGCTCTCAGCAGCAGCCCCGCCTCACCAGGATCTGGGCCATCTCGTCCGGGCAGTCCGCATTGCAGTACGACAAGTCCCCGGCATCAAACCTGCACGGACATGGGAGCGACTGAGCAAAAGCCCCAAAGGGTTGCAGTTCACGTCCTAGTCCCTGGCTTGCAAACTCCGAAAACCCAAACCAAAAATTGTTAAATCAAAAGCAATGTATACTTTGCCATGTGCTGCCCCTCACTCACCAACGCCCAATGTCTTCCGTTATGTCAACTGCAATACCATCGCTGTCGTCCGAATCAGATTCCTCATCCTCGTCATCATCATCATCATCATCATCGTTGTTTCCGTCATCCCCATCGTCGCCGCTGTCAACGCCCGCTTGAAGCCGTACAATTCGGGATGTCGTACGGGATCCAACTTGTACGGCATTCAAGGAAACATGGCTGCTACTGCGGCTGCAAATCGCCGTGCCAAAGTCCCAGCGTCGACTGCTACTGCCGCTGCCTCCGCCGTTGCTAGCTGCATTGTCAAACAAGCGACTGGAGAACCGGGCTGCAACGCCGCCGCTGCCGCCAGCGCCGCCACTGTCAGGCACATACGCGGCGGCGACAGAGGCAATAGGGGAGGTGGCAGCGGCAGCGCCCTTGCCGACGCAACCCAACGCTTTAGCCGAGGAGGAACCAGAGCGGCATGGGGAGTCACCAGCGCCAGACCATGCCGCCGTTGGTAGCAGCGGCAGAGACGCGCACGACTGGCTTTGTTGCTGCTGGTTTTGCAGCAGCTGTGACTGGAGCGAGCCTGGGGTATCCGGCTGCAGTAGAGGATTAGCTCCGGTCACGCTCGCAATCCTGCGGCCGAGGAGCGATCCTTTGCCGCTGCTGATGCCGCTAGGCTGCAAGGGCGCCGCCATTGATATCAATGGAGCGTTTGCTGTCGTACAACGGTTACCGTTACCGCATGCTGACGGCTGTCGTACAACTGCCGGTGCTTCGTCCCATGTTGCGGATGAATGCATGGATGAATTAGCGGTACCCGCCATCCCTGCCAGCGACCCTCCCCCTTGCCCTGCTGAAGCCGTAGCCGCAGATGCAGCGGCTGAAGCTGATGCCGATGCTGTTGTCCCCCCTGCTGTGGTAACATTATCCAACCCCGCTTGCTGCTGCTGCTCTGATCCCGCCGCCGAATACGACGCTGATATGCATGGAGAAAGCAACATGGCACGAGATGAGGAATGGCAAGAGGGGTTAAGTGCGCTTCCTCCTTGCCCCTGTTGCGGCATGACCTGCAACGGCAGCTGCAGCTGAGGCTGGGAAAAATGACCCGTGGGACACAAGGACGGCAGGCGTGTGGCGACAGAGCCGTTGTCACTGCCACGGGGGCTGTAAGCGTCCACGCTGCTTGCCGCGATGGAAGACGCGGATGGCTGAGCCTGCGATGATGCTTGATGCGACAGGTGATGAAGGCTGACATAACAGTTTCCGTCCGATACGCTTGTGGGAGCAAGAAAACGGCCCCCGCTGTTGCCGCTGCTGCTGTGATTGCGGCACGGGAGGGCATGATTAGGGCCGTAGCTGAGGGCGCCGTCTGGCGTGGCGGCTCCGGAGGGCAGCGAAGGAATGCCGTCTATGGGAGGAACAGCAGAGGCGCAGAAGGGGCTCTCGACAGAGGAGTAGGAGCGGTTCGTGTGGCCGAGGGGCGAGGGCTGCTGGGCCAAGCGGAAGGAGGGCGCGCCGTGCACACCAGAGGACGAGCAAGCGACGCTTCTGCAATATGGGTAACCATCGCCGGCTTCTGTTGTTGACGTTGATGGTGGAGCTGTCGCGGCTGTTGGTGTGAGGAACGACGTGTGAGGGTTGCCGTTAGGGCCGCCAAAGCCGCTTTCTGTGGAGGTCGCGGAGGCCGTGAAGGAATGGCTGAGAGCAGGCTGCTGGCCACTTCTTTTATACAGGTCGACTGTGAATGATGTTGCGCTGCAGCGGCGATTCCTCCGGTTTCTGATGAGCACGGCATCCCTTAACGGGTTGCCAGCTGCCTCTTCAAGCTCCTCCTTTTCTTGTTCTTTTCGTTGCTGGTTTTCACGGAACTCCTTGTAGCCCTCATCATGCTCTGCTTTTTGCCGCCACACTGCATAAGAGGCAAGCAAACAAGGGACACGTGAAACGAAGGGTCAGGCTCCAACTGAAGCCGTTTGCAGGGGATTTGGGTTAACAAGAACGCTGTACCCCGCACGTGGGGTATTAGCAACGTAACATTCGGTAGGTAGCATGCCACAGGGCACCGGTACAGGAACGTAGCCCTCCGTTTGCCGCAGAAGCCTATCCAAAACAGGCATATCTTTGCGTGTACCTTCGGCATACGCGCTAAGCCGCATGCAGAACACGCTAGTAGCTTACCTTCGAGTGCCCTGTCCTTCCCCTGTAGACTGGCAAAAACAGCGTCTTTAGAATTGCCGATTAAACCCTTGTCCGGTTGGCCGTCCCCACGCTTTTGAAAGCCATCATCTTGTTCTGACCTGTGTACGATTCCTACCTGCACAACATCGTGCAGAGGCGATGTTGGTAGAAGTACGCTAGGAGGTAAGCAAGCCGGGACTGCGGAAAATTAGAGTCAAAAGCACCTTTCTTAGGCTACTAAGAGCACGTGTGAACGCCTCCATACGCCCCATTAAAACCCTTCGCTGCACAGGCTGTCTTTCAGGTTGCTCTCTGTTTTGTATTCCTAGTTTCCCACCTGTTCCCTAGACAGGCTGTTAAGGAAATACGCAGCTGTTATGCCTATCATTAATACAAGTACCGAACACATACGTATGTGGGAAACGGGTGTCGCTCTAACGTGACGGCGAAGTGTGAAGTTCGCAACGTAAATATAGAAGACTGTTATGTCCCCGTGCGATTCTCTACAGACTCAGTAACAAATATACGCATGAATTTCCCTAGTCGGCGACGTGTAGGGTAATTTTCATCTTACTTTCTTGGTGTTGTACACAAGGCCTAGCTAGGTATACTTGCCCGTCGTCCCTGTCACCGCCTGCTCATCCCGCAACAGAATATATGTCTGTGTTGGCCTGTTTGAAGAGTACAGCTCGCCCACGTCATTCTAGACAACCTACCATGTATGCTGAATCCCAACGTTTGCGATGCCTCACTTCTACAGTGGCGACAGCAACTCTGATATGCACGACCGGCATCCATCAAAGTGCACACCGCCTCGCTTCTTTGCAGGTTTGCAGCCCATCTCTTTCCGTCACATGGAAGGCCAAATAGCCTGCAGCCTGCCCCTGGAGATACCAACCGCGGCTGCTTCCATTACTTTAGTCAAGAGCCACCGTCCTAAAAAATCTTTGTAGGAATTCGCACAAGCGCGTGACGATGGCATACGCCAGTCGCTGCCTCCGTAATCCTCTCCCAAACAGCAGTGGCCGCTACCACCCGTCCACACACCCATTCATCAGTTCAAGCGTTCCCCCTTTCCTTCCCACCTTCCCCCTTCCTTGCCGCCATCGCTCCCAACTTCCCACGCAAGAACCCTGTACGACATAATGTAAAACACACCTCTTACCATCACTTTCCCAAACTTTCCCTACTGCCATACCCACAAAACAAATTCCTAAGATGTACCTACTGGTGCTGGGCCGCAAGTCTGTAGTCTTCTCGGCGCCAAACCTTCCATTATCCCGGATTACGCAATCTCCGAAGTCCCGTTCGTTAAGAAGCCCAGCCTTTAGCGATGGGCCAAGCGGATAACCCCACCCCATTTACCTCTTATCCTCTTCACCCCGGATCTATAGCCTCCCGTGACTCTTAACACTCCCGTACTACCCGTACAGCCCCGTACCGCCTCTATGCCGAAAACCTTCCAGCCATCCAAGCCTAGTCCGACTGTAAGTGTACATCCCTTTCGCCGGTCTCCTCCCGGCCAAACTCGCACCGCCTGACGCCCCTTTTAAATAACCTTGACAAAACACCAGCAACGCGGCAGGCACACAGTAGCAACACCAACAACAACCACAGCAGCAACAGCAATCATACTAAGAACGGCATAAATACCGACACCTCAACACTTTAACACGGTTAAGCCCTAAAATATCGCTGGATTTCCTCTTCGGAAAAGAACACATTCTACGTGCACGCAGCACCTGCAAAACCGCACCCCATTGCAGACGCGGCCGCCACTGCAGTCGCAGACGCCGCTTCCTCCATTTTCCATTGCCTCCCCCACCTGCCAAGAGGCCAGGCGTCTGCACCCGTGCGCGCTCCACCTGCTCCTCTACCTGCCGCCTCCGCCGCCACCCCCTCCCGCAGCCAGACCATGATAGCGCGCGTACGCAAACGCAGCCGCTCCGCCCACCAGCGACACAGTAGCCAACGCACTGAAGTACCCCGACCAAAAGGAAGATGAAGAGGACGAAGAGTGAGGAGAAGACACGAATGAGGAGGTGGCGGCGGGCGATGGTGACCCGTGGGTCGTTGCTGCTGCTGCACCTGCGGCTGCGGGGTGATGAGGTGGTGATGCGGGCTTGGGGGCGGGTGGCCGCTTTCCCACCAGCTTGTCTCGGAGGTCCTGGGAGGGTGAGAGGTAGGCGATGGGGAGATGGGCCGGGGGAGTTGTGGTTGGGACAAGGTGCATCCACGGTGGAAAGGGCAATGGCGGTAGGTGGGAGGTATGGGGGTGGATGTACCGGTAAACAGTCGTGGCGAGGACGACAAGGACAACAAGAGCATGATGAGCCGCAGCGGCGGAACAGCACGCCGACCAGCGAGCCAGCGGCAGCAGCGGCTGCAATCGCAGCAGCGCTCTCAGCTTCACAGCAGAAGCAGCAGAAGCAATATCAGTGGTTTCGCATCCTGAAATCCTGAAGCTGTGTGGAGGTCTTGATGCTTTTAATGGACAGGTAATGCAGAAATGCACCACAAGAAGCCTGGCCCCCACCCCCCACCTGCATGTTGTCATCCATACTCCGAAGTAGCTGCTCCAACGTTCTCAACGAAGAAGCCGTTTCCGAGGTGGACGACTGAATGCGACGCAAGCAGTCCACGATAACGTCCTCCAACCGCGGCGGTTGGTACGGCACAACCGACGCTTCTGGCTGCGACGACTGACCCATGGGTCGTCGGAGGAGCTCCTCCTCGTCTTCAAACGCATCGTAAAACTGCTCGGCGCCCTCTGGGGCGGCAGAGGCTGCTGACGTCGGCGGTCTGGGGAGTGAAGCAGTAGCAGCAGCAGCAGGTGCGGGTGCGGGCTGTTCCGGTTGGAGCTTTTGCTCGGCATTCCATCTGCGCATGTGGGAGACGTTGGGACGCAAGCATGCAACGCAGACCATCAGCGTTAGGAGGGTGAACCTGGTAGGAACTGTAGTCCCGGGACTACAAAGAACGTGCAAGGGAAGAAGAACAAAGCCGTACGACAACGCAGTGCAGTACGTTCGGCACCATACGTATCAGCGTCACAGGCGGGGCGCAAAGCACTACCAAAGTCCCTCCCCCTCTTGCCTTGTGTAGTACTCCCGGGCCCACTTGACGAATGTGTTGATCGAGTTGGTGGCCTCCACGCCCATCAGCCCCTCCACAGTTGCCTGAACAGGCCAGGGCAGCGCCGCGGAGCAGCGCACCACTGCTTTGAGCTGCGTGGGGGGAAAGAGGGGGAGAGGGAGGGGGCCCGGGATCGGATGGGGTGAAGATGAAGAGGAGGAACCCCCATGCGACATGCACGCCGCCTCACCACCGCATGTATTGTAAGGCTGCATCGTGGTTGCTGACACCATATCCCACCACCACCAACAACAACAAGAATAGCAACAAACAAACAAGGACAGCAGCACTTCAGACAAGCTTATCCGCCACTAGTTCGGTAGGCTTCACCGCCAACCGACAACCGCAACCAACCCTACCAGACACGAGCCGTCCGGGCGGTTGGACGCCGTCATTGACCCGGCCGTCGTGAATTTGTTGGCTCCCGGAAACTGTTGGCGGCGGGGCGGGGTTGGCAGTTGGCAGAGTTGGGAGGATAGGGTGCAGGGTAGGCACACGTGGTTAATGTTTGAACCTGCAGTGTGCAGACGTGCCAACAAAACACACACACAGTTACGCGGCGCAGTCCCTGTAACATATATGCAGCTATGACAGTGGCCGGTGGGGAGCTATTACCCGACGCATGGTTCTCTTCCTTTACCCCTCCCCCTCGACCCTCGACCCGCACCCTGTGTACGCCCCACCCTCAGCCCCCCAGCCCCCTCCCCCGCTCGTCAGTTTCCTCCCCCCCCCAACAATGGGTAAGGTCCTTATTTCCCCCCCTCCCCGCCCCCGCCAACCCACATCCAGCGCCGGCTCCGAGGTGACTGTGACGGCGCTGCGGCCAGGCGCCCACTCCAGCCGCTGGGACTCCACCACCGGCACCGCATCCTTGCCTGGGGGTGGGTGCGGGGATAAACGGAGGTAAGGAAGGAGAAAAGGAAAGCAAAAGGCGAGTAAAGAGCATGTGATGGTGGTGGTATGAAGCGGGGGATGAAACCCGCCCGTGACATGCCGTGACATACGAATCCTCTACGTCCCTCCATCGTCACCTCCCTGCCTTATTCTTATTGCCTTTTTGCACTTACCGGTAATATAAAAATTTCCCCCCTGCCTTTACCCCCTCTTGTTTCCGCGGCTCAGTTTATCTAATTCCCTCTTCACCCACCAATGAACTTCTTGAGCATGGCGGGCACGTTCATGGGCATCACAAAGCGCACGGTACGGCAGCCGTCCGGGCCCCAGGGGCTGGAGACAGCGTTTGGGTCCTTGTTGATGGCGGCATGGAAGGCGCGAAGCGCTTCATCGTCGCCGTAGATGGCGTCGTAGAAGCGCTGTTTGTTGGAGGGAAGGGAAGGGGACGAATTGCAACATGGATGCAACATGGATGCGTAAAAACTGGCCGTGTGTGGGGTGGGTGCGTGGGTAGGTGGGAGGGAAAGGGATGTGGAGGGATGGGAGCGGGCGAGGCATCAAAACATGTGGTGTCGTGGGAAGAGAGGAGTCGGTCTGTGAGGACGTGGAAAGCGAGAGGAGGCAACGGATGTCGGAGGTGGGTGCTCCGATGGTAGGTAAAGTCAGTCATGGAGATTTTAAATGGGCTGCTGATATACTGGTGCTCCGATTGAAAGAGCGCTGTGTTGTTGCTTCATGTGGCGTACCACTTACTTGCGCGGTGCAATCCTCGATGACTGTCTCGACCTCTATCTCCTTCATTATTGAGCCGACCCTTAATAGCTATGCTTTAACCGTATGCGTTTTAATACTTGAATGCCGCCAAGTAAAGGCTATAGTCAGGTCGAATACCGCGACTGATGGGCATGCACAGGGCGTGACTATGCTAAGAAGTCATCTACAGACCCTTTATTTTCAGCCTCTTTGCACGCATCGGTATCTTGCGTGCAGCCAAAGCACTTTAACTTCCAGTGGCGCCTTTTCGTTCGTCAACTGGTCGTACTTTCGTCGCCACGCCCCTTAAATGCTGAGCTCTGTTCACGGACCCAGTTGTTCTGCTTTATGAACATGCAAACACGACCTGCATGGTGACCCGCTATTCCAATGGTGGCCACGTACCACACGCCATGAAGCCATGGCACCTTCCAGACATGGTATCCCCTTCCAAGTCACAAGCGTAGTTTGTCAATTTTATTTATTTTCCCTTGGCTCTGGATCTTCGGGGTCCGCTGATCAGGTTTCCTGGAATTGTGGAGGCAAGGGGCAACCCTTGGCGACGCCCATCCAGGCAACCCCTGTACGTGGTTTATCCCACTGCCATGCATGTCAATGTTGCTGCTAAGCCAACCTTCCCAATAACCCAGACTACCTTGGCATCCTTATTCATAAAGCCGGGACGCAAAGGCCTGCTGCAAGCCTATGAGGGCAATGACGGAAACGTGGATCAACGAGGGATACGAATGGATCCGGAAGACAAAACGCATTACACGAGCACGCAAACGCCATGAGAGCGCCATTAAGTCCCAAACCTGTATTAGGGACATGGCATTCATGTCCGCCACGTGACACCATCCCTTCTTCCGTACGACATGTTGTATGACGGCGTCCTCCCAAAACCGGCAGAACTCCCATGCCGCACTCACACCGAGCCCCAACAGCGACAAAAGCAAACCGCCCTTCAAGTTGTTAAGCTTCATACTCCGCGCCTAATCCGAAACCCACATGCCCAACGCGACGATAAGGCGCGATGCCTCGCACGCGATTCGCATGGCTGTGCGGCAATGCCGTACAGCCCATGGCGAATGAATGGTGTACGGCAACCTAAGCTTTCGCCTGCGCCGGCTGCAGTTACATCGCCACAACCTCCGGTCTCAACACCCAGCGCATGGTGCCGCCCCACGCCTGCAAGCGCGATGCCACGACCCTCCTCCCCTACAGCTTCCCTGCAGTGCTCACCACAAACCCAGCAGAGCAACCACGCTAATGCAACCTAACGCGCAAACAAAAGAGCATGCGCTTTCCCTGCCCCCTTCTTTCCCTGCAAATCAGCAACCCGCCCCACACACGCTTCCTCCTTCCCATCTCAGCACGTCATCCCCCTGAAGGCTAATTTCCCCATATGCTTGGGGATCCACAGCGTGCCACATCTCCATTCGCCCCCATCGGCAGCCGGACTGTTGTGCCAATGTAGCGACACAACTGTGCCTACAAGCTGCTGTGCGCCGGCAGCCGCTGCTGCAACGCTCTTTCCTTACCCCAGCGGCTACCTGCCAGCAGCAGCTGTAGCAGCCCCCTCCTTCCTGCTGCTATCCCGCTAGTCCATCGCTCTGTGCACCAGCTGCAGCTGCAGCGGCTGGGAGCTGGAGACTGCACAGCCGAGTCGCCGGCAGCGGACTACCGCAGAGGGGCCGCCGTAGGAGGTGATAGGAGGCCGTTTACCGGTTCAGGGTCTCCCACGGGCTGTTGAAGTCAAAGTACCTGCGGGGGGTAGTGGGTGAAAAATTATACAAGAAGTGCAAACAACTAGAGTCCCAATCCCATATTCCGACTCATGCAGTGAGTGCATTCGAGACGCTAGGGGGTGGGTGAGGAAGGGGGGGCGGGGAAGGGGAGAGATGAGGTGGCGGGGAGTTGCGAACGGGGCAACGAGGGCTGGAATGGAAAGGGTAGAGGTCCCAGCGTAGCTCTGAAAGTTAACCATGGGTTTACGGACAGCCACTCGCTTTCCAACACAAAGCCAGGGTGGATATTGGTCTTACGAACACCCACCTTTGGCAAGCTATGCCGCTAGGAAAGGCTTAGACTGTGCGCTCTGCTTCTATCCGACTTTTGCAGTACCTCTCCCCCTTTCACCTACCCAGGTTAACCCACTACGCCATATAGATCATGTGATACCCCCGGTTAAATCCGCCTCCTTTCCCCTTACACGCTCCTCAGACGTCTGCTCGGCCCCTTCACACGGAAGCCGTCTACCCCATGCCTCGAATCCCCACCTGAACTCCTGCGTGAGCTCCAGCGGCTCCGAGACCACGCGCTTCTTGCCGTAGTCGTAGCGCACCTCCATGTAGCCGCTGAGGGGGAAGTCCTTGCGGAGCGGGTGGCCGGTGAAGCCGTAGTCGGAGAGGATGCGGCGGAGGTCGGGATGGCCCGAGAAAAACACACCGAACATATCCCAGGTCTCGCGCTCAAACCAGTTGGCTGTGTTGAAGAGCTTGCTGACGGTGGGAACGGCCGTCACCTCGTCCACGCACACCTTCACGCGGATGCGGTTGTTCCAGCGCGGGCTGAGCAGGTGGTAAACCACCTCGAAGCGAGCCTCGCGCTCAGGGAAATCCACCGCGGTAACGTCAAGAAGGCACTTGAACTGCGTGTTGACGTGATCGCGGAGGAAAGTCATAAGCGGAACAAGGCTCTCTGGTGTCGTGTAAATCGTGGGCTCCTGGTACAGGACGCTGCTCTGGGCGGGTCCCGTGACTGCCATCTTCACAAACTTGGGAACAGTCTTAATGATGTAGTCGGTCAGCTGAGTCTGGGCAAACGACTGCATGTGCGAGGTCGCGATGTACTCCTTGCCCGCCGGCTTGCGCGCATAAGCGTAGCCCATGCTGCGCGTCTGCTGCAGCTGAGTAGCAGCACCGTTGCTGGTGCTAGGAACGCTGCTCGCCTCTGCCAGAATGCCGGAGCTAATCTCCGCCTGAGCGCCCAGAGCCCGAGAAGCAAGCGAGCGCAGGCTCTCAGCAGTTCCCTGCTGCAGGCAGCCCTTCACGGGCGCCTGCAGCTTCATCAGAAGCGACTGAGCGTTCTTCATGGCAAACAATAGAACTGGCCGTCAAATACGGGGCTCCTAACCGAGCCCTGAAACAACTCCAGTACTGTAAGTATGCCTACACCATGTACACACTCCGATGGAGCTGCATTATCAAGAACATCGGCCCCAGCACCATGCACGGATGCCGTGCAACCATCGGAATTATTATCAGTACCCTCTGCTAGTGGAAGGTTAAAGACACTTTGTCAAACTGTATCTAAAGGAACTCCGTTGTTCTCCCTTTCGCTTTTACGCCAGCTCATCCCAAAGCATCACCTGTCTTACCACCTCAGCGTCCGCTTAACAACAAAAGAATGGCTGCCCAGGAGGTCCTTGCGTTGAACCAAAAGCTGCTGGCGGCCATCGGCGCTGGGGACTACGCAACTTACGAGGTGGGGGCCTCATCCCTTGCACGTACCGGGAACGTCCCTTGCTGCTACTCCGCTTTGTTGTCATAGCACATGGATTCCCTCCCTGTCTCCCTAGACCCCGTGCCCTAAGCTCCTCCTCCGTCCCAGCCCCTACCCACCCCGCCCTTTTCCTCCACCCCTCTCCCCCACGCCCACTCATGCGCTCACTGCATGAGTCGGGATTCGGGATTGGGACTGTGTTGTTGCACTTACTTACAATTTTCTCCCCCACGCCCCCTTTGCATCCCCATGCCCCACGCAGTCCATGTGCGACCCCAGCCTGACCTGCTTCGAGCCGGAGGCCAAGGGGCACCTGGTGGAGGGCATGGACTTCCACAAGTACTACTTCACAATGCCACCAGCAACACCGGCACCTGCGGCTGCTGATGCTGCTGCAGCGCCACCCAGCAAGAAACATGTGCTGAACACCATGTCGTCTCCACACGTGAGTGCGAGAAGCGAGGATGATGGGGTACATTTTTGTTAGCACTTTCGAAGACGGCTAAACTGTTGGGCTGCGTATTGCTTTGTTCGATAGCCACCGCGTATTTGCACAGTAGCGGGAGAACTATGGACTAGGACATACAGTTCACATGCATGTCTGTATGGGTATGTGCCGCGGGTCTTTGGTGGGGGTCAAGACAATGATGACTAGACAAACAAATCTTGGCGGGAAGGGGGGGAATCTGGTTGCCTGATCCTGCTTGCGTGGTTCTTGGAAGCCACCTACTGGGAACTGAGACGCCTTCCCTATTCCCAACGGTAACACATGACCGCGTTACTACCATGCAGGTCCGCCTCGTTGGCGACCGGTGCGCGGTGGTCTCATACATCCGTCTCACGCAAAAGATGGTGTCTGGCGCGCCTGTGACGGTTCAGGCAGAGGAGACGCGCGTGTGGGAGAAGCAGGCCGACGGCCGCTGGCTGCATGTGCACATGCATCGCTCTGTTGTGCCGTGGTAAGGATGAGGCAAAGGCTTGACAGACATATCTCCATTCTAGGCTGGCATGAAGGCGGATGGTGCAAGACGTTGGTGTGGCGTAGGCACCTGTCGGCTGACTGGATGGAAATGGAGGATTTGGCTGTAATGCCGTGCTTATTGGAGCCGGAAATTTGGGCTTTTGCTTTTGTGGTAGACGACTGCGGAGGATGTTGCGTTTAAGAACCATGTGTGTATTGCCTACCAAGGTTGCCAAACTACATATTTGCTTAACATTTCCCATGCAAATTCCATGAAGTCTACTTGTGCGATTAATGAATGCACAAGGGACCAACATGAAAGATGCCTAGGAAATACGATGCACACTTGTGGTAAGAGAGGGCTGATTTGACCTAGTTTCGTGCATCGTAACACACATGGGGGCTACGGATTGAAGCAGTTGAGAGCTAGGTTCGTTACAAACTGATTTGTCCAGCGAATTGAAGGTGTTGAAAAACACCGGTTAAGTATGCAGACATCGCCATGCTCGTTGACAGATCGTTACATGTGTCAGAAAATAATACCAGGCTTCTCAGCAGGGCACGAATGCCATTCAGCAGACCGTCGTGAGATAATGCTGGATATTTCTCATCATCCACATGTTGCCTGCAAGTCAAGAAGAAAGCATGCAACAAAGACAAGAGGCCTCAGACATCCAAGGAAGAATCAAGCCGCATCAGCTCTCAAGCCCGGCGAAGGCGAAAGCTCTAGACGGGCCCTGCGAATGGTTTCTGAGAGAAGCCCAAGTTGGAAAGATCATCATAGGCCAATACCGTCGTTATTGGGTTATATGTTAGTTGTGAAAGCAAGGATGAGACATGCCTCAGACCGCAACAGAGTTGCACCGTTTGCGCAGAGACAGCACAAGTCAGCTGCAAGAAGCAACAGACTTGCACTACATGTGGGTTCACCAGGTAGGTTCAGTCCTGCAGAGCAGGAACCTGGCTACATCACATCATGTAACAAAGTGGCGTGTTTCATCATCGGCAGGTCACCCCATAAGTAGGCTCAGGTAGTACGCAATCTCCTAGACAGAAGACAGTGGGGACAGGAATTCCCCTGCGCATACTCATCAATGCCCAGAGCTAAAAATAAACGTGCATGGCTCAGACATGGCGCAATCCTCTACACAGGGGAAAGTGGGATCAGGAAAATCCCGCGCTGTGGTCATCAGGGCCAATCATGGAAACTTGCAACAAAAGCATGGCTCAGATAAGGCGTACGTTCTTCAAAATGTGAAGATTTGAGGGGCAGGAAACCCCACACGCCAAATCATCAACGCCATAACCAAACAATGCGATGGGTAGTGAAGTGGCTCAGAAACGGCGCAGTCCCCAACTAGATAGGGAGGAGAGGGTCAGGAACACCCATGCGCACCCATCTTCATGGCCAAAAATTAACATACCAAAGTAAAAGGGCTCAGGAAACGCGCAATCCCAAAGAAAAGGGTTGTTGGGGACAGGAAATCCCCTGCGCATGTATCATCAATGCCCAGCAATAGTAAAGGATGGCTCGACACCGTCTCCAATTCCTCCCTGAAGGACAGGTAGGTCAGGAAAACCCACTAACGGTAGATGTCTTCATCGCCAGTACATGAAAGAAATGTGAATGCGTGTAAATTCACGGCTCAGTTACGGGCTGGTTCACCTAATAGATGTTCTTGGGGTCAGGAAACCCGCCAGCACAAAATCGTCACTGCCGTACAGCAAGTTGAATGTCCAGTGAAAACCAAATCCAGATGGCTCAGACAAATGCCAAACCACAAAAATGTGGCCAAGTGGAACAGGAAACTCCACGGCATTCCATCATCACAGCCAGGACCCATATGCATGGCATGCGTGTGCCAGTCAGTCGGCTCAGCACAAGTCCTTTCCCACAGGCGTGGGACAGTGGGGTCAGGAAACCCCCGGACTGGTGTCATCACAGCCGAAAGATGAATGCAAGGAATGGACACATGAAAACGATGGCAGTAGGAAGGCTCTGAACGGTCACTACATCACCGCCAAGATAGGCAGCATGTTGGGGGCAGGAATACCCCATGACCAGTGTCATCACAGCCAGTAAGAATAGCCATCGAACAGAAACATGGAATTGTGTATTGCAGATAGGATGGCTCTGAACGGTCTCAGCAAACAGCCAAAAGGCGGAATGTGGGGGCAGGAACACCCCATGACCAGTGTCATCACAGCCAGGCATGCTGCATGTCATGCAAGTATGAAAAGAAAGAAGGCTCTGAACGGTCCCAACGTTACCGCCAAAGGACGGAATGTTGGGGGCAGGAAACCCCATGACCAGTGTCATCACAGCCAAAATAAATACGAGCGCTCGGTGGAAGAAGAAGTCGTATTTTTGGTAGAGTATAATCATGAGGTGTCATAAACAGCCTCTAAGTTGTCGTCATAGCGCATCATGCAACATGCAAAGCAAGGACAAATGGCTAGATGTTCGGGCCAAGTACCCAATTCGTCCAAGACGGATCGAAAGCCACAATGAACCATCAGCGATACCAGCCCATTTCTCTGCTGCCAGTAAAATGTTAGGTGCAGGGAATGAGTGTCCACAGCACCTGACCGTCAAGCAGCGTATGCGATGCAAGTCATCAATACATGTAACGAATTAGATGTCTGGAAGCAATCGTCCCATTCCCCAAGCAAGTGAGGGAGTAGGATAGCGAGCCCCATCAACAGTTGCACAAGGTGATCAAACCAATGCAACCGGTCCTATTGCTTCTGGGAACGGGCCCCGCAGCACTGTATTAACTGCAGAACCAACTTTATAGAAGCCTTCCCGGACATTGCATATGTAGGTGGTATGCAATGCAAGTGCGTATGGGTTAAGCACGACCCGAACCGAATCCCGAATTGATCGCTCAGACAGCCAAGGGAAACAGTGAGTTCGTCAACAGGCCTTAGGCCCTCAGAAACTCTAGTCCGAATCTGTTGGTATCATCACAGCGTGGTTTTCAACGTCTAAACACTCCCGAAATCCATGACCCGAATGCCCAAACCTGACTTGAAGCGTAAGAGAAGGTCAGTCGACACAACGCAGCGTACTCCATAGCCTTGGATTGCAGTTTCTTGATAGCCTCGAAGAAGGGCGCACAGCAATCGAGGCCCAGTCTGCAAGGGGAAGACAAAGCGGAGGGTGCAAATCGTGAGCTAAAGGAATCAACAAATGTCCAGGGTCAGATAAAGAAACCGTTCTCTTCAAGTGCACGGAGCACGTCAGAAACACGGACCAAAGTTTCAAATCATCAAGCCCTGTGACACGACGGTGTGTTTGCAGCATGCCATGCGGAGCAAGAGAACATGCACGAGTGGGAACCATCCAAAGGGTCAGTTATTCTGGCTTGACGGACCCGAAGGCCCTAAGTATATGTCTGTTGGTGCTTCAGCGTCGATCAGTCGGGGAAAGTGTCCTCCTTCCCAAGGATAGTCCCACAGCGTGGATGCATGCGACAGGGATGGGTATGCGAAGGTATGCCAAGCAAGAAGGCAAGTGCCCCGAAAGAGGGCGGCGGCGGCCAAACCATAAGGCGGCGCATGTCCATTCAGTCAATGGTTGGAACAAGTGATATCGTCATTAGGCTCCGAGTGAGCTGAGTAAAAGGTGTCATCACTATGGCACAATGCTAGCCCGATGCGCCGCCATATGCGATATGGATGCCGCGTAAGCGAGAGTCAGAGACGCATTGCGTCCGTCAATCCTCATAGAAAATCCCTGGCTGTGGGACTAATAGGACTGGGGCGACAAAACAAATCATCATCCTCGGCCGCGGCACCGACCATGCGAAGTGCTTGGTATGTGATAAGGGCACATAACACTTACCGGCTATTATCTCGATAATATAGGCGCCGTCATATCTTGGACCACGACCAGAGAGGTGGGGCCGCGGGGTGCGGTGAACCTTCTCGATGGCGGCGTCCCAAGAACAGTGGAGGAAGGCAGCAGCCGGTAGGCGCGCAGGTGTAAGCACTCCTTAAGCAGGAGAGCGTTACAAAATTGTATACTTTCTGAAGCGCGGACATGGCCTTTTATTGGCCGCCCCATGGCCCGGAAGCTCAGATGAGCCCTATGGTCTCGGAGATGGATTCCAAACGAACCATTGCCTGTGTCCTTGCCGACAGTTTGTTCGCTTTGACGCGTTACACCACATGTGCAAACACGGGGAACTATGCAAACTGAGTTACGGTAGCAACGAAGGCCTTTTGAACAAATCTTGCTTTCTGCGTAACTCCAGGATAACTTAACGAACAATAAGCGAAATGTCTTGATCATAATATTAGGCGCACGGCAAAGCAGCTTTCTCATTCTTGACAAATAAGGAATGCAGTCTACAAGACAGCCCTTGGCGCTGAGCCTTGCTGGCTTCCAGTTTACTTATCGCAACAACTACTTTGACTGGCGCCTGCTGCATGGCATTGACGTCGATACCGTGGTGGGCAGGGAGCGGAGAGGGCAGGGGACGGGAAGGCGAACAGGGAGGGCCGATTAGCTCTCAGAAGCATAGGAAGTTACATCCGAATTGGGTCATCACTACAACCTGGTGCAGAGCCTTTATAACGCAGCAGCTAAACCAAAGTATCGGGGATTGTTACTCTTGACCATCATTACCCTGTCCACTATCCCAGGTTGGCAACCTACAGCATACTATACAACTTCTAATCTGCTCTTCTATCCGGGCTTACCAAAAAGGCCCATTTTGCAGCCTTTTCCTTCGTCCTGCACCCGCTTGCATCTACAACGCATCCTTCTGGAGCCGCCTTAGCCACCACACGCTGCCCAACAGCTTCCCGCTGAGCAACCACACCAGCGTACCTCACTCCTCTCCTTCACCCAACTCCCCCTCCCTACCTCACCCTGCTCCACCCCCTTCCACCGTGCACCACCTTCCCCACCCCTTCCTTCCTCCTTACCCCACCCTACACACCCTACTTCTCCCCAACCCCTCCCCCCCTTTCCCAGATCCGCCTCACCGACGTGGCGGCCGTGGAGGACTGCCTGCCCACCCTGCAGCGCGGCTGCTTCCCCGCCGAATCGCCCCGCCTATCGCCCGCCAACTGCGTGCAGCTCTTCCGGCTGCTGCAGCTGGCGGTGGAGTACTGCGACCACCTGCGGGCCGCGCATGCGGGGCTGCTGGGGGTGTACGAGGGGGCCAGGGAGGCGGCGGAGGGGTGAGAGCGGAAGGGGGGAAAGGAAACAAACAACTGACCGTGTGATAAGGCATCATCAGTTGCAGTCCAACCACCCTGCCATCCTACATCTCTCCCTGGCAACCACCAACGCCGCTGCGGCGGCCCAGGAGCTCATCCGCAACACGCACCTCATTATCACCTTCCTATGGGTCACACGCAGCCTTCCACCGCAAGGCTACATTGTATAGCTTAACCACCTTACCTTCTTACACCCTCCCTGGCATGGCAGGTGGAAGGCCGCTGCTCGCAGCTATCTGGATGCGGGGGCGGCCTTCCTGTCTGACAGCCACCAGCAGCTGCAGCAGCAGCAGCACATGCTGCTGATGGGGGGGTCTGCCGCATCAGCAGCAGGGGGAGGAGGAGGGGCGGGTGGTGGGCTGCTGAGTCGGGGTGCGTTGGAGGCGGCGGATGGTGCGAGGGCGGCGCTGGAGGGGGCGGATCGGGAATACAATGCGGCGCTGGATGCGCTGGAGGTGAGGTGAGGGTGGTGGGGTGGGGTTAAGAGGAAACAATTAACTAACTGTATAGGGTGGTGGAGGTGAGGGTGAGGTGGGGATGAGGTGAGGGTGGGGATGAGGAGGTGAGGGTGAGGTGGATAACCCGCACCGGCTGGGATTTAGGATATGAAGTGAAGGTGGTGGGCTTAAGGAGGAAACCCTGTTAACCCCACCCATCCATGCACCCACCCATCCGCCCTACCTCACCCGCCCCCCAGCATTTATTTATAATTTCCCCCCACCCCACAGGGTGAGGACTCCCGGGCGCGCCACTTCCGCTTCCGTCGCCAACGTTCCGAACTGAGCTGGTCTTCACTGCACGCCGCCGACCCAGATCGCCTAGTGGCGGAGTGGCCCATGGGTCAGTCGCTCCTGGAGGGGCTGCTGCCCAACCTGATGTACGGCAGCATTACTAATGAGGACGAGCAGCAGCTGACGCCGCACCACTTTAGTCAGCTGGTGCCGCTGGCGCAGGTGGGATGGGTTGACTGGTTGGTTGGTTGGAAGGAGGTGGTGGGGGAAAGAAGAAGATGATGAAGAGGTTGGGGCAAAGGAGAACCAAACCACAGGTGACGGCAAGAGGTTGGGGTGCCGAGCAGGAACCGCCCTACCAATCCAGTCCACTCCTCCTTCCTCCTTCCTTCCATTCACCAGGAGCTCTTCGGCTTGCTTGCCATCCTCGTTCAACGCATTGGGTGTCCTTCCTTTCCTCCCCCTTTCCTCCCTTCCTCCCCCCCTCCGCCCTCCCTCCCCCAGGCTGCCCTGGACTACGTGTTGTGGCAGGCCAACGCAACCGGCGCCTTACTGGTGGGGGAGAGCGCATCGGGAAGGGAGGGGAGGGAGGAGCAGCTGGTGGATGGAGGGCTTTGGGGTTTGGCACGCATGTGCCCTCGTTGTGCTCGTACACCCTCCTTCACCTCTCCACATGCGCCCCGGCATGCGGCGCAAACCCCTTGACCCCCCAACCTGCCCCGTCATACAGTTCCCTCTTTTTTGCCCCCTCCCCCACCGCCACCCCGGATTGTCAGCAACTTATATCATTATCACACCACACTTTGGAATTTCTTTTTTTACCGCCACCCCCCACCACCCCCCAGGAGCAATCCATGGCGGCTCTGCAGTCCGCATGTGGCGACATACCCCTCCTCACAACCGCCACACAGGCGAGTGCGGGCTGGCCTAGATGGGCGTGTACTCACCCCCCGGGGCGGGGTACTGTGCAGGGGTTGCTGAGCAGGGGTTACTGTGCACGGGGGGTGGCATCGGGTGAGTACCCGCATGGGTCGCTTCGCCGCTCCCCACCTGATACCTGACACACCGCTGCACACTCCTTTTGTCTTTTAGTTCCACTCACAGCAACAACTCACACCGTTGATACTGTTGGTTGGTAAAACCTCACGGCCCCCAACAACGACAACTACAACAACAGGAGATGCACGCCAACATCACCTCCCTGCTTCTAGAGGCCCAGGCGGCTGCGGGGTGTGGAGCCACAGGAGGAGGAGGAGGGGCGCTGGTGGGCGGATCGCTGGGTGTCCCTGCCCTGGGCCCCAGCGGAGCAGCAGGACCGGCAGCAGGGGCAGGGGCAGGGGGAGGGGGGCCGCTGCTGCCATTTGGGTCGACCATGGGTGGGGGACCGGGCAGCGTGGGAGGCGGAGGAGCAGGAGGAGGAGGAGGAGGCGGTACTCCCCCGCGCGGGGGGGTTGGGGGGAGTTTGGGAGGCGGAGGCGTGGCGAGCAGTCTCAGCCTGGGGCCGCCGGGCGTGCTGGGGTCATCCCTGGAGCTGGTGGGTTGATGGGGGGTTCAAAATAGACCAAACCATAGGAAACCACGAATTAGGGCAGGATGTTGGGGGAATGAGGCGGCAGGGTTTAACAAAGTCGTGCTCTTACCGGTGTGCTGCGCTTCCTAGTACGATTGCCCCGCTGCATCAATCTGACCCCTCTCCCCCTCCCTTTCTGCTCCCTGCAGTTGGGGGGCGGCCGGTCGCTGCTGCGGGGAATGTCGCCCCCGCACGGCCGACCGGGGAGCAGCGGAGGACCGGGACTGGTGGGGTCTAGCGTGCAGGTGAGGGGGGGGGGGAGGGCAGGGCAGGGCGTGGCTGTAGGACTGGGCTTGCGCTAGGAAAACTGGGCTTGCGCTAGGAAAACTGGGCTTGCGCTAGGAAAACTGGGCTTGCGCTAGGAAAACTGGGCTTGCGCTAGGAAAACTGGGCTTGCGCTAGGAAAACTGGGAATGTGCGCCGCGCCGCGTACTGGGCTTGCTGGGAGACGGCAGGGTGATGAGCGGGGTGGTGAGCTTGAAGGCAGGCAACATACGTGTGCGGATCCGCTACCCGTTGGGTGTCCAGCAGGCATCCAACTGACCCATGGGTCAGACACACACGACCAGTTTTCACAAAAACACCTTACTGCAGTTCCCTTCCCCCCTCCACCTGCCCCGCTGCTGTTGCCACAGTCCCTCCGAACCAACATGGGAAGTCCCTCTTTGGGGCCCTCACGATTCGCCACTGCTGCTGGCGCCGGCGGCAGCGTCGGGGGGCCTAACGGAGGAGGGAGGTTCCTGTACGGCAGCCTCGGCGGAGGCGGGGGCTTGGCCAGCTCCGGCGCATTCGGCAGGTAGGGGTGGGGGGGTGGAGAAGTATCCACAGGAGGGAATACACACACAGCCCACCTACTACGTCAGCCTACTCCTCTGCCCCCGTGGCGTATTGGCGGGCGCATCCTCTTCCGGCAGTCCAGTACGTTCCGACTCGCGGCCAGTTTTTTTAACACCCACAGCCCGCCTGACACACGCACTGGGCCAGTTGCATGACTGCATCACTGGTGCTTCCATCCTCACTCAGCACATTGGGTATCCTTCATTTCCCCCACCCCCACGCGCCTGGACAGTTTTGAGGAGCTCCTAGCTGCTGCGGCGGCCGCTGCCGGCGAGGGGGGTGCTCCAGCAGGTGGTGGAGGTGGTGGTGGAGGTGGGAGTGGCCAGCTGCTGCCTCCGGTGTTGGAGTTCCACAGTCGCACTGCGGAACTGTCGATGAAGGTGGACGCCATCGAGCAGGACCTCAGGTGGGGTGCTGGGGGGGTAAAGAGGAAACATCTAACTGACCGTGGGATAAGGCATCATCATGGGGTGCTGGAGGGGGAGGGGTGCTGGGGGGGGAAGGAGGGAGTGAGAGCCAGGTGGGAGCGAGGGGCGAGGGGAGTAACCACCAACCGTTCGCCGCTCTCCCCTTCTTCCTTTCAGGCTGGAGCGCAGCAAGACCGAGGAAATGCGGCGCATTCTAGCGGACATTCGCGAACGACTCAACCACCAACGGTCACCAACCGTTATCGGCGCCGGCGGCACCCCCTCCCCCGGCCTTTCCCCCGCCGACTCCCTTACCTTCCCCGCCGCCGTCTCCGCAGCTGCTGCTGCTGCTTCCGGCTCTGGTCCTATTAACTACTCTCTTGCCAGCGGTCTAGCTGCTGCTGCTGCTGGCGGCGGCGGCGGCAGTTTCCGTGTGTCTAGTTCGGGTGGTGGTGGTGGCGGTGGTGGCGGTGGCGGTGGTGGGAGGTACGGCAGCAGTGCTGCGGGCGTTCGTTTGGGTGGCCAACAGCAGCCCCAGCAGCCCCATCAGTATCCGCTTTCCTCCTCTTCCCTGGAGTATCCGCACTCTCCGGCCAAGGTCCGAGTGTGAGTAGTGGGGCGCGCGTTGGTACCGTAATGGGGTAGTATGGTGGCGGGTTGGGGAGGGGGTGATGTTGACAGCGGGGTCTTGCGCTTGAGTCCTGCGCTGGTGCTGATCCGGCGTTTAAGTAACCCGTGAACGCGCTCCATCCTTCTCTCCACCCTTAATCCCTTTTATCCCCATCATCGCCCGCAGCTACGTTGATGAGGACGCCATTCGGGAGCAGGAGCGGCAGCGTGCCGTGGAGGTGCTGGCACGGCAGGCGGAGCGACTCAAGCAGCAGGTGGGGGACCGAGGGGGGGGGGCTGGGGGCGAGGGAGGGGGGTTGTGGAGGCAAAGTGACAAACCAAATCATAATTGGGGCGAGGGAAGGGGCGGCAGCAGGAGAAGGGAAACAAGCCATGACGAGCAGAAGGAGACGGGGGAATAGGGCGGGGAAAGTTAGGGTTTCCCCCATACACACACGCTTTCCCCCTCCTCCCCCCAAACCCACCCCATGCCAGATGCTGCGGGAGCATGCGGAGCGCCGGCTCGCCACCTCCGCCGCCACCGCAGCAGCCTCCATGCAGCTGCAAACCCTAGGTGCAGGAGCAGGAGGTGGTGGTGGTGGAAGCGGCGGAGGCGCAGGCGGAGGTGGTGGTGGTGGGCATGTACGCCGCAGTCGGGATCCGTCCCGATCTTCGAATAACAGAGGAGCAACAGTTGGCGGCGGTGGTGGTGGAGGCGGTGGTGGTTCCCGTCGGACGACCCGGCATCGGGCAACAGCTTCCGCCAATTACAGCTCGGACCCGGATTACGCGCTGCTAGCAGCCAGTGCTGCCGGTGTAGGGCCGGGTTTGGGAATGGGCTATGGAAGCTTCGGGAACGGAGTCGGTGACCCACGGGTCAGCCGGCCGCCTAAACCTGGTGGAGGAGGCGGTGGCGGAGGTGGAGGCGGGCCGGTGTCACGGGTAGCGATGTCTTCCGGGGTCTCCATGTCATCGGGCGTGACGTCATCATCCGTACCGGCAGCGGCAGCGGTGGGGGGATCACCTGGGCAGGCTGCTGCAGCAGGAGGAGGCGGAGGAGTGGGAGGGAGGCAGCTGGGCGGCAGCAGGTTCAACCCGCTAACGGAGAGCGCGGAAGGTAATGAGGGCGGGCGGGGGGAATTTGGAGAGCCTGGGGACGCAGGACGGGGGGTGGTAGCGTAGGAGCATGGGGGACTACACAGGCTAGTCGGGGGTGGGGGGTTAGCGTAGGGGCAACAGGGTGCAGCAGGTGTGCAGGGCTGCTGTGAGCGGGTGTGCTACCGCAGACGGGTGCTCATGCCGGTGTGTGCTCACAGGTGCTTCATGCCAGCATCGTCTTACCAGCTCTCCCCTCCCCGTCCCCTGCAACCACCCACCCACTCCCCCAGATGCCATGGCGCTGCCGCCTCCCTCCATGTTCGCATCAACCGACTCCATGCATGCAACAGCTGCTGCGGCGGGAACGGGTTCAGCAGCACCCTCCCGGCCCCATTCCGCTTCGGCAGCCACAGGAGCACCAACCTCCTCCTCCCCCTCAGCACCAGCAGCACCTGCCGATGCAGGCCCTGCCCCACGCGCCATCCCCGGGGCAGCTTTCGGCTCCATATCTTTCATTGGGTCATCATCGGCGGCCTCCGCCTCTGCCGGCACTGCTGCTGGTGGTGCTGCTGGTCTTCCTGCGGGCGAGGCGGTGTTCAAGGCATCGAGCTTCTCCGATCGGTCAACTCGGGTGCCGCATGTATCGTACGTTTCCGGGTCGTCCGAGTTGCAACAACGAGCGGCGCGAGGAGGAGGAGGAGGGTACGGGTATGGTAGAGGAGGAGGAGGAGGGGGAGGAAGAGGAGAGGGCGGGTGGGATGCGGCGGGGGCTGTGGCTGCTAGCTTGCATGCAGTGCGGTAGTGGGGGTAGGCGGTGCGGCACGCGTGCAGGGCTGCGACCCGGCGGATGCAGAGGGGCATGCAGAGGTGTGGGCGTTACGCGCCCGTGACGCAATCATGCGCCTAAGGCTCTCTAGAAGCCTTCGTGAGTAGTTATTTCAGTGGTTCCCGGGAAGAGGTGGTGGGATGAGCACATGTGGGGTGAGCACTGGTTCGTGTAGTATATGTTTATGGTTGTTTCTCGAGTGATTAACTGGGACGCAAGGCAGTCACCTTGCCAATATGCCATGATGACGCTAGAGTGTGGTAGTGATCTCGATTTTGACAGCCTGTGTGAAATGCGGGAGCATGCCTCTGCTTGATGGCAACCCCCCACCCCCACCTGTACGGTATTTCTTCGCCTTGCACCGGAGCAAGGCTTGTGCTGCTTCAAGCGGCAGTAGTAGTGTGATATTTTGGTTTTCAGGTCACTCAGGTCGAATATTATTATAACATTTCATTGTGTCGAATGAGGGTTTTGGGAGCGTACGTACGACAAAACTTCATGGTGTCTTGAACCTTCAGTAAGGAATACTACGATGTGCGACAGCCAACCGCTGTACTATGGCCGTTTATATGGGATGTGTATGCCCCGGGAAACGGCGCTTGTGAATGCTTGTGAATCGGGACACGTAACGTGTAGATAGCATATAGTATATAGCAACACGTGCTGCAGTTGGGGCACATTTGGCCATCAGGCTTCCGTTCTCCGTATATACTGCACTGTACAATGGACGAATGGAGTGGACATGTAAACTCCCACCAACCCCCAATTCCTTACATGATGACCCATGGGTCGTCCACGTTGTCATTTGGGCGCTGCCGAACCACAACTTCCTCCTCAGCTGGCGTAAGGCTGCTGCTGCTGATGTATGTATACGGCAACCTCGCAGCAATGGGCAATCATCAACACGCCGGGATGTCTCAACGAAATGTGCTTCTGTCTACGACACCCCCGTCAACAACATCACCCCGACATTCAAACCAGCTGACCTTCTACAACACTTTTTAACAATCCATTGCCGTACACCTCTTCCTCTTCCTGCCGTACACCCCCCCTCCCCCTTCACAGCGCCGCCAGCTGCTGCCGTGTCTTGGCGGTGAGCATGCGCAGAGTGCTGTACAGCGGCCCGAACTCATCCGGCGGCTGAACCCTGGGGGGGTAGGGAGGGGGGAAGGATGGGGGTGGGAACAACTACCGATAACTAACCGTGTGATAAGGCGTCATCATGGTTTGCAACATGCACAGGTGGAAATGGGATGTGGGATGAATAGAAGAACGGTGGCGCCGTTTTGCAAGGCATGGTACGGCGAGGCATGGTACAACGCACCAATGCTTACCACCCCACCCCTCACACACTTCAGGAGGCATTGCCGTACACACCCCAGTCATACACACACGAATATACACACGCACACCTGCCGTACAGTATGTCATCGGGCGTGACTCCCTCGCCGTACACCGCTCGGTTGTGTCGGTTGTCGGGGTGCAGCGCGCCGCCTGCGTTGGGGGGCGGGGGTGGGGGTGGGGGTGGGGGTGTGTATTGGACTCGTATGTGCGGGCACACGCGATGGCGTTGGTTGAAAGGGGTGAACGACCGAATCCCCCCCTCCCCCGCATTCATCTGCCCGCCCAACACGCCCACACCACCCCCACCCCTACCCAGCAAACTGAAGTCCAGCAGCGCTCCATCGTGCACGGTATAGCTGGAGATGGTGGTGGACGTGACCGTGGCGCCGCCTCCTCCGCCCCCTTTCCCTCCTCCTCCTCCTCCTCCTCCCCCTCCTGCTGCTGCTACCATTCCCCCACCTCCACCCCCACCTCCCCCTGCCATGGAGCTCTCTACCGGGTCCAGTCGGTGGTGGTGGTGGAAGGCCGGCACCCCCTGCTGCTGCTGCTGCTCCCGCCTCTCCCGCTGCTGCTGCTCGCGCTGGTGTTGCTGCTGCAGCAGCTGCGGCTCCTCAACCTCCAGTTCCGTGTTGCCGTACGGGCTGTTGTTGTTGTTGTTGTTGTGGGTGGGGTGGGTGGGGTGGTGGCTTACCGGCAGCAGCGGCAGCTCCAGTCCGCCCAGACTCAGGCCGCCCACCAGACCCACCTGGCCGCTCACCTGGGGGGAGGAGAGATGGGGATGGGGGGGGGCATACAAGACCACGTTGTCAGGTCAGGAACTAACCTGTATCCTAACTGCTCGTGAAAGGCTCCCGGCGAATGGATGCAGGTGCCGGCCATGGGAACTAGGCGACGGCAGCGGCAGGGACACATGCGCACATGAATACACGCACATGCATATGTCGGCATGCACACTTCATTTTTCGGCAATCACAGTACGTTTCTCTTCGCGGCCAGCTAACTTAACACACCCACACGCACAAACGTGTGCCATTAACGTGTGAGGCTGTTGGAAGGAGAGAGCAGGCGGGTGGCAGGTTGCACGTGATTCAGTGTCAACGTACACGTACGATTTGACAATGCGTTGCGCATTCTTTTTAAGGACCCACCAGCCCGCCGGTTCCTCCCCCCACGCCGCCCAGCCCCAGATTCGGTCCGCCCGCATCGCCACCGGCCGGGTCGCCGCTGCTGTCCTCCGCCTCGGCGCGCTGCGGGTTTGGGGGAGGGAGGGAGAGACACACCAAGGAAGCCGTCACAAAAAGAAGGAAACCGCGACTTTGGACAGACGGCCCCTACCTTTGTACCCTAAAAATGTTCAACTGCTACCCCATTGCAAACCGGCACCGACTCCCGGCCACCAGACCTCATCCCAACCTTATCCCGTGCCCTTAATCCTCCCCCCCTGTCGATCCCTGCCGCCTAATACGGCAGTTTTGCCCTTTTGTGGTTTCATATGGTTTGGTCTACTTTTACCCCCCCCCCACCTGCCCCATCATGACGTGCACATCCGTACCCAGCACCGCCCTGCCCGCCTTCACTCGGGACACCGTCGCCTCGTCCCACAGCAGCAGCACGCTGTGAGTGTGCTCCAGACCTGAGGGTGGGGTGGGTGGGTGGGTGGGTGGGGAGTTGGGGAGCTGGCTGTTGATTGGGTTAGGTGGTTCGAACCACTTGGAGTCGAACCTGGGGGGTTATGAGTGCCGGGGCAGGAGTCAGGAGGTATACCCCCAGCCGTTCATGGCTGCATGCGGCCCTCCATGCAGCTCACGCAGGCCCCACCCACTCTCACCCACTGTCAGCCCCACTGACAGGCTGTCAATGCTATAGAAGCAGGGGGCAGACCAGCGAATTATCGGAACACTTGCACCGCTGCCACCGCTGCCTCCATTTCCCCCGGCAGCAGCAGCACCAGGAGACGCGGGCGAGGGGGCAGCGGCGGCGGCAGAGGTGCCGTAGCCGCCGCCCCAGCTGCCGCCGCTAGCTCCGATGGGGGGCTGCGGGGCTGCGGGCATGGCGCTGCTGGGAGCGCCGCCGCCGGTGTGGCCGCTGCCGCTGCGGCGGCGCTGTAACGACAGGAATTAAAAGGGAAGAGAGGTACGAGCAGGAAGTGCCGGTAAGTTGTTTGTGAGGAGGAGGAGATGTGCGAGGGAAGGAGGGGGGTTAGGTCGTTCGGTTGCCCTGGTTCACGTGCCCCGACCCATGGGTCATGCATCTACACATCCGTGCACTCCCGCACTCCCAGTCTGTCGCGGTTCATAAATCCCAGCTCCCCACAAGCCCCCCCACGTCGCATCCCTTACCCCTCCGTCTTCCTCATAGTAATACTCGGTTTGCAGTCTGTTAATCAGGAAACCGCTGCCATGGCTGTACGACAAACCCAGACCTCCCTTTGTCGTACGCATGAACATGATGGCCTGGGGGCGCATGCGCACACGGGGGGGAAAAGAGCGTGTGTATGGGGGGAAGGGAAACAGGCGTGTGCATGCGTGTGTGTTTGTGCGAGTGTGTGTTTTAAGACCATGCACGACACAGGGTACGACACGTCGCACCCGAAACCCGACCACCAAAACACACGCGCGCGCACCTGGCACGCCTGCAGTGCCGTGACGGGCAGCAGACCCGCGGGTTGACCTAGCCGGTCCTGATGAGGGAGGGAGGGAACGGCGGGAGGGGGGAGTTGGGAGGAGAGCGAGGGAGGGATGCCTAACCAGGCAGAAGATGGGAACTTTTTTCAAGGCACGCACCACAACCCCCCTTCGCCTCGTTGTTAACCCCCTCGTTAATACCGGTAGTTGCTTGCGTGTTTCCCCCTCATTCAGCCGCACCTGCGGCAGGCTCTGCGGTCCCAGTCGCACCAGCTGCCCCAGAGTGGTCACCGCCTCGCCCGCTTGGTGTCGCAGGAACTCGGATAGACTGCCCTGCATGAGGGGGAGAGGAGGGGAAAAGAGGGAGGAAAAGGAGGGAAAAGATAAATACCCGATGTGTTGATCGAGTGAGAATGGCAAGCCAGGCGACAAGGGAAAGGGATGGAAGAGAGAGGAGGGTGGGGGCCGGTGGGCCGGTTACTGTAAAAGGTGCGAAAGGGGCGACGTCGCGACGATGCGTTTGCTCCCTAAAGGAACCCGCGCACATCGCACATTGCCCTTTTTCTTTGCCTGTCTTTGTACGCGATATGATATACAGGACTGCTGTTAACTAAGCTCCTCAAGTCCTTAAGAAGGAATGAGCGATATGATACAAGACTGCTGTTAACTAAGTATCTCACGTCCCTAACAAGGAATGATGCAGCCAAAGGAAGCCCGATCACCATTGCGCGGAAGGCGGCTGGTGGTGACCCGTGGGTCGTCTTCATATAGCTCGACGGAAAGGCTGGGAGATTCGCATACACCCGCGCTACCGACGGACCCAACACTTTCTCATAATATTCAGAATATTCAGAATATTCAGAATGTTCAGAATATTCAGGATGTGCCTTGCTGCTGCTGCTGCGTCGCCCTTCTCCTACCTTCTCATGTGAGTCTCTCAGGGCCTCGCCCGGTGCAGGCTCGGAAGCCGCATCCCCTGAGGGACCTTGCGGACTGACGGAGGTGAAGGAAGACATGGCTGCTTGTTACGGATTCCCGCTTGTTATGAAGTCGCGCAGCGCTGTTTCTTTGTTTACTAGTATGCAGACGTCGTGGATTCGATTTTCTGTTCGATGCTGCTCATTAACAACAAGAGACGACGGTAAATATGCAGGAAGATAGATATTAGGAAGCCTTGCCCAAGCAAGCGGAGCGTGGGCTTTGGATTTCCGAGAGCGGCAGTCGTTGTGGTTTCGGACCCATGTTGGGCTGAATCAGCTGAAACCCGGCAACAACCGGTGTTCGCCAATTAAGACCTGTGTCGCCAGGAATTGCGTTGCTACCTGTCTGTACAGCTACCTAGATCACTCATCATTTGCTTTCCTGTACTGCTGACTGCTGACAGTGAGGCTAGCGATAGGCTTCCCTCCTTGCTTTAGTCGTGAGCCGAGCGCTGGAGCTCTGCCCAGTCTTTTGCTAATCGTTATAATACAAAAAGCCTGCTCTCAATCCTCAAAATCCTCAAATGCTGTTGCGCTTTGCACCCAAGTTACGCTCCTCCGTCACGTCCGCCAACAAAGCAGCAGCCGCATCAGCGGCGGTCTCCATTACCGCGCAAACGCCAACAGCGGTGTTGTTGCTTACGTTCCCAAAGAACCTATATTACCGAGCCGCCCTTCCCTTATCACCATCTCCTGCTGCTGCTATCCCGGTCCGCTCGATAGCCTGCTGCTCCTCCCACCGACTGCCTGGGGACCCTGACGACCCCGCGCAGCTGCTCCACCGCGCAGGCAAGACAGCAAGCAAGCAGACGAACACACCACAGCTAGTTTCGGCAATGCCTTACAGCCCACTGTAATTTTCTCACTCATCAGTGCGTGTAGGCCTGCATGAATTTCGCTGCAAAAGCAAAGAGGGTCTTGTCTTGTGTGTGCATATGCCGGCCCTTTGCCGTGTTCCATTACCATTCCATTGCCGTACCGGTATTCATTCCTTCCCCGCCCCATTACTACTCCATTCCACCGCAGGAGCCCCCTCCTCCTCCCCAATCGGCGGCAGCGGACCCGCGGGCTGTCCGCAGCTGCACCCCCACCCGCACCACCCTGCAGGAGCCACCCTGCCGCCCACACCCATGGTGGGATCAACAGCTGCTGGGAACAGCGGCGGTGACCCGGGTGACCCACGGGTCGGTGACGGCGGAGGCGGAGGCGGAGGTGTGTCGGATCCAGCATCGGATCCCGGAGGGGACTTGGTGGATGCCCCGCTGGACTCGCCCTTGGTGAGTGTGAGATCTTGGATGTGTATGTACGGATTTGTTTGGATCTTTTGGGATTTGATTGAATTTTGCAACATGCGCGATGCAAACACACAGGACACCGCCCGTCTCTTATTACATTTTCCCGTCGCTTTACCCGCTCTATACACACACGACTGTCGCTCTTCTTACCCACAAGATCCCCCCTCGTTCCCCCATCCACACACACGACTCCCCCTCGTCCCCCCCCTTACCCTGTTGCAGTTGGAGCAGCAGTCCGGCGGCGGGGCGGGTGTGGGCTCCGCAGTTGGGTCGGGCGCGGGGGGGCTGCTTGCTGCTGGGCTGGGGACAGCGCTGGGTGGGTGGGCTAGGGGGTGGGGGGGGGCACACTGCTTGGTGTGAGTGTGAGGTGTGAGAACCTCAAAGACTGCCAAACCATGTACTGCTGGCAATCCGGGCTTGGGGCAGTTTGCGTGGGTGGGCTGGGTGGGGAGTAAAGCGGACAAAACTCGCCAACAACGTATGTGTCAAGGGGCTGCAGCATGGGCCATGTCATAGGGGCGAGCAGGGTAGTGACGAGAGATTGCTGAAGCAGCAGCAGCTATACCTCAGTAACAACTGAGGCAAAAGGCATGCCTGCAGAAGTCAAGAAACGCGATGCGTTTGACTTTGGAGCCCGCCAAACCCGCAAGTCTGTGTGCATGGGTTTTATCCATTACGCGTGATTATAGCTTTGTGTGGCATTTAGAAGGCGAGTGCTTCTCTCAACCAAGAGATCGGCGCCGCCGGGATTTGAACCTGGTTATACACAGGTTTCGATGCCATTTGTTTGCTTTTCTAGCGCGTAACTGCAGATGTCCGAAGCCCGAGTGCAGCAGCAGATTACAGATGCTGCTGGCTCATCCTTACAACCAACCCTTGCCCTCGTCCCCCCTATCTTCACCACCTCCCTCCCTGCCTCAACCACATTTCCTTCTTCTTTCCTCCCTTTTCTCTGTCCCCTCCATCTGAGTTTGTCCAACACAAACTCATCACCCCATGGTAGGTCACGCCTTACCAGTTATCACACGGTTCGTTAGTCTTTTCCTCTTTACCCCAACCGCACCGTCATGTTTACCCCCCCCCCACCGTCCCCCCCCCCCTCACCCCCTCAAGCAGGCGGCCCAGCTGCGGCCCTGGCTGCAGGCGCCGCGGGTGCACTGGCGGGCGGGGTGGCGGGGGGCGCCGTGGAGGCAGGAGGAGGAGGAGGAGGAGGAGGAGGAGCGAGGGTGCAGGAGGTGCGGCAGGGGGGAGTGATTGAGGTAACGCAGCAGGGGCAGGGGCAGGAGCAGGAGAGGGGACGGGAGTAGTGGGAGTGGGGCTGTGGGGTTGGAGGAGGGAGGAGGGAGCGAGGGGATAGGAGGCGGTGATGATGGCAGCGCAGCAGCGGCGGTTGGGTTGCTAGGTTGCAGGCGGCTACCGGTATCAAGGCACACAAAATGGGAGTAATCGGCTGCTGGTTAGCTGCGCATTTCGCACGACTTGTAACAGTCACACCCAATCCAATCGCCTATCAAATAGGGTCAAAGTACTTTGGCATGCGAGCCTGCCAACACCACACGTGTGCCCACGCGCTGCTTAGTAGCGTTGTGAAGTACTGCTAGAGGAGCAAGGAGCCCATGTGTGCATGTCTTCAGGGACGACAGCAATGCGGTCAAAAGACACATGCATGCAAACACGCAGCGTGCAATCCCTCAATATGTCACCAAAGTTAGTCGGCCAGCATGATGTTGCCGTACACACAAACACGCAAACCCTGGTTCGAACGTGAGACCTGGGGAGGCGAAAAAAATTTGGAACCATTTCTCGATTTGTGCGTGTCATCCTTGCGCAGGGGCCATGCTAATCTTCTCTGTATTTTTCCAATTTTAACAGTTGTGCCGAAGCACGTCAGACAAGCCCTTCTTTGATTCTATATACAAATATACAAATAAGGGGTCGTCAACTTCCATGCATAGGGTACAGCATGGCAGCAACAGCAACGGTCTTTTGGACTATTCCCTTGTTCATACCATGTCTCTGCGCCGTGCACACGCAGTTCGGCCGAATGCAATAATAACCCGCCCCTGGTTCCCTCCTTGCTTTCAGTATAACTGCAACTGCTCAATACACATGGACCGCATGCGCCCCTTACGCTGCTGGAAGGGGAATGCTCCCTTGCCTGCGGCTTAACTGGGTAGCTGGCATGGCGAGCGGGGCCGCAAACACGAACGAGTCGTGAGCTTCCCCTGCTTGCATGCGAACAATGCATCCACCGTTCATGCGCCCCCGTACCTTACAATCTGTAGTTGCCATCCAGCGTTCAGCATTCAATACCCCTGCACCTCCTTTCCTGTGCTTCTCCCAATGCCACCTCGCCTCCAACCACCACCTCTCAACGCTTCATCTGATTGCTTGCATGCCCCTTTAAAGGACCCCTCCCAACTAGAGTAGAACACACGACAACGGTCATTCATTTATTTCGCACGTGGTCATCAAAGGTCATATGATGCTTCATCACGCCAAGGGCTTCACGGCCGCCTGAACACCAGCATGAAGTTATTTGCCGGCATGTCGTGAACGGCCACGTGCTCCTGAGGGGGTGAGAGGTGGAGTTGAGGGTGGGGTGGAGTTGGGAGGAGGAAGTACGGCAGGGAGGTCGTGGGTGTACGGCAAGGAAATGGGTAGAGCAAGGAGGCGGGGGTATACCTCATAGCAACACCAGGCTATATGGAAAGGAAATGGCACGGCCACCCACCCAGCCCGTTAGTTGTCTCCTCTTTACCCACCCAGCCCCCCCACCCAGCCCCACCCACCAGCCCCGCCTGTGTCGCCCACGCCACCACCTGCCCCACATCCCGGTAGCCCCACGCGGGGTTGCGGGAGCGCAGGGAGGCATCGAAGGCCGCGTTGCTGGGGGCGGTGTGGGCGCCGTCTCGAGTGAAGGGGCCGTAGATGAAGAGCAGGCCGCCGCGGGGGCGCAGGGCGGTGCCTGTTGGGGCATGCATGGGCCGGACACAGCAGCAGCAGCAGCAGCAACAACAGCAGCGGGGATCGGGTGGTGACGCTTCTTTTGGTTGGGGGTTGGGGTAATGAAAGACACGAGGCAAGCACCTGCTCTCTCCACTCTTGGTGGCTCCCACTTGTCAAACATTGGTTGCCTTTCCTCTGCAGCCCTCCTTCCTTCCTTCCGGCCCCTTCTCCTTTCTTCCTTCCATCCTTCCTTCCAGCCCTCCTTCCTTCCCGCCCCTTCTTACCTGCCCCCATCAGCAGCCCTTGTGTGGCCTCCACGGGTGCGATATGGCACATGTTGACACACAGGATAGCAGCCGCATCCAAGCCGCACACACCACCTCCATCTCCATCTCCTCCTTGCTCATCTGTCGTACAATCTTCTTTCGGAGCCTTTGCCGTTGCGGCGTTAACCGCTAACGCCGCATTGACGGGCCAGTCGGGCGCCGAAGCGTCCAACAGTAACGGCGGCAGTCGTACATTAGTTAAGCCGGCGGCGTAAGCCGTAATGCTGCCGTACAGTTCGGTTGTGACGTCAGACGGTTGGATGTCGTACTGTGGTAGGGCAGCAGCTAGATGGGCGACGTGTTGACCGGACCCGCTGGCTATCTGTGGCGCGTCAGGTGAATGAGTTGTGTAGGGTCAGGTGAATTGTGTAGCGACGCGTTAGGTCCCAAGTTATGTAGGGTCAGGTGAGGCTGGGTGCTGGAGATTTAAAGGATGGGCCGGCTAAGACAGAGGAAAGTCAGAGGGATGCAAGGAGGGAACAAAGATGGGAGGAGGGTGGGGGCCGGGAGAGCAGGTGGTTCTTAGGAGGGCGCGGAGGACTAAAAGGAGAAAGGTGTGGAAAGGGGTATATCATAGCTATTACAGTTTGTACCGGCACAGCGGAGCGTTCAGTTGTCCTTCGCTGCGCTCCACACCGCCAATCTACACCACCTCACCTCACACCACCTCACCTCACCTCCAGTATGAGCGGACGGCGACCCACAGCGTGCCCCTCCCCAGCCGCCGCCGCCGCAGCAGCAGCGGGGCCAGGTGCAGCCGCAGCGCCGGGGTTACCCAGCAGATACAGACGCTGCTCATAGAAGAGGAGGGGGAAAGGAGCCGATCCGGAAACACCCAGAAAAGGATTACAAGGCGCGTAGGAGAGAGGAGTAAGACGACGGCGAGATGATATCGCGGTATTAGGGGCATGCGGTGGGAGGCGGAGAAGGAGACGAAACATAGCGCACGTGTGAAGGAAGGAAGCAATGAGGACATGGAGAGCGTTGGAGGGAGGAAAGAGGAGGTAAGCGATAATATGACGTGTGGAGAGACAAGAGTGCAGTGTTGGGCATACGGAAACGGAGGGTAAACACCTCAAGGCTTTGTACTAGGGGTATCGCTCAGGTTCGGGCTGAGCGCAATCCGCACCATGACATCCAGAATAGGCTGCTTGTTCCGCTCTGCAGCCGGGCTCTCTCGCCTTTGGTCTTCCAAAGCAGCGTACGTATCCATGCTGCTTTTGAAGGCAAAAGTTCCCGTACCACCTGTGGTAGCTCCCGTGGATGAGGCCATGACGGGCGTCCCCGCTTTATGCTCGGCGGTAGTGTACGAGCGGACGTTCAACAGGTTAGACCGTGGGTAGCAGTACAACGTTGTAACGGGAAAGACAGAATGAGCCAAGGCCCCAGCTTGCTTTAGGCGAATCGCGTTTAGTCCCGTTGCGTGCCAGTACGATGCGTAAATTGGATAGCTGTACATGTTAGGCGTATGTGGGAAAACATGGAGTCTAGCAATTAGCGTACGAGCTAGATTAGGGCACGAAGGCACAGTAGCGGTTGTCGGTTAACACACCAAAAGGTCAAACAAGCCGGAACAAAGCAATCCCATACTCGCAGCACACCATTGGGTTGTCCTTGCCGGCGTTAGTGTCTATGACTTTTAAATTAGGCTGGATATCACTAGGCTAGCACCGAATGTGTTCTTCGGTGTCGGCAACCTGTAACAAGCGTAGTTGCGCCGGGTGCTTGTCCAAGTGACACGTGTCTTATCTATTTAAAACGTTATAGTAACGTCTTCCTTTTGAAAATGTCAGCCATGCCGAAGCTCCCGGCGCGGAAAGCGTCCACTCGAAGTAGTGAATCAATGGTAAGAAAGCCTCATATGTCCTCAAGGCTGTGCCAGGTACTAGGAACTCTAGGCGGCAGTTCAAGTTAACATCTGCCTTACGTGCAGGCACCGCAGCAAAGCGCCCCTAGCGGTGTGCACACCGCCATGCTAGACGAGGCCAGTAGACTTGCGCAGAGCCCGGCAGTTCAGCGGCTGATGGAGGATCCTGGAATTTTGGAAGTCGCAATGCAGCGCGACCCTCAATTGAAGCGTCTCATGGAGGAGACGCCCGGGATGAGGAGCCTATTAGCACCAGACAAGCTTCGGACTATGCTCGAGGCGTTCAGGGACCCGCAACGCGTGCGCTCCCAGGGGATGGACATGTTTGCCAACATGGACCTGACTGAGCAACGCAAGGTGCGCCTTTGAACTGTTAGCAGGGGCACGTATGTATGTCCCCGCCCGCCTCGCACAGTTCCTTTCCGTGTCTTTCCATAGTCCCTATTACCTGTCCTCACATGTCGCATGTCACTTTCCGGCAAAACATCCTCTTTTCCAAACACACGCCTGACAAGGTATCCTGCTTCCCCACCACCTTAACTTCTCGCTTCTCCAGGCGCTCTTGCAGCTGGAGTCCTACCGCCAGGAGCTCAGACGGCAGCAACAGCAGCAGCAGCAAGGTAAGCATGTGACAGGGGGGGCATGTGACCCAACATGGGGACTTACAGAGCTGGTGAGAATGGTGACCGACTTCGTGCTGACTTCGTGGTGAAGTGTGCAGCTAAGCAACATGCGCTTCCGCTCCATTACCCTTGGCGCCTTCGAACCCCGTGTCACCCGCGGCTAGCCCCATCCCGACTCCCTCATTGGGATCCATTCACGAAGTCCACCCTAACACTCACCCCACGTTCCGAAACCACCCCCAGGGCACCTCGCCGCTTCTTCTGCCGCTGCCGCTCCTGCTCCTCCTCCTGCAGCAGCAACAACAGCATCAGCGGCTCATTCCCTGCGGACCAATCCCGGCCTACCTTCGTCCCTGCCTCCTCGCCCGCTGCTGCGACCCCCCAACCAGCCTGCAGCCTTCTACTACCCGCCCTCCGTCCACAACCCCCAAGCAGCCTCCACCTCTTTGTCCTCCTCCTCCTCAGCAGCAGCAGCAAGGGCGGCAGCACGAGGGGCCCCCGCAGGTGCAGGCGGGACAAACGCTGATGGCAGCGTTGGCAATGCCGATGAGGATACCGAGCATTGGAACGGAAACGCAGGGGATAGGAACGATGGTGGCGGCCGCGAAAATGGCGGTGGTTTTAGCTTCACGCATTCCGAGCGGGAGGTTTTACTCGACGAGCTGCCGTACGAGGTACAGCAGGAGCTGTTGCAGCAACTCACGGCGGGATCCACGTCAGCAGCTACAGCAGCATGCGGCCACCCCAACCACCACCACAACCACCCCAACCACCCTCTGCAGCACTACAGCCAGCATCCCAACCAACCACACGGTTATTACAACCAACAGTATAACCACCCCAACTACCCGCTGCACCAGCAGCACCCACACCCGCAGCAGCACCAGTACCCGCAGCAGCAGTACCAATACAACCCGGGTGCATGGCCCCCTGCCGCTGCACCCTACACTGCCTCCCATGCAGCCACGTCCGGCCCTGGTCCCATCACTTCATCCCCCTCCTACGGTAAGAACAACAACAACAGCAAGGGAGGTGGTGTGAGCGGCAGTCGCAGTGCTCGGGAGCTTGCCGCTGCAGGTGCCGCCGCCACAGCCGCACGCACGGGTTCGGGTGCCGCTCGGCACCCACTACTGCGACCCCGGCAGCAGCAGCAGCAGCAAGGGGAGGAGGAGGAGGAGAGTGAGGTGGAGGAGGGGCGGAGTAGTCATCACCTCCGTCAGGAGCTTCCCTCGCTGTCACAATGGCACATGCAGCAGCAGCAGGAGCCGGCTGCTGGTGCAGGTGTTGCGCCGCCGGTTGGAGACCCAGGCAGATACGGACCCATGGGTCGTCATGGCTACGGCAGGGGTGATGGGTACGGCTATGGGCACTCAGGTGTTGGTGTTTCCTCCCACTCCCATGCGCATGTGGGGAACCGCCAGCAGTCGCAGCAGTGGTGGCATCAGCAGCAGCAGGAGCAACAGCGGGGACAGGGCCCTGAGGACGACATCGGGGCTGAAGAGGAGGAAGAAGAGTACGGAGGAGGCCGCGACAGAGGCGGAGGGGGCTATGGTTATTACACTTCTGGTAGCATCTATTACCCGGGCAGCAGCAGCCAAAGCAGCCACCCCTTCCCTTATTACAGTGCTGTTGCCGGTGGTGGCGGTGGTGGAGAAAGAGCAGCAGCAGCAGGAGGAGAAGGGCCTTTTGGCAATGGCGGTGGAATGAATGGCGGTTACGGTTACGGTTATGAGTTGGGCAGCCTGGGCGGCGGGGCAACGGGCCACGCAGGCCTAGTAGCAGGAGCAGCAAGCAACGGCAGCACTGCTGAGGGAGCTGCAAAGGTAGCGGGGCCAGCAGGGTGGGGTGTGGAAACTCGGGAGCTCAGGAGGATGGGAAGTCGCTGCTGCAGTATTGTTGTTGCTGTTGTTCATTCAAAAGGCATGGGTTTCTTGTTCCCTTCCTGCCTTTCCCCCTTCTTCTCCCCTCTTCTTCTCCTCATTCACCACATTTGGTATCCTTCTCTTCCCTTCCCCCTCCTCCTTCACAGCCCAGCCCCCGTGACCACTACGAGTACGTCCCGCCCAACCTGACTTGGCGGCCCGAGGAGCAGGAGGAGGAGGCGCAGGGCTGGGGCAGCCTGTACCGCAGGTGGGTGGGTGTACGGCAGGCGGGTGGGTGTACGGCAGGTGCCTCCCACTTGTAACCGCAGTCTCCCGCCCCCATCAACCACCTCTTTCTTGCCTTCCTCGAACCCTCCTGACCCTCCCACCCCTCCCTCCCACCCATTGGATATCCTTCTTTTCCCTCCCCTCCCCGCCAGGGCCTACTTCCATGCATGCGATGCGGCCTTCTTCCCGCTCTTCTTCACTGCAGCCGGCCTGCTGCTTCTGGCCACCTCCTCCCCCGCCTCCTCCCCCTCCTTCCCCTCCTCCTCCGCCCCCTGGCTCCCCTTCTGGCTGCTGGCGGTGTTGCTGGTGGCGGGGGCACTGGGAGGCAGCTACTGTTTCGCCTCGGTGCTGGCGGGCATTCCCAAAAAGTGAGGAAGAGGGGGCGGTGAAGGGGAGGGGAGGGAGGGCCGTGTGATGTGTGTATAGGGTTGAGTGCAGGGAAGGCAGGGGAGAGGGATTAGTTGCGGGGTGCTCACGGTACTCCCCACATGCTGGGACGTCGCCTCGGTGACCCCCCTACCCCCACCCCCCATGCACGCCCCTCTCTTCCTATCCCTCCCCCTCCCTCCCGCCCCCTCCCACCCTGCCGCCAAGGTCGCTTCCCACCTCCCGCACCCTCCTCTCCCTCATCGCCACGTGCGAACTGATCTACCCCGTGTCGTACTGCTGGAGGGTGCTGCCGTACCTGCTCCCGTACTGCTTTAACAGCGGCAGCAGCAGCAGCAACAACCGCGATTCCACCCTCGACCCTTACTCCGCTTACACCGCCTCCTCCTCCTCCTTCTCCCCGCCCTCGCTTGCTGAGCTGTTGCTGCTGCTGGGCTGTTTCCTGGCGCTGCCGCTGCTGCATGGACTGGCGGCGTGGAGCGACCCGGGGTTCGTGCGGCCACCTCCGCCTGCCGCCTCCTCCTCCTCCTCCTCCTCGTCCTGTAGTTCTAATCACATGGAGGAGGCATTAGGGAAGCGGCAGGCGGGGCAGCAGCAGCAGCAACAGCAACCTGATGGGGGGGAAGGGGATGAAGAGGCGGGATCAGGTGGGGCGCTGGGGGCGCATGGAGTGGGTGATGCGTCTGCTGCCGGCGACGCTCTTCCCACCACCGCCCCTGCTGCTGCTGCTGGTGGTGGTGGTTTCGGGGTTCACTGCTCCACGTGTCATTTGGCGCGACCGTTAAGATCCAAGCACTGCCAGTACTGCAACCGTTGTGTTCGGAAGTTCGGTGAGAAGAGGGAGGGGTGACTTGTGACGTTGTGAGGGGTGGCTAGGTAGAGAGGCGGGGAGGCCCGAACCCATGTGCGTGTAGACCAACGCTGTCGCCACACCCTGCCCCCCTTCGCATTGTTCCTTAACAATTACTCACCTACCCGCCCTCCCTCATGTCCTCTCCAAACCCCCCCTGCACGCATATAGACCACCACTGCCGCCACTCCCTGCCCCCCTACCACTCTTATCTTTCCTTAGTACCTACCCTCCCTCCCTCATGTCCTCTCCCCCCCCTGCACACATGCAGACCACCACTGCCCCGCCATAGCCAACTGCGTGGGCGAGGGCAACGAGCGGGTCTTCTCCGCCTGGCTGTTTGTGATGGTGAGGGGGCCCAAAGATTAAACGAAACCACATGTTAGGGAACCACATGTTAGGGGCAAAGCAATGGTGAGGGAGGGGGCTGGTAGGGGGTAGACCGGGTTTTGGCGGTGCACACAGGCATACCGTGCTAGCTAGCTTGGCAGCATCCCTCTCATCTCATCCCATCCCCCTCTCATTACCCACCCACCCGCCCCCCCCCCCCCAACCCGCCACCCCCACCCCCAGTGGCTAACCCAGGTGCTGGTCCTTCACGTCGGCCTATCCTACCTCCTCATCCGCCACAACGCCCACCTCACCACGCTCCTGGAGGGCCCTAACGGACACCTGGATGTCCCAGCAGCGTCCCTGTCTGCGACCCATGGGTCACTGACGACCCAGACCCAGCCGTCGCCTGGTGATGCGTGGATGGAGGGCCTGGGGTGGCATCCCCGGCGGGTGTGGCGGGCGCTGGGTTGGGCAGCCGGGGGGCCGGAGAGGGCGATGGTGCTGCTGCTGGGGCTGCAGGTGAGGGGTTGGGTGGGGCAGGTGAGGGTGGTTGTGAGTGGGGGAGAAAGTAGCTGACCGTGTGACACGTAGGCTCCGTTATGGGTAGCAACTTGGCTGCTGGTGGGTGGATTGGTTGGTGGGTTGGGTTGGGTTTGGTTGGGTGGTGGAGAGGCACAGCAGCTACCGGTTACCGGATGGCAGGGCCTCATCGGGCTGTTGCACCAGGGCTGTTGTCGTCTAAACCAGCGATGCTGCGAATGCATCCCGTGCATGGGTGCGACTCCTCGTACGGGGCCGCCACGGCCTCTCTTCCTCCGCGCCGCGTCTTGCCGGGTCTGTGCACCCTCCCTGGTGGCTTGGCTCGGGCTGCCTCTAACCCTCCCTCTCCTCTTCCGCTCTCCCTCTCATTCCTCCGCTCTCCCCCTCTTCCTCCGCGCCCGCCTCCTCCTCTCTGCCGCTCAGGCCCTCTGCCTGCTGATGGCGACCTTCCTTGCCGTCCGCCAAGCCTTCTGCATCCTCGCCAACCTAACCGCCAACGAACTGATCAACCGACAACGTTACAACTACCTGAAACACGAGCTGGGCGGCGGTTACTGCAACCGATTCGGTGGGGGCGAAAGATGGGGTGTAAATGGAGGGGTGTATGGTTTGTGTGGATTTCGGTAGGTGACCCCCGCAGCAGCATAAAGTTCTAGGTACCAGCAAAAGCGGTATGCTATTGCATACCGGTACATGGAATACATGTGTTCCTTTCGAGATGTGTTCCTTTTGGATATCCTGCTACGATCTCCGCACTCCTGCTACGTCCTGCTCTTCCACGTCCCTCCCCCCACACATGCGGGGCGGGGTCCAGTGTGGGCCCAGTCACACAAATTGATTCTCTTTATACGCGCGTTCCCGCCGCCCCTTGCGCTGCCGCCCCCCACGACCAGACCGAGGTCCCCTGTACAATTGCTTCACCTTTTGGCTGGAACGCAACCCGGATCCAAGATGTTCCGAAACCAACAAACTCCTCTCCAGCTTCGGATCTGGATCCGGAATGGGATCTGGATCCAACCCCCGTACAAAGGATAACGTCGCTGCTTCTGTTTCTCCTTCTTCGTCGTCGTACGATTACTGGTTGCTGCAGTACGACTTCGGGGATCGGGAGATGGCACGGTTGGGTGTACGACAGTTGTCGTACTGGTCGGTTGGGCGGTTACTCAACTGGCTTGACGAGTTCGGGCGGAAGCGCGAAGAGCTGAAGAGCGCTTTGGTGGTAAGTTGGTTGGGCAGTTGATGAGGGGTTTGTTGGCGGCTTCCGGGAACGGTTTCCAGGGTGATATAACGCATGCAGTGCTAAGTCGGAAAAACAAAGGCGACAAACCCCAAAGAGTGACGGAATGGCTGCATCACGCGCGGGACCCGCTCCCGCACGCATCCCCATTCTCTTCTTGCCCTGAGGTTACTGTCTCGTTGTTGTTGTCGTTAACGTGCCCTCCGCTTGTTGCTCCCCCCAGGACGTACGCACCCGCAGAGCCATGCGCGCCCTGGAGGTGCGGGCGCAAGCTGCGGCGGCGGCGCAGGCGGCCGGGGGGCGCGGCAGGGCGGCGTAGCAGCAGCAGCAGCCGCAGGCGTAGCAGCAGCAGCAGCCGGGAGTTCATGCGGCAGCTCAGCTCAGCTCAGCAGCAGCAGGAGCATGCAGCAGGCGGTGTAGCAGCAATACCGTAGTATGCTGGCAGGCGATAACCAGGCACTACCGCTATGCTAGGGGCTTTAGTAAAGGGAGGGGGGAAGCAAGTGCAGGGGGGAAGCAGCAGCCGGCGGAGGGGATGCAGCTAGGGTCGGCAAGCCACTCCATGCCCAGGTGTGAAGTAAATGAATGACCGTTGTCATGCTAGGTGCCGTGCTCTACTCTAGTTGGGAGGGCTGTGTGATGTGAAGGTCCTTCAAAGGGGCATGCCAGCAGTCAGGTGAACGTTGAAAGAAGGTTAAGTGGTGGTTGGAGGCGAGGTGGTGGCATTGGGAGAAGCGCAGGAAAGGAGGTGCAGGGCTATTATGATGCTGGACGCAACTACAGATTGTAACGTATGGGATCGCATGAATGATACATTCACATGCAAGCAGGGGAAGCGGCCCCGCCGGCCATGCCAGCTACCAATTGTGAAGCCAGGCAAGGGAGCATTCCACTTCTAGCAGCGGAAGGGGCGCATGCAATCCATGTGTATTGAGCAGCTGCAGTTATACTGAAAAATAAGTAGGGAACCAGGGGCGGGTTATTGCATGCGGCCGAACTGCGAGTGCATGGCGCAGGGACATGGTGAACAAACCATGAACAAAGGAATGGTCCAAAAGATCGTTGCTCCTTAGGGGATTGCCATACCCTGCCTAAGGAAGTTGATGACCGTTTAAACGTACATATGCAGTCGCCTACAAATAATTTTAGAAAACGCTGCCTGACGTGCTTCGGCACAACTGTTAAAATTGGAAAAATACAGAGAAGATTAGCATGGCCCCTGCGCAAGGATGACACGCACAAATCGAGAAATGGTACCAAATTTTTTTCGCTTCCCCAGGTCTCAGGTTCGAACTCACCTTTTGCATGTATGCGTACGGCACTATATGCTGGTTGACAGGGATTGCACGCTATGTGTTTGCATGCACGCGTCATTTGGCCGCGTTGCTGTCCATTATGACGAAGCTTGCTTGCTTGCTTCCTCTGCTTCAGTACTTATGTAGGCAATAGCATTGGGTGGAACTGTTACACGCCTTGCAAATGCGCAGATCAGCTTGGCAAAGCAATGCATGCATTAGCAGACCAGGGACGCTTCCTCGTGCCGGGTGGCTCACGCAACAAACAAGCAATATGTGCTTAAGCATAACACGAAACAGCAGACGACGCAAGAAGTGAACTACTGACTTTGATGTACAACTCTAGTTTCCTATTGCCGTACGGCATGCGCATATGATAACAAGTTCATAACAAGCTGTACAGGCGTTCCATAAGCCCACATATGTACGACAACCTCACCATTATGTGGTATTAAACATGCATGCAATCTCCCACATGGACATAACCGCCGCATACACCATCTACCATGCCGCAACGGCTCCTAACTTCCTTAGCTACAGCCTCACTTAACAAACAGGTCAGTTCACCTTCAGTGGAATTATGCATGACACGCAAACATATGGAAAGCACATCCAGAAGGTAAGTAGTGAAAGACACTCTACGTATGAACATAACAATATTCTTGAAACAGAATAACTGTATGGGCATATGGATCCTAGTTAGCGGCGCACTTGAGCAGGCCAGGGCAGGCCAGGGAAGCCTATCCGCAGCACCGACATACCATCTCCCGATCGACCCATGGGTCATCGTCATGTACTTCAGTGGCTCCCATGGATGCTGCACAGCTCCCCAATCCTCCACCGCGAGCTCGTCCCTCGTTTACAATTCCCTGCTTCCTACCCCGCTGCTGCCAGCGCTGCCTAGTGATCACCTCGCAGGAGGCGTCGTCCGCTGAAGAGGTTGAACCCCGGCAGGCTGCACGTACGGAAGCAACGAGGACGGCGGCAGCAGGGGCGTGCGGGGGAGGCCGGAATGGGTGTGATGTCAGCGTAAGCGGCCGTCTTTAGCTAGGCAAATGTATGACCGCTAGTCGCGCCGCAGCAGTAGGCAATCCTACCCTAGTCATGCATGCCAAGCTTTTGTAGATTACAAACCCCAGAGATGCATGCATGCATGTTCGGATGTTACCGATATCAATCGCGCACACCCTCAGTACTTACGTGACAGTAGGACCGGTGGCGGTTCCGCTGCTAAAGGGTAGCAACAGGTTTGGCATCAAGGGAATCTGCTGCGGGGCGGGGGGAAGGGGGCGGGAGGAGGCATGGAGAGGAGGAGGGAGCAAAGGGGTTAGAAAGCTACTGTGCATGCAAGCAAGCATGCGTGGATTAAGCATGTGTGACTAGCAACTGCTGAATCTTCATTGCGTATCTTCATACTGAAACCAGTAGCGCAACGCAACGCATCAAGGCATATAAGTTCTGCTGGCCTTCTCTACTGACACCAGCCGCAGACACACCCACCTGCTGCTGTCCGTTGCTGCCTGGGGCGCCCTGCTGCTGCGGCTGCTGCGTGCCTGTCGCTCCTTGCGTCTCCTTCGGGGTCGGCTTGGCCTCCGAATCCGGCTTGGCCTGCGTATCAGCCTTGGCCTGCGTGTCCGTCGGTTTGGCCCCCGAATCCGGCTTAGCCTGGGTGTCGGGCTTAGCCTGCTGCTGGGCTTGTTGTTGTGCTCCTCCGGCGCTACCCGCTGGCTGCGGCACCAGCATGCCCGGCATGAGGCCGCCAAACGTCCTGTCATGGGCGGCAGGGATGTGCGGTGGATGGATGGAAGGAAAGACAGCGGGGGATGGGTGTCAGGCAGGGTACATGTTTTCGCAAGATTTCACAGCAGCAGGCCACTGTAAGGGCTACGACAGGTCTGGACTGAGCATGGGTTCGAGCATACCGGCAGCGCCTCAGCAAACGTGAAGGCAGCGCATGCACCTAGTCGGAAACGTTTACCGGTATGCGTGCTGTTAGGAGTGCAATAGCACCCCATCAACAACTGCAATGCATGCAGCAGCGGCCACCGCCTCACTCACCCGTTCATCATCTGCTGGGTCATATCCTGAAACGCCTTGCCGCCTTGCGCTAACATTCCGGCCATGGCGTCGAATGGCGTGGGCATAGCCCCACTGTTCTGCATGGTCGTCGTTGGGCTGCTGCCGGGCGCTGGGTTGGCTGCTGCTGGCGCACTGGCTTGTTGCTGCAACAGGGAACGCTGCGTGCGTGGGGGCGCACATGGAACGAAGTAAGTGAGGGGCACTGTATTACAAGCAGCACCGGGATAAATAGTGCAGCATGCAGGTGACGTATGATTGGTGGACCGCATGGCAATTCTCACGCTACCCGATGTGGCAGCATCCGACCCGACCCATGGGTCATCAGCAAGTTTCCCAGACAGTTCGATGGGTCCATCACAGTTCCTAAGGACTGGGGATCATGGAGTATCGCAACAAGCCAGGCATATGAGCTGCTCCTTAGTACACCCTCCCAACCTACCCCGCTTCCCTCGGCCTGCTGCTGACCGTCGTTCAGAAGACGACGTCCGGCGCTGAAAAGGCTAAACACTACTGGGGGACTGCACATGTGCAGGGAACGAGGAGGAGGACAGCAAACCCGCCGTAAGTAAAAGCTTTTCGACCCGCTATACCCGCCTTTGCGGGACCCGAAACCTGGAGGTGGCGTGCGTGCAATTAATGACCTGTTGTGGGCCGACCATAAAACTCTGTAATGTATCAATCACTCCTTAAACAAACTCACGTGCCGCTGCCGCCGCTGCCAGTAGGACCGGTGGCGGTTCCGCTGCTGAAGGGTAGCAGCAGGTTGGGCATCAAGGAGATCTGCTGGGGGGGCGGGGCGGGGCGGGGCGTGCATGCAGAGGATTAGAAAGCTGCTGTGCACGGCAGCCAGCAGGCAGCAAGCTTGGAGACAATAGCTTTTACAGCCGTCGAAAGCCACTCATCACAATGCCGATGCAAGGTGTCAGCAAAGTGCATTCTGGCCTTTTTATTGCCACCAGCCGCAGACATACGATACCCACCTGCTGCGGCTGCTGCGTGCCTGTCGCTCCTTGCGTCTCCTTCGGGGTCGGCCTGGCCTGCTGCGTGTTGGGCTGCTGTGTTGCCCCAATGACCGGCTGCACCCCCGGCTGCGACACCGGCATGCCCGGCATGAGGCCACCGACTGCCCTGTGCGAGTGGAATAGGATTGGCAGGAGGAAGGGCCCGCAAGAGGATTAGTCACGGATCAACTAGGACGGTATTTAATGCGTACAGAGGCCCACCGAGGGTGAACAGTGTCAAGGTCATGCAATAAGCAGGCCATGCCTGAGCATGCAGAAGCACATTGATCGACGCAAGACTGCATTCAGAGCACCAGGTAGGCGAGAAAGGTAGGTACGGTTGCTGTTTGGCGAAACGGTTAGAAGCGCCACGGGAGGGAACTTCAATGAATGATCCTTCGCTACAACTCACCCGTTCACCATCTGCTGGGTCATAGTCGTAAACGCCCTGCCGCTTTGCGATACGAAATCGGCCATGGCGTCGAATGGCGTGGGCACAGCTCCACCGTTCTGCGTGGTCGTCGGCGGGCGGCTTGCAGCGCTGCTGGGAGCGGCGGGGTCGGCTGCTGGCTTATCCTCTTGCAACAGGGAGCGCTGCACAGCAGGAGCGGGCAGAGGACGTTAGCGGAATGCTTATTCAGTACGAATGGAGTTATTAGGTATTACGTTAGGCTGTGCAGCAGCGGAAGGTAGGACGCGGATCCCCCAGGAACCCACGCGCATCAACCGATCGACCCATGGGTCATCGGCATATATCCCAGCCAAATTTATGGGTTCTTACGCACGGTTAGAGCACACCATCCTGAACGCAACGGCTGATTGTACCCTCCCGACTTACCCCGCTACCCTCGGCCTGCTGCTGACCGTCGCTCAGAAGCCGACGCCCGCCGCTGAAAAGGCTCAACACCGGGGGACTGCACATATGGGAGGGCAGGGCCGTGAGCGTGTTCGTACGGAAAAGCGGCCCTTATTAGAGCAAACAGACTTCTATCGGCGCTGCAGCAGGCCAGCAAACTCACGTGCCGCTGCCGCCGCTGCCAGGACCGGTTCCGCTGCTAAAGGGCAGCAGCAGGTTGGGCATCAAGGAGATCTGCTGGGGGGCGGGGGGGAGGGGGCGGGAGAAGGCAGGAGCAAAGTGGTTTGGACACGCTGTGCGAGTCATCCAGGCGGCGAGCTTGGAACACCATCCTGCTGCATGTCTAACACCTCAGACCTAACACTTCCGTACCAAGCTATCATGATAGGAAACCGGAGTGCCAAGCAAGCAAGGCATACATGCACATACATCATCGTTGCATGCCAGCGTTTCAAAATGCCAAACACATCATGTGCTGCCCATCCGCGCCATGCATGCATGCAGACATACGGTACCTGTCCATTGCTGCCTGTGGCGTCTTGCGCCGGCTGTCCACCCATCTGAATCTGCATGCCCGGCATGAGACCACCACCGCCAG